CTGCCACCACCACTGCCACCGCCGGCGCCACCAGCAGCAGCAGCAGCGATGTATTGGCAGTGTGTGTGCAGCCATACTTGGACCTGCTGTTGACGCTGAGACTAAGAGACAAGCCCACTGTGGTGAGACTCGTGGCGCAGCTCTCTGACTTTCTCCTCCGCTGCTGCTCCCACTCTGCTGCTGCTGACATGCATGCGCACGCACACGTGGGTATGCATGCGCACATACACATGGGCTCACATGGTGCCATGCATGCACAAGCGCACATGGCTTCACATGGTCCCATGCACACAGACACACATCCCCCTCAGCAAGCAGGCTCCCATCTCAGGAGCCTAGAGCTAGTGCGGGCGCACAGGGGCGGGGCGTTGGCGCACGCAGCAAAGCACTTTGGCAAGGTGAAGAAGCTGAAGCTGCTGGTGGCAGCTCTGGATGCTGGAGACAAACCCACTGGGGAAGGAGAGGGTGAAGGAGAGGGTGAAGGAAGGGAAGGGGACCCGTCGCTGGGGAAATGGTTGGGGTTGAGTGCAAGGCTGGTCTGTGTGCTTCAAGGCTCAGCAAGTGGCGCTTCAGTAGAGGAGGAGCGGTGGTTGTCAGGAGATGGTGCTGGTACCAGTTTTGCCGAGGGTGAATGGTGGTCGGGAGTCCATGCCACTGCTGCTGCTGGTGCTATTGGTGCTGGTACAGGAGCAGCAGTAGGGCGCGGGAACGTGGAAGCAGTGATGGGAGTGCTGCAGGAGATAGAGACACTAGCAGCACAGCAACCAGCCAGACTAGCCCTTCTCCAGGAACCCCTCTGTCTTGCCCTTCTCTGCTGCCCGTTCCCCCACTCTCCCTCTCTTCCCCCCTCCCTCGCTGCTGCCACTGGTGCTGCGGGTGTTGCACCCGCTGGGGTAACCGGGTTACCAGCAGCTGCTGCGGCTGGTGGTGGTGGGGTGGAAGGGAGGGTGGATGGGGGAGTGGTGGTGGATATGGTGCTGAGGCTTCTAGAGCGAATGCTGCTGCATGCTTACAGGTGAGAGACAGGGTGCTGCCTGGTGTGGTAACCTGGTTACCAGCAGTGGACGGGAAGGCGGATGGGGGGATGGTGGTGGATATGGTGCTAAGGCTGCTGGAGCGAATGCTGCTGCATGCTTACAGGTGAGAGACAGGGTGCTTGCTCTCTGCTCTCCACTCTCTGTCCTCTGCTCTCGTGTCTACAGGTGAGAGACAGGGTGTTACCACTCCTGAATCTGCAGTTCCGAGTGTGCACAAGTAGCACTTGCATCACGCTCGTTTTCACAAGGCAGGCTGTCCCCGTCATGACCATTCCTCTCGTCGCCTGTACAGCCTGTCCGAAGCTTCCCGCGCCCGGCTTCCCGTGCAACTTCAATGCTCCTAACCCTCCCTTATTTCCCGTCTCTTCTCTCCATCCCACTCGTCAACTCTCCTCCCCTCACCTCCCGAATTCCCTCCTGCTCACCTCCTCTCATCCCCTCCCATGCAGTGCCTGTAACCTCTCCCTCGTCGCCTCCTCCCTCCTGCGCCTCCTCCACTCTCTCTCCCTCCATCCCCAACCCTCCCTCCTGCCGCTGCTCTCCTCCTACATACCTCGCCTGCTCTGCCTCCTCCCAGGTATGAGAAGAAAAAAAGAAACGAGCAAACAAACAAGCTAGCTCGCTCGTACCCATCATATGCACCCTCGAATCCTTTCATCCTCGCATCCGCCCCCACCCACCTGTACCATCCAATATAAATCTCCTTGCAACCTCAATTCTTGCATGCACCCATTCTTCCCCTCACTCCCCCACTCCCAAACCCCAACCACCCCTCCGCCCTCTCACTATCCCCCAGCAGATCACAGGCAGCAGCTGCTGGATGCTCTCATGCACCTGCCGCCCCACTATACGCTCCCACCACCTCCACCCGTCGGCATGGGCTTTGCCATGGGCTTCAGCAGCACCCCTCCCCACTCCCTCACCCCCCTCCCTCACCCCCTTCTCCCCCCACCTTTTCACCTCAATGTTCCCAAGCAGATCACAGGCAGCAGCTGCTAGACGCACTCATGCACCTGCCGCCACACTATTCGTTCCCACCACCTCCACCCGTCGGCATGGGCTTTGCCATGGGCTTCAGCAGCACCCCTCCCCACTCCCACGAGACGCCACCCGAGCCTGGGAGGCCCGGCACCAGCAGCAGCACCCCCCTCCGTGATTCCGATGACCCGCTGTTATGTACAGTGCGCTCTGTAGTGGCCGTGGAGTTGTGATACTACTGAGGAGCTGAGATGCAACTAAAGGTGTATGTGGGTGCTGCAGTGCTCTACATACACCACACGATGCTTCATAGCGGCCACATGGAGTTGTAAAGATTTGGGAGTACATTACGGTACGGTACGGTACAGTACTCTTGAGATTTTAGAATCCGTGTGAGAAGCTGCGGAATTTCGACCTGGCATAGCCAGATGATCATCATGGTAGAAGCATGTAAGCTGTCTAGCGCCCCTGAACATTTAATTTGATTCTACGATAACGTGCTATGGAAGGGGAATGTACAAATTCTCAAAGGACTGCAATAGTAGATGCATCGCCCTAATTCAATATACGATGCCTGTGGATTGGACATGAAAGATACAGTGGGTGGTGCAGTGAGAGCATATTCAACAGCAAGGAGGTGTCCACCCTGCAGAAACGCTGTTGCTGCTCATGACTGAGATCCCTCCTGCTGCCTCAACGTTTCAGTCCATCTGGGCACACCTGCTGCCTCTTGTACATGCGTGTAGTACCTCTTGTACATGCGGGAGATCAGAAAGACGGGTGTGAGCCCGTGCTGCACACCCAAAGAATACCTGGCCTGTCTCCTAGCGACCCGGACTAAGAAAAGACAGTGACCACCTAGCGTGCTTATGGTTCTCCTCCGATTCACCTCGAGCACCCTTCAAATTTGAAGAACATGGATGGTAGCTGAGTACCATGGCACACATGGATGGTAGCTGAGTACCATGGCACACATGGATGGTAGCTGAGTGAGTACCATGGCACACATAACACATGCTCGCAACCTCCGTGATGCAGCATGCATGACTTTACTCCATTCTGCAGAATGGTGCTACCGCGTGTAGTACCTCTTGTACATGCGTGTAGTACCTCTTGTACATGCGTGTAGTACCTCTTGTACATGCGTGTAGTACCTCTTGTACATGCGTGTAGTACCTCTTGTACATGCGTGTAGTACCTCTTGTACATGCGTGTACTACCTCTTGTACATGCGTGTTGTACCTCTTGTACATGCGTGTAGTACCTCTTGTACATGCGTGTAGTACCTCTTGTCTGAAGCACGCGTCCAGCTCCACCTTACTGCCGTTGCACACGTTCCAGAACTTTGGCAATGGGATGCTGACATGTAATTGAATAGGGTTGTAACGTGTGCATTACCTCTTGCCTGAAGCACGCGTCGAGCTCCACTTTAATGCCGCTGCACACGTTCCAGAACTTGGCAATGGGGTGCTCCTCGTGGCATCGCTTCAGCTTCTCGATCAGCTGCACGAGGGAATGATGGAACCGGCGGATTTGATGTAGGTTCATGACCAGGCGAACGGGCAAAGATGAATGCTCTGAGTGTGCCTAATTGGATGTAGGTTTATGAATCAATCACTAGGGCAGTCATGGGATAGTTCAAGCTCAATACCCTGGCAAAAAAAACACCCCAAAGCTGAAACTTCCAGCCATACGATGCTACTCATGTTTACGACAGACCTTCTCTCACCTCTGCGCATTTCGGGTGCTTCTCAACGGTCAATAGAGGGTGCATGTAGCCAGGATGCCTCAACCGCGCAGTAAAAAAGAGTCACCGTGATGAATCTGAACCTCACAACAGCTTCTTAATCGTCAGTCCGTAGCGAGAGTACGCATAGGCCGACCAATATGGATGCGAGAGGTTACAGGCTACCTTTTTGTATGTTACAGAAAGGGGGAACACGTTTCTCCGCTGGGGCCTTGGCGGTCAGCAAGGCTGCTGTGAACCTACGATGTTGATGTGTGAGACGCGGACTTCGCAATAGATAACCACCGCAGCTAGGAAGCAGGTCGCAAATAGAAGGATTATGTACTCAAGCACCTGGCTAATATTCCGTAGAAGATCGTCTGCGTCAGAAGAACCGCGTGTTCAGAGAATAACTACCTGATTACAAGCGTAAATCACGAATCTCTGGCCCTGACCAGCAAGAAGCTTCAAGCGAAACCAGCGAGCAAACCACGTCAGAAAATCCCTCAATCACCCACATTCTGAACATAAACTTGCTATACGTTTGGAATACAGCGATACCTATACACTTTGCCGTTCATAATCTTATCTGAAATATATTTTCCAGAGGGCGTGTGCGTTTGGCGAATACAGCTCTATCGCAGAAACACGTCTGTCACAGACGCGGTTTCTCTGGTCGCGCGGGAGCGGCTGGGGCAACTGCCACTGGGATTGCTTCATCGAGATATCCAGTCTTTGCGAAGTCTTCGCGAACACTTTGGAAGCTCGTCACCCTTTTCGCCTAGAGAAACCGCTCTCGCACAACTGCATTATCGCAACAACCTCAAGCACTTACAGTATTCAAAGATACTGCTACACCTTGTGCGGCCATAACTGAAGCCTGTTTGTAGCACTGTAGATCGCCTCAGGAACTCCGTCAACTCGAAACAACCATGGATGGTCGTCCTCCCTCGAGAATAGAGGATATTTCACGACTTCCAACGTGCACACAGCCTCTGATGCTGACCGGTTTTAGAAGTTGTCTGTTCCTAGACGTGTTCTAGACCTTTCTTAGGTCCCTTGACGCTGGGATTCTCCGTAGAGCTGGCTTTCCCTGATCTACCCTGACTTATCGGCACAGCCGAACTGTTTGGTATAGTCTAGAAGAGATAGCGACGCATTGCACGCCAACACTTTTCATGGCCATCGTCGTATAGGTAGCACTGTTTCGTCATCTTAGGTTTGCGTCGTTTGTGTAGCATTAGCAGAGACTCCTCGTTATGGCCATGCTAAGCAGCTGGCAGGCCGACCCTCTCTTCCCGGCAGCGGAGGAGGTGCAGGACTCAGCAGACAGGTACGCTGATCGAGCCCTGTTGCACGCCTTGCTTGCCTTTTCTCATAGGCGTAGACATAGAGTCTCCGTCGCTATGTTCGTGGTGTATTATCTCGGGTCTGGTTTCTGTCCCTCTATGTTTTTCTTCGCAAGTAGTTTATCGGCCTTCTTTTCAGCATTTTTTTAGACGTTCAGCCATACTTACTCCTAGGCGAGAACATTTCTCTCTCCTCTTTCTGCCGCGCTGCGTAAGCAGGCTGCGATCCAGTTTCCACCAATGGCAGCAGCTCGCGACGGCTGATACCACCGGGTCAGGAGGCGGCGGGTCAGCGAGGGTGGACGAGGAGGGCGTGAGGCTCGTGCTCCTGTCTGCGTGCGATACCTTGAAATGGCAGGTATGGATTGGCCATGCGGCTCGTGCTCTTTTGCGATCGGTGCAATTCCTTCCCAGCTAAGAGCGACGGATATTAAACCGGCGAACCTCCATCCCTCCGCTTCACCTTTTTTCGCCCAAAAAATAGCATCGTTTTCCCCTCTGCTCCTCACCCTTGACCTCGTTCCTACTCACGCTACTCCCTTCTTCCCCTCCCCCTCCTCCCCACCCCCTTCCCCCCTCGAGCAGCTTCAAGAGTTTGAGCGCGCTGTGCTCCGCGATGCGGCTTCCTCCGCCGCGTCTCTCCGCCGCCCGGAGCGTGCGAGCGGGGGGCGACCGCAGGAGGCGCAAGCGCGGAGGCAGCAGTTCATCTCCGCCATCCGCGCGCAGCTCGCGCAGGTCGATACCGCCGTCCGCCGATCTTCCCCTCGGGGGAAGGCCACTCGGCCCACAGGTCCCCCTTATTCTCCCGGAAACGGCCCTTCTGCTGCGGATTCGTCGCGACCGTCACTGCTGCTGTCCTCTCTGTCGTCCAAGTTTTTTGGCTCTGTGTCACGGGCCGTTGGTACTAGCACCCGTTACAACAGCAGCAACAGCAACAGCAGCAGCTACGTCGGTAGAAGTGGTACCAGCAGCAGCAGCAGCAACAACACCAGCAGTAACAGCACGGACCAGATTACGTCGGATCACTTGGTCAGTTTCCTCTCCGCCCCGTCTGCCCCTCCGCCCTCTGTCATTTCCCCGCAAGAGCTGCATCTGCGCCCGCTCACTGTAAGGAAACCGGATGTGCCCGTAACGAGCAGCTGGCGAGGGGCGGGTGATTGTAGGGAGCGTGAGTCTGTAGGGGGACTGCTACCGACCGCAGCACCAGACCAGGGAGGGAATAAAGCGGGGCACAGTGGGTCAGCGTGGGCCTCTGATGAAAACACCATAAGCAGGGAAGGGAGGTCGCGTTGGCAACAGCAGCAGGAACAGGCGCAAGAGCAGGAGCAGAATTGTACATGGCGGGAAACAGCAGTGGGCGCGCATTCTGTTAGCGGAACCAGAGCGGGTGGGAGTGAGAGTCGGGGTGGGTCAAGGCCACCAGTGACTGCTGGAGGGGGGTTTGGTGCAGCTTCTGCTTCTGCGGCTGCTGCTGCTGTTGCTGTACCCTCCCATTTACTGCAGTGGTTGAATGCGGGTAGCAACACCCCACCGTCCGCTGCCTCAGTCGCAGGCAGATGGATGCAAGGCAGTAGAGTGGGTGGGGAGGGTCAAGAGGAGGAAGAGGACGAGGAGGGGGGCGTAGCTTGTGTGGGGAAAAGGTGTGTTGACTACTTGTCTGAGAGTGAGGGGGAGCGGGACGACGTGGGAGCGGCAGGAGAGAGAGAGAGGGCTTCGTTACAATTGAGGGCAGACCATCAGGCTGTGGCTGCAGTGCGAGTGTGTGTGGCTAGGGATGCTGCAGCAGGAACTGGTGTGGGATGGCGGAAAGGAGGCGCCTCGTTTTCGTCCCTTCCCGCCGCTGCCTTGGGGGCAGCAGCAGCAGGAGCAGTGGCAGCAGCTGATTACCCATCTTTGACCCATCCGCCACCTATGCAGCCTCCAGCGTTAAACTTTACCCCACTATCAGACCGTATATCCAACCCCCTCGCATGTGACGCGCCGCCACAGCAACACACTCCGCATCAGCAGCTCCTCTCCCCTACCGCGCACCATCCTCTATTGCCTCCCCCGGCCGCGTTACCTCGGTCCCCCCCTCGCGGGGCCGTTCAATGGGTCGCATTTCTGCTGCAGCAGTTCCAGCAAGGGGTGGAGCGGGGCAGGGAGCAGAACCAGGAGCAGGGGCGAGGGGAGAAGCATGTGTGCTGCCAGGCCTGTGGGAGGCACCACTGCGGCAGTGCTGGTGGGGTGGGGGGCTGTAGGGGCAAGTGCGCTGAGAGTGACAGTGATGGCGGGGGAGTGGCAGGAGCAGGGGAAAGGAGAGTAGGAGGAGGAGGGGGAAGGGGAGGAGTGGTGGCAGCAGGTCCGGAGTTGAAGCTAGGGAGCTTGTCATGTCTGACTGTGGCGGACCTTGAGCTGGTGAGTGTGGATGATTGTGAGGTGTCTTGGAGGCATATCCTGACCACACTGCCTCTCATTGAATCTCCTGTGCACAATTTTCTGTTCTGTGCACCATCTTCCTTCATTTTGTTCCGGCTTGTTGGTCTCTGGCGCTCACTCTGTAGCTCTGGTCTCCTCTCCTCTCTGCCTATCCACGCTGTCCGTCCCCTCCGTCGCTACTGTTCCCTTACCTCAGGGCCTTGCTCATTTCAATGCCTGCAATACCACCACCGCCAACAACAGCAACAGCAGTAACAGCACCAGTCGCTTCCGTCGCTTCCACTATTTCTGGCCCGTAGCCTCCTCGCCAGCCCCTCCTCCCATGACCGAGGAAGAGGACGAAGAAGCCCACCGTCGTGTGGTCGGCTGGCAGCTATCAGTCAAGCGACGGCGTCCGTTACTGGGCGGCAGCAGCAGCGCAAGCTGCAGCTCTGGTGTTACTGGCAGCAGTATTGCCAGCAGTGCTGGCGGTGGCACTTGCAGCAGCAACGGTAATTCTGGGGGATCGTTGGGCAGTGGTGCTGGTGATGTGGGCTTGACAGCGCTACAGGTGGTGGCTGTGGTTGTGTGTACCTCGGTGGTGGTGTGTGTGCTGCTGCTGCTGCTGAAGCTTCACAGCTCATATGAAGGGGTGAATTCCAGTGGCACTGGCACTGGCATGTCAAGCGAGTGAACGTAGTGGTAAGAGTAGAGTGATGAGCATCTAGATTTTGATCCTAGCACAGTTTTCCACATTCTGCACGTCATATGCTTCATTCATTCCCGTTCATTCAGTTTTGTTCTCAGCGGTAGGGCTAGCATGATTGCAGAAATAATCCGAGAGCGTAAGCTTGGTCTGGTCCTCCATATAATAAATGAAATTGTTTTCCTTAGCTGTGTTGTTTCCGATGCTACTGATTTCTTTGTTTGACGGCGACCGCAACAGCGAGTCGTCACAAACCCGTCAAATACCGGTATCTCGCCACTGTCACCCGAATCAGGGTAGCGAATCCCGTTCCAATTGGCAGCGCAGACTGTCGCCTGCCAGGGCCCCAATGACGTGCCACGGACATGACCTGACGTCTTCTGGGTCACAGCTGTCACATCTCACAGTGTATCCTGTCTTCCTTTCGTAAACCAGCTGCTATCAGACGCCGAGGAACTCACTAACGCGGTTAATTCAGCCTGAACCAAGATTGTTGAAGGAACCATGTGAAATGTGTATCACCCTCCGCTCTCGGTGCCACAGTCTACCTCGGTCTCAGTACCGTGTTCTTCTCATTACCGTAGTCTCTGTACCGTCGTCTTCTCGATACCTGTAGACAGCTGGTTCGACCGAAGCATGGTGCGCTTCTTCCTCCCGCCTCTGGATCACGAAGACGGCGACAGCGACGACGACGCCGCCGCGGTGATGAATGACGGAACGGCGGAAACTGACAGGTTTCGAAAAGACGTTAACGTTAGCGTTAACGGTAGCGTTAACGGTAGCGTTAACGACGGCAATGGCCGCGAAGGCGCAGGCAACTCTCACGCTGGTCGACCAGGCCACAATTTTGATAGCGTCAGTCACACGCAACCAGTCCCTTCCACGTCAGACTCTTATCCCGTTGAGACAGCACGTTTCACTGACGACGTATTGCGTGGCAGTGCATCTCAGCCGTTCGTTCGAGAAACTTCTGCTGCAAGGGGGGAAGAGATGCCTGCAGCGGGGGAAGAGAGCGCTGTTGGGGCGATTTGGGGAGAGGCAGCTGCGGGAGAGATAGATAGGGGCGTTGGCGGGGAGGGTTGGGTACGGGAGGGGGAAGTGATGGCGGAGAGACGAGCGGCAGGTGTGGGTGAGGAGGTTGGAGAGGAGAGGAGGGTCAGAGGCGAGGAGGGGACGGCAGGAGGCGAGGAGGGGAGGGAAGGAGGCGAGGAGGGGAGGGAAGGAGCGGCGGATGCGAGGGCATCCGGTGACTCGTATGCAGCACGGTGGCTCTCGAGCAGAGCAGAGCAGTGCTCTCAAGCTGGTGGCTGTGCTCGAGCTGATGACGTCACTCGAGATGGCAACCATTCCCTACCAGAGGGAACGGCAAGGGATTCAGAGGAAGCAAAGCCCGCAGAACCGTCCGTACGTGTGACAGGAGCAGAAGAAGCAGCAGAAGCAGCAGCAGAAGAAGCAGCAGAAGAAGCAGGAGCGTTGGGTCCCAGGCACAGATTCACGGCAAGGCCCTCCGAATCTGGCCTGCGAGCTAGAGGGTTTCAGGGGTGGAAGAGACGGACCCGAAGCTTTGGCTTGGTGCGGTGTGGCAAGGCGGTGGGGAGGACACAAGAGAGGATTTTAACGGACGGGATAGTAACGGGGATGATCAGCCAAGCCAAGCCAGCAGCAGCGGATGGCGATAGGCATAGGAAAGGGGCGGATGCAGTGGGCGGGGGGAAGCGGAACGGCGGATGGGGTGTTGGCAAGGCCGGTGACTGCACTACTGACGCCTCTGGGAGTGCTGGTGAGGGCAATTTGCCTTGCTGCTCAAGTCAGAAGGAGCGTGCAGATTGTGATGACAGTTGTCCGGGGAATAAGACATTGCAGGGAAGTGACGCGTGCCACCAAGATGACACCAGGTGTTTCAAAGACGACACGTGCCTCACAAGAGATGACAGCGGATGCAAACTAGACGACACGTGGTCCGGCAGGAGGCAGAGCTGTGGGAGGCTTGGTGCTGACGTGGCGGTGGGTGAGTCAGCAGCGGATCAGCTGTGGGCGGCAGTGGAGGAGCTTCTGGAGTGCCCAGTCTGCTGCATGGAGCTTTCTGCTCCCATCTACCAGGTAACGTGCCATGTGCTACAATATAGCTCCTGTGACAACGCGTCATGTACCGTAATGGAGCCTGGATATTTTTTAGATGTCTCATGTGTTGTGTTATGTGCCGTAATGTAGCCTGTATGATTTCTGGTGCCACAGCGTCTGGTGCTGACGATCTGCAACAGTCAGAGCAGAATACTCAACTCCAGCGTCTGGTGCTGTCTGTCTGCGACAGTTGGCGCGATTCGCCTCAACTCCAACGTCTACTCCCTTTTAGCGCCATATGGCCAATCTTGGTCCTTTACCTACTCGCCTGCCCCGTTTTCAACCCACCTTCAGCCTTCTCTTCTCCACCCCCTGTCCTCAAGCCGCCTCTCCGTTCCTCTCTGCAACTCATTTTCCCTATGTCCTCTTTTCTCCACCCCCGCACATCACAGTGTCACAGGGGCCATGTGATCTGCTCCGCATGCATCAGCCACCTGGCGCATCATTCCTGTGCGCCTTCCGAACCAGCAAATAGTGCTGCTAGCATTCGTCTTCACGCCAACTCCACACGTGCTGCTGTTGCTGCTGCTGCACCTTCTGCTCCTTCCACTGTTGCTGCTGCTGGGTCTGCTAATGGGGTTGCTGCTCGTGGCAGCGCCATGCCATCACATGCAGCAGTGTGCTGCCCCATGTGCAGAGACCCCATGGCCGTCCCACTCATGGCATCAGAGTGTTGTGCAGGGAGTACAGAGGGGAAGGCTCCAGCAGACTCGGTGGCTGGGACAGCAGCAGGCTGGGTCACAGGCACAGCAGCAGGGGCACCAATGGCTGCTGCGTCATTAGGAGGGGCTGTGTCGCTGATACATGCGACAAGCTCTCCTCTGTTTTCTCCAGGACGAGTTGGAATTGAAGGCAGTAATTCCCGTGGCAGTTTTGTGAGCCTGAGGGGACGGGATCTCGGTGTAGGTAGGTCATGGAGGGATGGACGCAGTACCAGCAGGTTTGGGAGAACGGGTGGGTCAGCTGCAGGAGCTAATGCTCAAGCTGAGTCATCATGCCTTATCAGGAATCTTGCTCTTGAGCAACTCGCTTCTACAGTGGCAGCCTTGCGTACTGCACCTGCTGGCCTGGCTTCACATGTATTGTTTGAGTAAGGCTTGTTTTGTACAGAGAATGCTTGCCTTAAAGCCCAAGACCTGAATTGCTCAACGCAAGTCAACGCGGGGCAAAACTGTGGGCTGCGGGAGGCAAACTGTGCACAGTTTGCCTTCGTTTTTTGTAATTCGGGTCTTGGGCTTTAAGAGTGTAAGGCATAGTACAGCATGGTCAAGCTCCTGAGTGGTATCTACGCATGTGTGAGCACCTTTCATTTCAAAATCGACTGATAAGAACATGGAATGTGCTTGTCTCCCAAATAGTGAAACCGAGTTGTCAACATGTACAGTATCTAAGTGAAGGGATTGGCACACATTGACAAGGATCTTGCCATTATAATGTGTTGGTGATGGTAAGCTATAGGGGCAATCATGTATCAACAAGTTTGTTTTTCTGGGTTTGAGGCACATGGGTAGTTAATATGCTGTGCTACCTGCTATCAAGATGATTAGTTGTGTTATTATTAATGGACAGAATAGACGGTATACATGTCAGACAATTGACATAATACTAGGACGAACCAACATCCAACCTGTGACAGTTATATCCGGTTAGGATAATGCAAGCGTCGAAATCGAGGTGGGCACCTTGACAGGAATATTTGTGCCGCAAGAAGGGGAGCGCACGCATGCTGTTCGGCAATTTCATACGTGGACACTGCGCGGCAATCTTGTCGCCAATAGAAAGCCAGAGGTAGACGTGTCTGCGTCCAGCTCAGACGTGGAATCCCAAGGTATCTGGGCCAGCCACGAACCTTCTGAGCCGCATGAAGGAGAAATGTGTCTGCCCCACAATCAGGTGTGCTTCCCCACAGTCCTTACGCAGAGCAGTTGTAGGCTGACGCTTGTTCAGGTCCAGACCAGTTGAAAGCAGAAAGGGATTTCATATATTGTTTGCGTGTTCGTTTAGGGGCTGGTTCTTCCAAGCTTGCCGTCGAAGTAGACACGCTTCTTGTGCAGAAGCTGCTGACCATGGAGGGCGCTGTTGCTGTCGTGACGGAGGTCTCTAAGCATGCTGTGGGATCCCTTCCTGATACGTTTTTGAATGTCTTTATTCCAGCAACCGCAGTTATTGGCATTCTCTTCGCTATTTTCCAATGGTTCATGGTCTCTCGCATTCGTGTCGGCGGTGCTCCGGACGGCCAGTACGGACTTCTGGAAGATGGGACAGCAGACACTGTACTCCAGCAGGTTTCTGAGATCCAGTCCGCCATTTCCATGGGTATGTGATTAGAAATAACAAGTGGCATGCATCCTTAACCGCAAATTTTGTTATCTTCAACCTGAAATCTGACCGTCTGATATTTGACTCTCGGCAGGTGCTGAGTCGTTCCTGACAACGGAGTACAAGTACCTGGCCGTCTTCATGAGCGGCTTTTCCGTTATCATCTTTCTCTTTCTTGGATCTGTCGACAACTTCGATCAGAAGGGTATCGCCAACGCTGGCTTCAGCACCTTGGCCTTCATCCTCGGAGCTCTTACATCGACGGGTTCTGGCTACCTCGGCATGAAGATTGCTACTTGTAAGTACTTGTCAGTGCGTATTAACTAGCGGCTATCCTGGCAACGATTATTTTTACTGGATATATGTACTTGTTCGCTGCAGATGCTAACGCGAGGACCACCTTGGAAGCCAGGAAGGGAATTCCTGCAGCATTCGTGGTTGCGTTCCGCGCTGGATCGGTCATGGGTTTCCTCCTGTCGGCGAACGGACTGCTGGTGTTGTTCCTGACCATCCTCGCCTACAGGAAGTACTACGGCGATGACTGGGCCGGCCTGTACGAGTCCATCACAGGTTACGGTCTTGGTGGTTCATCTGTGGCCCTGTTTGGTCGTGTTGGTGGTGGTATTTACACCAAGGCTGCTGATGTCGGTGCGGATCTCGTGGGCAAGGTTGAGAGGAACATTCCCGAGGACGATCCCAGGAACCCTGCTGTAAGTACTGCTATCAAGTGGCTTTCTAGCATTTAATCTGAAAGCTTGTGAACAATACTGATGCATTTTTCATCTGTACAGGTTATTGCTGACAACGTGGGAGACAATGTGGGTGACATTGCTGGCATGGGTTCTGACCTGTTCGGCTCCTTTGCCGAGTCGACCTGCGCAGCGCTTGTAATCTCGGCCCTTTCTCAGCCTGGAAAGGACCATGATTTCTCCGCCATGTGCTTCCCTCTTCTGGTCAGCGGTGCTGGTATTCTTGTGTGTCTGATCACCACCATCATTGCAACGGATATTCAGCAAGTGAAGGAGAAGGCTGAGATTGAGCCGGCTTTGAAGAAGCAGCTGGTGATCTCCACTGTGCTGATGACTCCTGTGATCTTCCTTGTCGCGTTCTACGCTCTTCCGCCTACCTTCAATATCACTGTTGTCGGCCAGGCCGACAAGGTTGTTCAGAACTGGTGAGTCCGACTCCGAAATGTGTTTGCGCTAGCACTGGTGAATGTTATCGCAGGCATTGCGCTAAACATTTCACCTTATCTTGCAGGTACGCATTCGCGTGCGTCGCATCTGGACTTTGGGCTGGTCTCCTCATCGGTTTTGTCACCGAGTACTTCACGAGCAATGCCTATGTGTAAGTCGATGGTCATGTGATTGTTCCCCTTTTCGCACCCATTCAACCCCTCGGAAGAATAAGGCTGCATCAAGCGATTACATGGGAACAAGGAGAACGAATGACTGATTCAGAAGTTTGTCTGACCTTCAGGCCTGTTCAAGACGTTGCTGACTCTTGCCGCACTGGTGCGGCCACTAACATCATCTTTGGCCTTGCCCTTGGCTACAAGTCGGTTATCATTCCGGTGTTCGCTATTGCGGCTGCGATCTACGTGAGCTTCCAGTTCGCTGGCATGTACGGTATTGCCCTGGCTGCTCTTGGAATGCTGAGCACTCTCGCAACTGGTCTGGCGATTGATGCGTATGGGCCAATCAGTGACAATGCTGGTGGCATTGCTGAGATGGCGGGTATGGGTGAGGAGATCCGTGAGCGCACTGATGCTCTTGATGCTGCTGGAAACACCACTGCGGCTATTGGCAAGGTAAGTTCGGATTTTTGTTTTGTTTTTTATTTTGTTTTTTTCTTTAATTATTGTTTGCTGTGTCTTGGCATTTGTTTGTCAAATCTGAAGTTGAGCTTTCTGTAATTGCTTGCAGGGCTTCGCCATTGGTTCTGCTGCACTTGTGTCCCTTGCTCTGTTTGGAGCTTATGTGAGCCGGGCCAAGGTCAAGGTTGTCAATGTGACTGAGCCCCAGGTATGCTTTGTTGAACCAGTTTTTCTTACTATGAAACACTTTAGAGCAAGTTTGTGGAGACTGAATTTAGCATGCTTGTCTGTTTGATGCAGGCCTTTGTCGGGCTCCTTGTTGGTGCTATGCTGCCCTACTGGTTCTCTGCCATGACCATGAAGAGTGTGGGCAAGGCTGCTCTTGCAATGGTGGAGGAGGTTCGTCGCCAGTTCAACACCATGCCTGGCTTGATGGAGGGAACCACGAAGCCAGACTACAAGAAGTGTGTGGAGATTTCAACGGCTGCCTCTCTGCGTGAGATGATTCCTCCTGGCGCGCTTGTGATGCTGAGCCCTGTGATTGCGGGAACCCTGTTTGGAACCACCACTCTGGCTGGCATGCTGGCGGGTGCGCTGGTGTCTGGCGTCCAGATTGCCATTTCTGCGTCCAACACTGGTGGTGCATGGGACAATGCCAAGAAGTACATCGAGGCTGGCAACTCTGCCCATGCCAAGAGCCTTGGTCCCAAGGGTTCTGATCCCCACAAGGCTGCGGTCATTGGCGACACTGTTGGTGATCCCCTGAAGGATACATCAGGCCCGTCGCTGAACATTCTGATCAAGCTGATGGCTGTGGAGTCCCTGGTGTTTGCTCCCTTCTTTGCCACTCACGGTGGCATCATCTGGGGTGGCAAATAGATGTTGAAGCATGTGGGAGGGATTAGGATGTGTGTGTGATGCCTAAGGATCATCAGTAATGACCTTGTGAGTGGTGATTAAATTTCAGAGTTTTGAAGAAAGGTTTTACCAAAGAGTGCAGTTGCATTAAGGAATGTGATACACGTATCTACATACAGTACTAGAAGTTCCTGCTTGGCAAGTTAAAATCAAATCCCACCTAGGGTTCTCTTGGATGGGGGACTAATGGCCTGCTTTTGCACCTCCTGGGATAGGAAACCTAAGATCAATTCCAGCCCGATTTTCATTTCAATAATAAAACGTACAAGTCAACCCCCTCAAACGAGAAATCTTTATGTAAATCTTCCTTCTCTATCTTCCTTACAATCGCAAATGTGGAAGGTAATAAGCTCCAGAACTTGTCATGGGCCTCCTGTTGTCTTAGCCTGTAACCAAGCACGAGCGTCGTTTTCTTGTCACTTACTGCTGCCATTGTGGCAATCAACCTCTCGACATCTTCCTCTATGTACACCACATCAGTCACAATGACGAAGTCGAAGGGAGGCTTGACTGAACAAATATGCTTGTCATTGCCCCAGTAGAGTTGCACTGGCTTGAGTTTCCCTGGTGCTGAGAAAGATGATTTGTAAGCCTCAGATAGCGAGTTAAGGTTCCTCTTCAAATTCCGTTTCAGAATAGGGAGGACTGGTTGTATGTCTGTCGCAGTGACATCACAGCCAAGCAAGGCCATAGCCATTCCTGCGGCATGTGAAAAGGTGGGAAGGAAATCCGACTTAATTGCATGATTCGCAGTTGCGGCGAAGTGAGTAGGGAAAGACCGAACGAACCCTGAAAGACCACGAGCTTATTACCAGCTATGCCGCATCCCGCTCCAAGCTCGACCGCTCGTTTTCCAGCGACCTTCGAGCCTGAGAGCTCGCATTCGTCGTTTTCATAATTCTTCTCTAGCCATTTTGCGAACACTAGTGAGGCCTCCCACACGCTCGTCCCCACATGCATAGATTCATTATCCTGCACTATACTTAAAGGCTGACCCCATAACTGCAGATCCACAGTTCGCTCTGCCGAAAACCACATGAGCCTAGATAGTGTGGAAACTGTGCTGGAAAAGCTAAGGCCAGAGCTCGAAGAGTTCGTGAAGAGTTTGTGAGAAAGGAAAGGAGAATGGTGAATCGGTGTTTTGGACAGGCGGAAATGAGATTTAGGGGACATGCATACATGCATAATTTTTGTGTAAGCGGCGGGGACAAGCGATTGGATCAGGGTGGACTGCATGTGTTCAGATTTTCGCAGGACACAGAAACCTTGTGATTCAATTCGCGAGTCTATTGTCGAACTCGCACCTCAATTGTATCACTGATTGCACAAAAGCTGCTCACCAATCGAATCAAAGCCTCCAAGTGCACTTTCATATGTGTACTTCAAGCGGCTGTCAGTTCCCAATAGCGAGTAGAGATTTCACGTGTCGCAACCAGATCAGATGCCCAGCGCAGCTCCGCAGCATTTTCCCGCTGGCGAATTTCATGAATTCTGATCTGCCTTTACATGGCCCTCCTCTCAGGAATTCCCGTAAAAGCCCCAATTTCTTGATGACTGGTCAGATAACCAAGTTTGCAGGGAGGGCTCCAGACTTCTCGGTTCAGCCAAGTACAGACCCGTTTTGACTGCTAGCTCGTCAGCCATGGCTGATGCTGTGACATTGGTCACGGAGGTCTCTAAGCATGCTAAGGGGGCACTTCCTGATTTGTTCCTAAATGTTTTTATTCCAGCAACAGCAGTTGTTGGCATTCTCTTCGCTATCTTCCAATGGTTCATGGTCTCTCGCATCCGTGTTGGCGGTGCTCCCGACGGCCAGTACGGACTTTTGGAAGATGGGACAGCAGACACTGTCATCCAGCAGGTTGCTGATATTCAGTCTGCCATTTCCATGGGTAAGGGAAACATACAGCATTCAGTTTTAATATATATTACAACCATCCAGCTATCATTGGCCACCCTTATCCGGTACATTCACCACAACCGTTCAGTGCAACTGACGTGACGATTTCCTTGCCTGTTTACAGGTGCGGAATCGTTCCTCACCACGGAGTACAAGTATTTGGCCGTCTTTATGAGCGGCTTCTCCGTGATCATCTTTCTCTTTCTTGGATCGGTCGACAACTTCGATCAGCAGGGCATTGCCAATGCTGGTTTCAGCACTTTGGCATTCGTCCTCGGAGCTCTGACATCGACGGGGTCTGGATACCTTGGCATGAAGATCGCTACCTGTAAGCGCTATATATCTTGCAGTTTTCCCTGGAACGCATACCTTGAGCAGCTTGTTCACTAATGTGCTAACTTCGTGATGTGCTCGTTGACGTTGCAGATGCCAACGCGAGGACGACCATGGAAGCTAGAAAGGGAATCCCAGCGGCCTTTGTGGTTGCTTTCCGCGCTGGATCGGTCATGGGTTTCCTCCTGTCGGCGAACGGACTGCTGGTGTTGTTCCTGACCATCCTCGCCTACAGGAAGTACTACGGCGATGACTGGGCCGGCCTGTACGAGTCCATCACAGGTTACGGTCTTGGTGGTTCATCTGTGGCCCTGTTTGGTCGGGTTGGTGGTGGTATTTACACCAAGGCTGCTGATGTCGGTGCGGATCTCGTGGGCAAGGTTGAGAGGAACATTCCCGAGGACGATCCCAGGAACCCTGCTGTAAGTACTGCTATCAAGTGGCTTTCTAGCATTTAATCTGGAACCTTGTGAACAATACTGATGCATTTTTCATCTGTACAGGTTATTGCTGACAACGTGGGAGACAATGTGGGTGACATTGCTGGCATGGGTTCTGACCTGTTCGGCTCTTTTGCCGAGTCGACCTGCGCGGCCCTTGTGATCTCGGCCCTGTCTCAGCCTGGGAAGGACCATGATTTCTCGGCCATGTGCTTCCCTCTTCTGGTCAGCGGTGCTGGTATTCTTGTGTGCCTGATCACCACCATCATCGCAACGGATATTCAGCAAGTGAAGGAGAAGGCTGAGATTGAGCCGGCATTGAAGAAGCAGCTGGTGATCTCTACCGTGCTGATGACTCCTGTGATCTTCCTCGTTGCGTTCTACGCTCTTCCGCCTACCTTTAAGATCACTGTTGTCGGTCAGGGCGACAAGGTTGTTCAGAACTGGTGAGTCCGATTCCGAAATGTGTTCGCGCTTGCACTTGTGAATGTTATCACCGGCATTGCACTAAACATGTCACTTTAACTTGCAGGTACGCATTCGCGTGTGTCGCATCTGGACTTTGGGCTGGGCTCCTCATCGGTTTCGTCACCGAGTACTTCACGAGCAATGCCTATGTGTAAGTGGATGGATTTGTGATTGTTTCCTTTTCCTAGCAACCCCTTGAAGAAGAAGACTACATCAAGCGACTGCATGGAAACAAAGAGAACGAGTTACTAATTCAGAACTTTGTTTGAACTCCAGGCCTGTTCAAGACGTTGCTGACTCTTGCCGTACTGGTGCGGCCACTAACATCATCTTTGGCCTTGCCCTTGGCTACAAGTCGGTTATCATTCCGGTGTTCGCTATTGCTGCTGCGATCTACGTGAGCTTCCAGTTCGCTGGCATGTATGGCATTGCCCTGGCTGCTCTTGGCATGCTGAGCACTCTTGCAACCGGTCTGGCCATTGATGCGTACGGACCAATCAGTGACAATGCTGGTGGCATTGCTGAGATGGCGGGTATGGGTGAGGAGATCCGTGAGCGCACCGATGCTCTGGATGCTGCTGGAAACACCACTGCTGCTATTGGCAAGGTAACAATTCATTTCTCGTGGCGTGTCTTTGTGTTGTGCTGTTTCCCTTTGGTATCAATCTTAAGTAGCGTTTCTTGTTATCTGCTTGCAGGGCTTTGCCATCGGCTCTGCTGCACTCGTGTCCCTTGCTCTATTTGGAGCTTATGTAAGCCGGGCCAAGGTTAACGTTGTCAACGTGACCGAGCCCCAGGTATGCTTTTGTCATATCACTTCTGTGACTTAGCAACGCAGTTGTGCGACAACTGAAAAATTACATGCTTTTCTGTTGGATGCAGGCCTTCGTCGGGCTCCTCGTTGGTGCTATGCTGCCCTACTGGTTCTCTGCCATGACCATGAAGAGTGTGGGCAAGGCTGCTCTTGCAATGGTGGAGGAGGTTCGTCGCCAGTTCAACACCATGCCTGGCTTGATGGAGGGAACCACGAAGCCAGACTACAAGAAGTGTGTGGAGATTTCGACTGCTGCCTCTCTGCGTGAGATGATTCCTCCTGGCGCGCTTGTGATGCTGAGCCCTGTGATTGCGGGAACCCTCTTTGGAACCACTACCCTTGCTGGCATGCTGGCGGGTGCGCTGGTGTCTGGCGTCCAGATTGCCATTTCTGCGTCCAACACTGGTGGTGCATGGGACAATGCCAAGAAGTACATTGAGGCTGGCAACTCTGCTCATGCCAAGAGCCTTGGCCCCAAGGGCTCTGATCCCCACAAGGCTGCAGTTATTGGGGACACTGTTGGTGATCCCCTGAAGGACACGTCAGGCCCGTCCCTGAACATTCTGATCAAGCTGATGGCTGTGGAGTCGCTGGTGTTTGCACCCTTCTTTGCCACCCACGGTGGCATCATCTGGGGAGGCAAGTAGATGAGATCTGGTTCTGTGAGGTAGTTGTGTTTCGGCTTGAAGATCTGTTGTCTCTTCGTGATTGTGAGGGACGTTATATCTAGGGTAGACATGTTTGAGGTGAGGTAGTACTATGTAGTGACATTTGGTGTAGTGTCATGATTCCATGGCATGTAAGGCTATATTGAGCAAGAGAGCTAGTTGATAATTTTCATGCAGGCCTAGTTTGTAACAGGAACTTGAGGGACACTGATTGAGGAAAATGAACAACGTTTGTACACAGATTGAGAATACTCTGTTGAAATTCATCATCTTTCTGTACAGTCACAGTCTGTCTTGGTAATGAGATTAAGGGTACATTCCTGCCTGGAAATTCATATTTTTTGGTAAGGATCAACATAAACTTGGTGTAGGTACCAAAGCCCGTTTTCAACGTCATGCCAAGACATCAGTCAAGCTGCTTGCCGCACAATACCATATGCTGGAAAACCAGTCCTAACCCCAGGTGTAGGCTTGATTTCAAGATCTGGGCATCTAGACATTAGAAATGCAAGGCAATGAAAAGAGAGCGGCACACCCCACAAGTTGAGTTCTCTCAGTTGCATACATCCTGCCACCACAGCAAGAACTCCCTTGTCCGTCACTTTACGACATCCCCACAAATTTAGAATCTGCAGGATAAGGGGTGGACAAAAACACATTTAAACCATGTCAACATGAGTGAAATGCAACAAATTGCTTCAAGACTAGGGGCCAGGAGAACCAACCTCCAGAGATGGGCATGAACGGGCGATGTTGAAGATTGAAGATGAGGTGACACAGGTTCCTCCCAAGTTTAGATGCTTGAGCCCCTTACACTTCACCACCTGCATGGATGGAGGTAAGCCTCAAGGAAGTCTCTCAGTCTACTATCATGCACACATGTATGCCTCCAGGAAAGTCGCAATGTACACCATAGATAGCAATAGCAGCAATGACTTGCCAACCCAACCTGGAGGCATTCATTGCAAGTACGTATGGCCTAATCAAACAGGCAACATACCCAGAAAGTACGTGACATCCACCCCACACATGAATTTGCTGCCAGTTCCTGTGTCTGCTTGATTCGGGGTCTCTCTGAAATGGGTGTTCTACTTGCCAACATACCCCTCAAGCTTGTAAAATTGTAAATGACATGCAGTATTTTGTTGATAGTGACTGGAACGAGGCTTGACGAAGCAAGAGGCTTACCAGTCGGCAGATGCCAGCATCAGAGACGCCCTTCACTCCCCACAGAGATAATGACTGAAGCTGGCAAACAGGAGTAGCCTTACTAGCAGCCTCAAGTGATGCATCAGACAAGCGGCAACCACACCTGTACACAAAGGAACCACAGTATGTTTATCCAACTTAAGCTACAATGAGACTCTGACCTCACTCGAGCTGTTGAACAAATCAGCCTCACACATGGGTTGATGTTTTTGACAACGAATCCACGTACAGGTCGAGCTCTGTGACGACGCAAGCCATGGGAATGATGGATGGCAGGGCGAACTCCGGATTACGGCACTTGCCGAAGGTCAAGCGCTGTCGATGCCCCCACAATCGCACTGCTGCACTACGCCAAGACCTCGAAACTCTGGCGGCACTGTAACGCACGATGGGCGAGCAGAACGAAAGAAATTTAAAATGACTTGTGCGAATCGCGAAACGGGGCGGTGGGAATTGAGAGAGAATTTGCAGACTGGATGAGCATCCTAAGACTCGCCTTGCAATGTCATGATACGAGCGAAGGTGTTGGAAGCAATGAATCAGAACATCTTCGGGGAGTTCTGGCGGCTCTTTGTAATCGTCATAAAGGTCTTCCGAGGATGTTTCTGCACCATCATCGTCATCGTGTCTCTCTGACCACCATGCTGATCCATCATCTCTAGGATTTCCCCAGTCTAGTAGCCGCGCCAGAAGCAACTGCGCCATGCGTGTCGCTATACACCCAGAGATCTATACAGGTTATACAGCTGAATTATGTACACGAAAGGGAGCGAATAAACGCTACCAACGGACCATGTTACTCGTGCTGCTTTGGACCACACGCGTGGCAGGTAGGCCAACAAACGATCACGAAACACAGGCCGCGTGAGCGTACGCTAGTCTAGAATGACTGCAGTGACAATGGTCGCTACAATTCGCTAAGCCTTGCTAAATTCAACTTCAGTTCCTATACTTCACCCCACTCTTCAGCCATCCGTGGCATCACAACGCACAACGCACACCTGATCTCTATTCTCTTCTCTTCTCCTCCCTCGCATTCCTAAACCAGAGATAACACAGATCGTCCTGTGTTACTCTTGCTGGCATTATAGTCTTCAGCTACTCTCACAGAAGTCGTCCTGGTTCCTTGCTTTTAGCTTGACCATGGTTTCGTGTCGTCGTGGGCTGTTGTGTTGGGTTCTCTGACAGTAGACTGTTAGAACTGTTGAATCATGGAGGAGATCAGGTGGAAACCTGGGCAGGAAATGCTGGCATACAACACACCGCTGGATGGAAAAAGCGCCCAGAATTGGCCAGTGATTCTCGAGGTCGAGTCAGCAGAGGGTACGTTGATTGGTCGTTTGAACTCCTGCCAGTAATGTCAGCCCCTCGTTCGTTCGAGGGCAGCAGAAACTTGTCCAGCGCTGCGGAGCACTCTCACGTGCCTGCCGAAATTGGGTCATTCTGTCCACACCGAACTTTGCAGACGGGAAACGCGTTTCTAGTTTTCTCGCTATGAAAGTTTGAATCACATGTGTAACACTTCATACCGCTTCCGCAATCCTGAGTTACAGTAAACTCCTGCCTGTTAGCTAGGAGCACACCTCCACATAACCCCGCGTCCGCGGTTGCCAGTTGAGAGAACTTCATTAGGTTACTAGCATAATCGTACCCGCAAGTTTCCGCTCACCATGGGTGGATTGTTTGGAGATTTACCTCCGCCTTCCGACGCGGACAAGGCCTCGTCGGACGCAAATCCTTCCGCGGCTTCCGCTTCCGCATCTTCCGCCGGTCGTCCGAAGCTATGGTCCGCCAAAATGACTCCCGCTGCGCTGCGAAAGCCCTCCGCTGCAACCCTCTTTGCTCCGCCAACGTCCGTCCTCCGCAGTCAGTCGCTTTCCGCGTCCAGTGCGGCTTCCCCCTCAGCAAAATCGGCTCGTTTGCCGGCCCCGCCGCCGCTGCCAGTAAGCGGCGCAAGCGGGGGAACAAGTACATCCGCAATCGTCGCCGCAGCTGCCGCAGCAGCAGCTGCAGCGGCAGCGGCATCGGGACTGGGTCCGGGAGCTGGAGGAACGGAAGCGCAAGCAACCCCTATGGCAGTTGATTCCGCTTCCGCCGGCGAGGCTACTCCCCCTTTTCCTTCCGCCTACTCCGCGCAACCTCCGCACCCTCACGCCCCAGCATACCCCCCTGATCCTCGCTTCGCCGCTCATCCAGGATATCAGGCGCCCCCGCCCCCATACGAAAGCGCAGCCGCAGCGTTTTCCCCGCCTGTCCCCCCGTATGGTTCCGCGCCTCCCCTTCCCCCGTATCCCCCCCCGGGCTCTGCCCCTGCGCCTTCACCTGCGCCTGCACCTGCGCCTGCTCCCCCTGTCCTGCCGCCAGGTGGCGGAGCCGCATTGGTTGCTGCAGCTGCTGCAGTGGTAGATGAATACGATCCGGCTAGACCTAATGACTATGAGAAGATTCTAAGGGAGAGGAAGAGGAAGGCTGCTGAGGAGGAGAGGCGGCGGGAGATGGAGAGGAGGAGGAGGGAGGAGGAGGAGAGGGAGAAGGAGCGGGAGGCAGTGCTGCAGCGGCAGAGAGACCTTGAGCTCGCGATCAAGGCTGAACGAGAGGTAAGTGCTCTCGAAATATGCTGTAGGCATTGGGCGTTTAAACTGGCATAGCACCCTCACGTGAGTCAAGGCAAGAGAAGCAGAAAGTTGCTGTTGTCACGTGAATCAATCAGCGCCCAACTTTTCTGTCTGCTGACATCCGTTTCTGCAGAGGGCGGCAGCAGCCAAGGCAGCAGAGCAGGAGGGGGGCGCGTCAGCATCACCAGCAGCAGGTGCAGCCTCTGCTGGCCCGGAACGCTCCCAGCTGCGCGTCAGTGGGGAGGAGGCCTGGCGCCGCAGAGCAATGCTGAGTGGAGGGGCGGCAGGAGGGGGAGCAGGGGGCGGACTAGGAGCAGCAGCGGGAGGAGCTTCGGCAAGCCCACGAGCGGCAGAGAGATCGCCATCGCCTCCGAAGTGAGACTTCTGAACATTTTCGAAACAGTACATCTGGTTTGCTTCTCTTTGCTTGGCTCGTCATGGCTGGTGATTGTGCATCAACCAGCAAATGCATCAATTGTTCAGTTGCTAGCCCGTTCAGTTGCTAACCTCTTGAAGTGATCATGACATCCCATGGCCTAAATTCTCAGCTCTGGCTTGTTTGACTCCACTCAACTCGACTCTGCTGTTACACTTGACAGGTCTGACGGGTTTGCAATGCCCAAGAATTCTGGCGACGGGTTGACAGCAGCAGAGAGGATGATGATGAAGATGGGATGGAAGGCTGGGCAAGGGCTGGGTAAGCAGGAACAGGGTATTACCACACCTCTCATGGCAAAGAAGACAGACAAGCACGGAGGAGTGATTGTCGCTGCCAAGCCGCTGAAGAAAGGGGGTGGAGGGGAGGGCGGGGAGAATAATGCTGCTGGTGCTGGGGGGAAGAGGGCGAAGCTGGGTGGTGTGGCACTCAATGGGCCTCCCTCGAAGGTTGTCCTGCTAAGAAACATGGTATGGTTTCTCCTTCCAGATTTTATACACAAGCACCAAAGTTGGAAACAAGCGATTGCGATATGTGGTTTTGACGCTGATTATGCTGGTTCTGTGCTCAGGTTGGTCCTGGAGAGGTGGATGAAGAGCTAGAAGAGGAAGTGGCAGGTGAGTGTCTCAAATATGGCACTGTAACGCGGGTGCTTATATTTGAGATTACGGATCCTTCCTGTCGACCAGTGGAAGCTGTTCGCATATTCATCACCTTTGATCGGACGGAGTCTGCTACCAAGGCACTCGTCGACCTTGATGGGAGATTTTTTGGTGGAAGAACAGTACGGGCGTGCTTCTTTGATGAAGAAAAGTTCAAGAAGAATGACCTAGCGCCAGGTCCAAATGAGCCTCCCGTTCCTGACTTTCAGAAAGCCTAGGGTGCCAGTTTTCGATACTGGGTTCTGTTCTGATCAAGTTGGTTGTATCCTATTTGTAATGATTGTGTTCTATATTGCATCATTTCTTGTTCCACATTGGAAATTCTGTATAGCTGGTTGTGAGAAGTAATACACTATTCAGTGGCACATATCGACGGTCGTAACTGGGAACTCTGTATGGTGTACAACACCTCTTCGATTTGCCGATGCGCTGGGAACCCTCATGAACACGAACAGAGCTCATTTTCACTGCTTGTCATTGAATTGCATAATGTTTCGACCTTTCAAGCAACCTTGGATATTCGGTTGCTGCCATCCCAAAGACAAGCCAACTCCAATATCTACGAGCTGGCAGTTGTGCCGTTCCGCCATGATGACTCCCGACGAGAATGTTCTAAAGTCTGTGGAGAATAAGGAGGTGCGGAATGCAGTGGGATAATCCTATCGTTAAGTGTTGTGTGCGTATGGACTTACTCTTGGATGCTCTACAGCCAAGGAAATCGACAGTGAAGGATCTTGCAAAGAAGTTTGACATCAAGCCTAATTTATTGGTCCAGGGAACCAAGGTCGTCTCTAGGGATTATGACGTAAGAATTATTTGCTGCAGACAATGCGCCACTGCTGCTGCTTGGCTGAATACATCACATAACTCGCAGGACGCCGACGGAAGGCTGACTAAGTCAGAATTGGAAGAAGTGAAAACTCGTTTGGAAAAGCTTCACACTCTGCTGGATGGAAGCCAGCGGGATGATGTCGGTTCAATCTTGGAGATTGTGAGCACCATAAAAGCGAGCGGAATTGCTTTCAAATTCGGCATTGGTAAAGCCTAACCGTTGTTTCTCAGGTTGGCAGAGCTTTGCGCCGGAGGTCTAGCGATCGCTCGGAAAACAAATGGACGGAAATCCCGCTCAAGTCAACAGACCTGCAAAATCAGGCTAGTGTTATCAAATCCTGGTTTGAGGGGAGCCTTGTCGTCTAAGCTGTGCTAAATTTCTTCGCAAGTTACAGGGAGATGATGATGCGCTTTTATCACTGCTGGCATCAAAAGGGGAAGAAGTTTCGCGCCTTAAGGCAGAAGTTATGGAGCTCAAGTCTCGCATGGTTGGCGAGCGGGGGATTATGAAGTACGAGATTCAAGGAAATGAAGAGCTGGGAAGCCTCCTTTTCGTGGTTGCATTGTCTGATGAGGTGGCGCACCCATCCCAGTGCAGCATTCGCTGGTATCGATCCAGCAAAGATGGGAAGCATACTCAGCTCATCATAGGTAATGCGTTGTCGTCGCTAATTATCACCATACATTCTTAGCCGTTATCTAATGATCCGGAGTGGCCGCTCTGCAGGCGCGGAAGGGACTATGTATGCAACTGAGCCTGAAGACCTGGGCTGTGTCATTCAGGCGGCAATAGAATCATCATCAGCATGTCAAGGAATAATGTTTCTGACAACAGGAGAGATCCAACCAGGTCAGTAAATGGTGGGATTTAGGCACATGACGATTGACGTCTACATCTAACATGTGTCTCACTTCCAGGGAGCATGTACGAGACGCTGCTTGCTCAGACTGTTCTTCTCAATGACGTCCAATTTTCGGTATGGTTTTTCTTCGCTTCTCTCAGATGCATGAATGCGGTCAGCCTGCGACTCAATTTTGTGTTCAGGTCATCATATGCGACAATGATGGGAGCACAACTGCTAACGTGGATCAGGCCATGTTGCGAATCAACAAAGCGCGAGTGAAACTGGTCACAACCTCAAACTCGTTGATCAGGAGAGAGTCATATAACCAGGCCATGCAGGTGAGGCACCCCTAACTTGGGACGACAGGTAGGCATGTCTGATGGAGACTGATGTCTGGCAATTGGCAGTTCTATGGGCTTAGGTGGAGCACCAATTCTTCTTCTCTTGGTGCATGCTGGGTTCCACGTAAAGGTGTGATGTTCAACATCATGTTCCAGTCCATCACGGAAAGGAACATAGCCATCCAAGTAGCGAAGACATATGCGAGCAAACTGAAGGTGGGCATGACGTACAGCAAGATGCAATGGTGTAGGGTATTTCCAGAAACTAACTTGATTTGCCTTTTTTCAGATTGATGTATCAGGGCCAGAAGGACATTTCCATGGTCATGACGATTGATATGACTAGCATGGACACAATCATGCAGATGTGGGGAGGAATGGGCTTTTACGTTCAATATCAGGCCAATCCAGGATGCGAATGGGGGAGTACGGTAGTACTGGTTCCGGCGATGGTGAGAAGCTGTGTAAACCCCTTGCAGCAGTGCAGGAATTTTTATGTTTGCGCATCATCTAGCAGTAAGCTTCTTGCGCACAATGCAATTTTGAGAATGTGGTAGACTAGATAGCATGCAGTATACTATGGGTACAACGTATGTAAGCAGTAAGCTGTACTAGAATGATCAGAAGAGAGTGACACAAGATGTGTTACCTTTCCCCAAATCATTCCGCAGTGGAAAGAGTGTATTAGATGAGCAATGAGCAATGAGAAGCACCCCTCTCTAGCTACAGCTTCTTAAAGGCTTGATATGTCTCCGCAATGACAGGTTCACCGATGCTGGACTTGAGCCAGCACTCATTACCCCATGTCGTCACAGCAAGAGCACACTTGGTGTTGATTTTGCAAAGAGTCAAGCAGTCCATGGCCTTGACAGGATACTGATACTCCAGAGTCTCACCAAATGGAAAATTGGTGGCCATGGGTGCTGGAGCATACCCAAGATCTGTTCCAGGGGCCAAGTTGGGGCTGGTGAGACCAAGGATGTGGAAGAACAGAGATTGAGGCTTAAAAAGACTTGATGCTCACCACGTGGGTTGATGCAGCTTGAGCTGTTCTTCCCCTCTTTAACCTGGCAGATGAATGAGCCACAGCCACCATTGTTGAAGGAACAAGAGCCAGACTGCGAAGCTAGAACATCCCATAACTGTAAGCTTGTATCTAGGTACTCCTCCTCAGAAGTTATATAAACTTCTGGGCTGATGGTCAGATTTGTGCTTGGATCTTCATAACCCTCAGGTATCCAGAGTGATTCCTGCTGCTTTTTCCTGTAGTAGGAGGTGGCAAAGCTGCTGACACAGACGCCACTGGAACAGGTTCCTGAGTAGGAATTGCCTCCGTTACCGAAACCAGTGCAGCTTGTTCCATCTGCCTCAACCCCAGCATTGCCACACTTGCCGTTGATGCAGGTTGGTGCAATCGTACATGCCGTTGCACGAATCGCATAACACTTGACACATTTCACTGCACAAGGTTGCAATGTGCACAGGCGGTGGACACATGAATGAAGTAAAACTGGACCAGAGTGCAACCGGCGAGAGAAGGACATGAAAGAAGAACAGCACCTCTCTCACCTTTTCCGCATGGCATGTGCCCAAACTGCAGCATGAAATCAATGACTCCTGATGGGTCAAGCTTAGCAGCATTCTCCAGATTAATCGTGAAATCCAAAAACCCCAGCGTTCCCACCAGTCCTTTCCCTGTCTTGAACGCATGCTCTGAAAGCACATAGTGTGAATTTTTAAATTCTTCCAGCGCTGCTTCCTTGTCCTCTGTTCCAGGATCCACAAATGTAATTGTGCTCCGATCATTCCCCTGAGCAGGCTTGGCATAGCTTGCGATGAACAGAGCAGTGAGAGTCCGGCTGGCAATGGTTTTCTGGGCAATAGTATCAAAATCCGATCTCTTTTTCAGGTGGGACAGGAGTGGTGGGAAGATTTTTTTCCACCACTGTGACACAAGACAGCAAGGAGGGCGGGCCAGGAAGAAATGGCAGATGAGTTGGAAGGCAGGATGGTTGTTTTTAGAGGCGTATGCACAGTGGTTGCTGTTAAGAGCGCACATAGACTTTGAAAGAAATGGGTGGTGTGGTGTAAATTTGTGCAATGACGTACGAATGAACCTAGTACAGGAAAGAAATACACTGCAGACGGTGCACATGCTATTGCCTCACTTTGCTCAGCTGCTTCGACAATTTAAAGGCAGGGTCGATGTACGGGTCGATCGCCGGCAGCTTGACCTTGTACGTCAGAAACGTTACCGCGCTAGCCTGTAACGAGGACGTCAAAAGAGAGTCAGGGAAGTGAAGCCACACTAAAATTGGTAAATACTTCATGCCAGAAGAGGTGGAAAGCAGAGCAGACCTTTATCTTGAAATCATTCACTTACCCAGCAGCATGTGTGCATTGCTCACTGTGATGCTTAGAACCTTTTGGGAAGTTGCTACCCACCTGCCTCCAGAGAGTCATAACTCACATCTTGTAGGAAAGGGGGCAGCCACACCCGCAGTTCACCCGTTGCCCTCCAAATGGCGCATACTGATGCTTAGATGTTTTCAGGAAGTTGTGACTCACCTGCTTCCAGACCGTTTTGATGCACATCTTGTAGGAGGGGGAGCAGCCATAGCCGCAGTTCACCCATTGCCCTCCAAACGCCGGGCAGCTGCGTATGCACATCTGCAGCCCAGGGTGGGAAGCGGCGGGGGGAACAGGGAAGGGGGGAGGGGGGTGCGGAAGGGGGGTAGGAGAGGGGGGAGGGACAGGGGCAGTAGAGAATGGAGAGGTGAGGGCAGTGCACGCAAGCACATCTGCAGCCCAGGGTGGAGAGGCGGAAATGGGGAGGGGGAAGGAGGAGGGAAGGGGCGGAGGGGGAAAATGTGGGCAGGGGAGAAATAGGGCAAGAAGATGGGTATTGGAGAATGGGGAGTGGAGAATGGGCAGTGGAGAATGGGTAGTGGAGAATGGGTAGTGGAGAGTGGGTAGTGGAGAATGGGTAGTGGAGAATGGGTAGTGGAGAATGGGTAGTGGAGAATGGGCAGTGGAGAATGGGCAGTGGAGAATGGGCAGTGGAGAATGGGCAGTGGAGAATGGGCAGTGGAGAATGGGTAGTGGAGAATGGGCAGTGGAGAATGGGCAGTGGAGAATGGGTAGTGGAGAATGAGCAGTGGAGAATGGGTAGTTGAGGGCGCTTTCAAGAAATACATGTGGGGGCGAGTGTCGGGCAACAGGACGATGGAATGTCACATTCTTTTGAGCAGTTGACGGTGGGTGTGGAAGAACAGTGGAACATGAGGATGTGATGGGGGCGGGAATGGGCGATGGGCGGCAATAAGCGGCAGTGGGCGGCAATGGGCGGCAATGGGCGGCAATGGGTGGTGATGGGAGGAGATGGGAGACATGATGGGGGAGGGAAGAAAGAGTGTGGGGGGCAGGGGTGAAGGGAAGGGTGTGTGTGTGGGGAGGGAGGTAAAGGGGTGGTTTGCGGAGTAACGCAGATTGATCACACTTTTATTTCGCACGATTTTAATCCCCATGAGCGTTCCTCCCCCCCCCGCCCCACTCATCCCCCCAACCCCTCTCCATTTCCCACCACTCCCCCATTCCCCTTTCATGTTTCCGCTCAGCAGCAAGCGCAAGTGCGACACGTGCGCCTTACCAGTCCGATCCCGCGGAACCTTTTCGCGCATTTCTTGGTTGGCGGCATGCGCACACGCAGCAAGAGCAGGCGCAAGTGCAGCAAGCGCAAAGCGCAGCAAGAGCAAGTGCGGTACGCACGGCTTACCGGTCCGATCCCGCGGAACCTCTTCGCGCATTTCTTGGTTGGCGGCATGCGCGCGTAGGTCTCGCGGTAGCAGAACATGTACACGTTGGTGTAGTTAATCTTCAGACTTAGGTCCTCGCGCCGCGCCGGCAAATGCGCCTCGGGAAATCCGCCAGGGAGTAGCAGCTGGTTGCGCGCTTCGACGGGGAGGTAAGGAGATGGGGCGGCGCGAGAAGGAGCTGCAAGGAAGCTGACGCAAGCAAGGACGGCGATGACGTGGCACGGAAGGGTCTGTTGTCGTCGGCGGAGGGACGACGCGCGAAGATCATGGCCGCGCTTCGGGGGTTTCACTGCCATGCTGCGGCTCACTAGAAACGGAATAACGTAAAGAAAATGTCGTCGAGGAGAAGCGAACAACTATTCGAACCTCGGCACCTCGGCTCGGCTCGGCTCGGCTGGACCTCGCGGAATAACGCGAAGGAAATGTCGTCAAGGAGAAGAGAAGAACTATTCTTCTGTGCTGTGGTGTTATTCGGACCTCGGACCTAGAGGTAGTAGCGATATCTAGTGCCGGCTCGGCTCGGCTCGGCTAGGCTCGGTTCGGTTCGGCTCGGCTCGTCTAGGCTCGGCAGGGCCTCGAAATGTCTAGCTGACTGACAATATCAATAGCGGACTTCGTATGTATGTTTTATCCGCTGCCGCACCTAGAGGTAATGTGGCTTTTATCTTGCTGATGGGACAATTTGGTTGAAACACGTCTACAAGGACCAATTTTGAGGCGCCTCAACAGGACCGGGGCACTTAGGACCTAAGTAGCTCCCAGCTATCGGAGCTAAGCTGCTCTCGGCCGGTACAAAGTTGCGTTTGTAATATAGCTCCACGGGCTGAAGTGTGCAGATTTCAATAGGCGCGGATATTGGTAGGCGCTGATATTAGTGGGCGCGGAGTTTAGTAGGCGCGGAGTTTAGTAGGCGCGGAGTTTAGTAGGCGCTGATATTAGTAGGCGCGGAGTTTGGTTGTGCTGAGGTACTCTGTAGCTGCGCTGGTAGCTGTGTTACAATACTAGGTACGGCGCATGGTGCGTTCAATGCGCGCGCCGCCGGGAAAATCGACGGAATGATGTGTGGTGGAAGAAATGTGAAGATGGTCTCAAGAATTCTCGACAGGTGGAGGAGAGGAGAGGACATGCTCTTGTTGATGTAGCTGTCTGAGGAACGACCAGCTGAACACGAACGTCCTCGGCAGCTAGTGGCGCGTGAACCAACTACAACAGTAATGAAAGGCAGATTTTCCGGGGCTGGATGGAATGGCGTCGAGGAAAGATAGGGAGGGGGTGGGCGTTTGGTTGGGCCTATGTGCTTCGAAAGCTAGGGTGCGGCGGCGGCAGAGCTGATAAAGACCGTCGCTCTGATTGAAGAATCTGGTCGAAGAAATGGAAAGAAGGGTTTCCGCGCCGCGACGTCCGACTATGCGGTTTTGTAAGTTTTGAATGATTTTCACAGCGGTTGGGTGCATTCAGAGCGATAATTACAATTACCACTGCGATAACAGTGTAACACGCCTTGGTGGTTTGGTGGATGGGCTGGTTTACAGGGTGGTTGGGAGGAGGGGAGAAGGCAAGGGACAACTGTTGTTTGGGCCGAGCCGCGGATGTTTGAGTAGGGAGGGGAACGGACAAATGCCTCTATCTAGTTTCCTGAGGTACACACCCTGCTGAATAGCATAATCGATATTAGAATTCAACCTGTAAATTGGAATCAATGAGTTTTGTTCTCGCGTCATCCACGCGCCTTGTTTCAAGGTTACTTTCTTTCGGAGGGTGGGTAGCTAAAAAACTCAGGGCATACCCGAGCCACGACCAGAAACATGTTGATAATCGCACAGCTCTTTCATTGGGTCGAACGACTGCGACAGGGGCAAGTTGCCGATGTTCATTGGAGGACGACCTTCCTGCTGATTTGTTTCAGCGATTCGGTAGCTTCACAGTTGCTGTTAATTCCTTGCGCCTGTAATTTGTAACGTTGCAGAGACTTCTCGCAGTGTTACAATACACTTGGCGTTTCCCACGTCTACGAGTTGCTGTGCCGTCCATGTATATTGTAGGTGACCTTTAGCGACACTAAGGCTCATATATACATTGTGGCCAAGCTGTGCGCCTTGCACACCCTTACACATGTCCCAATTCTGCACAATTTACCTTGATGTTTCGTTCCTCAGCTGTCTTACAGATGTTTCCTGTCTCAACTGCCAGCGTGAATATCCTGGTGCGTGGACAGCTTCCAGGCAATGGAGATATACCTATCATTGCACCACTTCACCTCACTTGGAAGCATCCACCATACAACAATTAAGACACATATACATACACAAAGATGCAATTGCCTTTTTCTGAATCCGCACCAGCCTAAGGTTTTAAAAGTACCATGCAGTCTCTTGTCATACAGCACTTCCATCAGCCCAGTCCTTGGGCGCAGGCGCGGGCAGCGGCAGGCGAAAGCCCCCCACAAAGCGCACGAGCCACACCACCATCAGGTGTAGAACCGCACTGCATCCTGCAGTACCTCAGGGTCCTGGTGAGTGGGGAGAAGAGGGTGAGTGGGGTGAGATGGGAGTCGCCTGGAGCGCGGGCCTGCAGGCACTGCAGCTCCTCCTGCTCCCTTTTGAGGCGCCTCAAAAGTCCTGCTCCCTGTGTCGCTGAGTCTGCAGGAAGGACTGCTGGCGTGCCAGTCAGGTTGCGCTGGTCCACCCATCATGCCACCTCGCCCGAGAGAGGCTCAGCCATCCATGCCACCATGACGCATGGATGGCTGTCAGCTTGCAGGAGAGAGGCGTGTGGAGTTGTGCGGGGGTAGAGGGGAAGGGAGGTCAGAACGTGCAGGGGACTGACTGAGGGTATAGTGCATAGCAGGGGGCAGAAAGCAGGGAGCAGAATGCAGGGGGCAGAAAGCAGATGGCAGAAAGCAGGGCGGAGAGGGCAGATGGGAGGGGGGGTAGGGGAGATGGGGGAGTGCATAGAGATCAAAGAGAACCGAGAACGCAGCATGACGATACAGCAGGGAGAGGGAGCGTGAAGTTGAGGTAGCAGGAAGGGGAGGGAAGGCAGGGCAGAGACCTGAAGTCCAGTCAGCCTGAGCTCTGCAGCACGCATGCGGGGTTCGCAGAGCTGCAGCAGCAGGGTTTGCAGTGCCGTGACTCGCCATGTTCGCCCTGTCAATCTGGGGTTTGGGTGCGGGGGAGGGAGGAGATGAGGCGCCTAAAGCATTATTTGTCTTGAGGTGAACAAACAACAACAAAGAAAGAAGCAGCAGCGACCCGAGGTTCAGGAGCATGCCATTACTTGTTATGTTCACAATGTCAAGTTGAGGGTGTGCGTGCAGAAAGGAGAGAGGGATGAGGGGGGGAGGTTGAGAAGGCGGGCGTGGGAAGGAAGGGGAGGCAGAAGCCAAAGACAGACAGTTTCGGTTCCAACCTCCCACCGCACACCACCCCACCCCACCCTCCCCCCATCCCCCCACTCCCCATCCCAGGCAGCCATCGGGGGTGTGACCTGCAGCGCAGTTGGCGTTGGTGCGGATGAGTGCACACGCAGCACCTCGCGCAGCACCGCCAGCAGAACGTGCGCTCCTTGAGAACGTGCGGGGAGAGGCGTGTGGGGTTGTGTGGGGTTGTGCGGGGGAAGGGAGGTCAGAAGGTGCGCTCCTTGACCTGGGCAACCACGCAACTCATCTGGAGCGGCACTGAGCGAGCAGAGAGACAGGCTGACCTGCAGGACGGCCTCGTCGCATGGATGGCTGAGAGCTTGCAGGGGAGAGGCATGAGGGGTTGTGCGGGGGTAGAGGGGAAGGGAGGTCAGAAAGTGCAGGGGACTGACTGAGGGTACAGTGCATAGCATAGCAGGGGGCAGAAAGCAGGGCGGAGAGGGCAGATGGGAGAGGGGGTAGGGGAGATGGGGGAGTGCGGAGAGATCAAAGAGAACCGAGAACACAGCAAAGAAAGAAGAGAGGGATGAGGGAGGGAGGTTGAGAAGGCGGGCGTGGGAAGGGGAGGCACAAGCCAAAGGCGAGTTTGCACAGACGGTTTCGGTTCCAACCTCCCGCCGCACCCCACCCCACCCAAACCCCCCCACCCATCCCCCCACTCCCCATCCCCCTGTCCCTCCCAGGCAGCAATCGGGGTTGTGACCTGCAGGGCAGCGCGGTTGGCGTTGGTGCGGATGGGTGCAGCGCGGTTGGCGTTGGCGTGAGCACCTCGTGCAGCACCTCGTGCAGCCCCGCCAGCAGGTGCAGCGATGTGATGCCGACCGCACCGCCACGAACGACGAGCGCCGCTCCGCCTTGCGCCGCTCCGCCTTGCGCGGGCCTTGCACCGCCAGCTCCGCCGGCTTCGAGAAGAGCTGCTGCTGTCCACAGCGCGCACGGGGGGAAGAGGGGTGAGGAGCGGGGGAGAGGAGCGGGGGAGGGAAGGGAGGGAGGGGGGAGGGCGGGGAGGGACGGGACGGAAGGAGGGGAGAGAGGGGGGAAGGGAGGAAGTTGGGGGGAAGAACGGGAGGGATTGGGAGAACGACCATCATGCATGTCACAGATGCACTCCCTGCATGTCTCACATGCGGACCCCATGCCGTAGATGTCGACCCGAGACTTCAGCAGCACGAAGTGGCGACCCGAGACAGCGACGGCGGCATGAGTTGGTGCTGTTGCTGCGAGCGCCAACGCGGCAGCGGTGCTGCTGCTGCTGGTACTATGCGCGCGCACTAACGCAGCAGCGCGCCGCTGCTGCTGCTATGCATGCGGCTAACGCAACAGCGGGCCGCGACTGCTGTCGAATGAGTTACGAAGTAGCTACGGCGCGGTGCTGCTGCGGCTGGGCACACTCAAGAGCAGAGGCGCTCTGTTGTTGCTGCTGCTCGCGTTTATAAGGCACCAGCGCTTTGCAGCTTCTGCTCGCAAAGGAAGATTCGTTCCGGAAAAGGCAAGATACATAAGCTGTTGCTTACCTTGCCAAGCCCTGACGGCGTAAGGCGAGTGCAGTAAACGACGCACCAAACTGTTGCTTTCGCTCCCAGCTATTGCTTTAAAGTGCTAAGAAAAGCAAGAAGTGATAAGAAGGCGAGAGGAGTAAACGACGCCGGAAGTGCTAATATTCAATGTCCATGTATCCACTGCTTGGCGATCGTACGCTTCCCAAACTTATCGGCCGCATCATGCTCCTATGCACTGTCGATGAATCGCAACGTCTGTCGGAGGAAGAAAAGCAAGAGATAATGCTCGTAGAGAACTTCGAAGAGATTGCTCGGGACTGTGAGAGACATAATCGCACAGCACAGCTCTAGCAAGGTACCAGTCATAGCTCGTCAAGGATATTCCATTGGTGCTTTCTGTTATGCACAACTGGGACTGGGGGAGGCTGGATCCGTTGGATCAATATCTATTTGCCTCGTCAATTGAAGAAACTTGTATATAAAACACTTTACAGATACAGATAAGCGAATCTGAACTAGAAACTGCAACCAGCTACGAAGGCCGATCTTCTGCTACTCCGCTTGTCTTGAGTCTTCACTTCGAGTCTTCGCCCCTCTTGGCCGCTAGAGGCAAAGCCCCTAGCGTTACACCTGAGCACCGCGTTGAGGTGGGGTTTTTTCGCTCAGGACACCTGTTTGGGAGGGGATGGGGAAAAGAGGAGAGGGAAGGAAAGAATGAAAATAATTTGGGGGGGAAATTTATGAAATTCACTCCCACGGGAAAACCACCTCAGCTCGATGGTTGTCAGATGTCAGGCGACCTGCAGCTCAAATGACAAACCTTATCAGCTCACACCACCCATCCGATCGAAACCACCCACCCACCCCATCGAAACCACCCACCCATCCCGTCGTAACCAACCCAACCGCGGCATACCGTGCCGGGCTTTTAGCTCCTATCGAGTCTGTTCCGTGTCGTCCGTCCGTTCTACACGAGTCTGTCTGTAACGCGTCTGTTCTACTCTAGTGCTCGCAGTCGAGTTGGTGCAGATCCCCGTGTGCTCGTTGTCTCTCAACCTGACACGAGACACTGGAGAAAAAAAAATTGTGAGAGTGATGGCGTCCGCTCCTCCTGCGACACCCGCGTTCCTGCCGAACGTGCAACTTGGAGGAAGCGGCGCTAGTTAGTATAGAAAAAAAGAAATAAAGAAACACGAAAAACAAGCGAGAAACAAGTACAAGCGTAGCATGAAAGATAAACTTACAAGCTCCAAAGCTCCAAGATCCAAGTCTGCAAGGGACAGAGGAAGAAGAGAGGAGAAAGGAGGGGAAAGGTGATGGCGTCCGCGTTCCTGTCGAACCTGCAACTTGGAGGAAGCGGCGATAGTTAGTATAGAATAAAAAAATTTAAGAAACACGAAAAACAAGCGAGAAACAAGTACAAGCGTTGCAGGAAAGATAAACTTACAAGCTCCAAAGCTCTAAGATCCAAGTCTGAAAGGGTAGAAAGCAAAAAAGGAGAAATAGAGATCCAAGGATATTAACGTGGCTCCGTCGCTCCTTCGTTCCTCGCTCCTTCTTTGCACCTGAACGAACACGAAAAAGGACAAACAAACTTATAACGACACTTCTGCCTTCCCGTGCTTAAACCTGCACCATAGAGGAGCAAACCAAAGGAAGTTAGTAAAAGAAAGAAAGAAAGAAAAACGAAAGCAGAAAACAAGACAGCCTTACCCTCCTCCTTACCTCCTTTGCCGAATCTGAAGTCTTCATATCGCCTTCTGTAACGAGCCTACCGAGCCCGCGGTCTGCACTAACGAGTCTGTCGAGCCACCGTCGCGCACTGTGTCGAGCCTAACGAACCGCCGTCGCGCTCCGTTTCGAGTCTACCGAGCCGTCGCGCTCCACTGTTCTAACGATCCGTCGCGTCGCGGTCGACTGTTCTAACGAGCCGTCGCGGTCCGCTGCACTAACAAGTCTTCGAGTCGCGGACCTGCAAAATCCAGCAGGGCTATGCACGGAACAAAAAAGAACAAGAAGAATGAAAAGAAAAACAGGAGCGAATGCACAAGAAAATAGGAAGAAGCGAATGCACAAAGTTTTCTTACATTGCAACGTTACCGTCATTCCGTGCAGCTTCTCCGGTCGTTGAAGGTCGTAGAAGGTCGTCGAAGATCGTCGAAGGTCGTCGAAGGTTGTCGAAAGTCACCCTTACCCAACCACCCCACCCACAACGCGACTCTGCGACGCTGCGACGCTTGCGACGCTGCGACTCGGCGACACTTACGACGATGCCATGCTAGATGCCGTTGGCTGACTTCGGGTTGTCTTGGTGGAAGCAGAAAGAAGCATCCATTCGAGTGCTTACCTTGTGAAGTTAGTTGAAGCAAAATGCTTACCTTCTGAGCATTGTCGAAGTGGGTGTGAAGGAACTTACCATTCAGAAGCTGCTGATTGAACCGATGGGATGGGAGTAAGTCGTGAAGGTGAGTTCAGTTCCTTGGTGGTGCCGAGGGGACCAGAAGTGGGGGTGCCGCCTTCGGGAATCCCTTGGTTGGAATCTGGACATGGTGGGGATTGGAAATCGAGGGTGTAGGTAGCGCCGTAAACAGTGGATGGTTCAGATTTCGCCAGCCGATGTACGGCGGCCAAAATTGGAAAAACATTGCGCGAAGTGTGACGGCAGGTAGTCAGACGGAACATTGGGTTGACTGGGTCAGACCGCTAGTTCAACGCGGGGAAACCTTCAGGCTGACATCTCCCATTGTAGCTGCTTCGATGTCAAACTGTACAGATCAAATCATTTGTGCAGAGGTTATTTTGTTTCTGATTGACTCTGTAGTTGCCATGTGCCAGGAGTGGTTCGGGAAAGTTCGAAACATGCGCAGGTGGCGACCTTTTTCTAGGAGATCGTTGACGTGGCACTATGTTTAGTAGGAACATAAAGTTTTGCGTGATGGGCGGGACGGCATTGGTGCGAAAGGTGGGCGAGTTTAGTAAAAAAAACGTGGTCAGACGAGAGGGAAAATCGTTCCAGCCAGCCAATCAAAATGGTTAGTTGGAGGGACAGATATGAAACGAATTGAGTGTTGTCGTCCAAAAGTCGCAAAAAGTCGCCGGATGTCGCCGTATGTCGTTGTGGAGAAGGAAATGGATTCCACCAGCGACGAATGAGGAAAAGGCACACCGCTTTTCAACAAAACCATTACCCTCTCTGCAAACATTCTGCTTCATATTTTCCTGCGTACTAAGGTATAAGAGAAGGCTTCCGTAGATAGGTTTCGTAGCTAGTATCACTTGTCGTATTTTATGTTGTCTCGCGCTGGTTAGATAACGTCATTTACGAACTTCGTCTCAGATCTTAGTGTTTCATAATATATCCCATCGCAGCTGCTATTGTTCAGATCGAAGTAGCATTGACGAACCGTGGTAGTACGGTCGAGGCGGTAGACGCAGTTTATGACTCGCGTGGTCTCCGCCGTGATCGGAGTAGCATGGCGGACAGCAGTAGTACAATCGCTAATTTCCGCGTCGCAAATGCTTATTGTGTAATCCAGCATAGAGGCACAGATCTGGATCCGTTACCGCGCCTACTCTCCCTTATGAGAGTCCAAGCTCTTCCCACCCGTCTTCCAGCAAACCCTAAGGCTGTCGCGGTGGTAACTCGCGCTGGTACTTCGCGCTGGTAACTCGCGCTGGTAACTCCCACTGGTTATTCGCGCTGGTTATCAGGCGAAACATGCGCGAAGGTGAAATAGAGTTGCTGAGGGCGAAGGCTATCAGGCGCGTTTCTCCCTGCCCACCCCTTTCTCGCTCCACCTTCCCTCCGTTCCTTCTTACACACTCTCCCATAACACATCTACTGGGTATCTGGGGCAGATCTTTCAGCAGCATCTTTCAGGGTCTCCCCTCCCTGCATCCTTGCTTCCCTCTCTCCCTCCCTCCCTCCCTCTCCACCTCCTTCCCTCCCTCCCTCCCTCCCTCCCTCCCTCCCTCCCTCCCTCCCTCCCTCCCTCCCTCCCTCCCTCCCTCCCTCCCTCCCTCCCTCCCTCCCTCCCTCCCTCCCTCCCTCCCACCCACCCCCCTCTCCCCCCCCCCCTCCCCCTCCCCTCCCCCCGCCCTCCTCCCCCCTTCCTCCCCCTTTCGCCTTCACGGGCACTGTCCCTTACGCGATTGCAGGGTGCTTCAGCAGCATCTTTCAGGGTTTCCCCGCCTTCGCTCTCCCTCCCTCCCTCCTTTCAGCAGCATCTTTCAGGGTTTCCCGGCCTTCCCTCTCCCTCCCTCCCTCCTTCCAGAAGCATCCTTCACAGTTTCCCCCGCCTTCCCCCTCCCTTCCTCCTTCCAGAAGCATCCTTCACAGTTTCACCCGCCTTCCCCCTTCCTCCCTCCTTTCAGCAGCATCCTTCAAAGTTTCCCCCGCCCTTCCCCCTCTCTCCCTCCTTTCAGCAGCATCCTTCACAGTTTCCCCCGCCTTCCCCCTCCCTTCCTCCTTCCAGAAGCATCCTTCACAGTTTCAGCCGCCTTCCCCTTCAGGATCTGTGCCTAATCATAGGAAGTGCCAGGGAATGTTAGGAGCAATATGGAATGATGCAGGTGATAGATTGGAAAGCTGTGTTATATTTATAGTCAAAGTTACTTGTTGCTACATAGCTGAGGCAGCAGGTGAGGCGAGAGTGCCTGTTATTATGGTGAATCCAAGGGTGGGCCACATTTGTAGAATATCAATTCGCTTCTTCTGCATGAAAATAGAGCACAACGACCATGTACAATTATCGTATGAGACAGAATGGCTGAAGTAACAGCCAGTATGGAGGGAGGAACAAACGTGACTTTGATGAAGGTTCGAGTCGCAGGTCTGGCTTCGTGTGTGTTGGCGCGAACTGTAAAGAGAGATTCCTGTGGGAGGGGTATCCTTGCTAGCAGGGACTTTTGAACAGCCAATCGATGAAATCTGTTTTCCAGCCAACCTACCGCCACTTGGGTTGCACCCCACGGCACCGCTAGCTCAGCAAAAGTGGCACCTGCTTGGCTGTGCTGTGCTGCGCACATTCCACAACAACGCTTCACTTTTGCCAGCGCAGCACAGTTCAACCACATGCCTTGGAATAATCTCAGTTTTTACTGGATAAGCGGTGGCCGCTTCCGCGCCAACTCGCTGACACTTCACCGCTGGAATGCATCCTTTTTGTGGTGGTCAGAGGCCCAGCCACCTCATCAGGGTTCTTTCTTCGGAAACCCGTTGGCCACCCTTCAAACTGGATCAACTCGCCGATGGCACGCAACCTCCCTCCACTCAACAACCAGAGAACGATCACGCGCCGCACCAATCAATTCGGCACCCTCGCAGGTAGCTTCCCTACAACACGTCACTGCGGGAATGTCGCGTTTCCGCAAGTGAGTGACACATCACCAGCGAACATCCGCGTGACGGTGGATTTTGTTTCGTGAACCGCATGTGGTGGTGGTTCTCGTTTCGGAGCTTCGCAGCCAGTTTCGCGAATAGCCTAATGACGCATGAGCAGAACACCAACACCTCGAGCTGTTACCACAATGCACTAGATCGTCTCAAACTGTACAGAACCGCACAAACCATGGATCTCCGCACTCCCCTGTTTCGCTGTTCTCACCTTCCATCTTTGCACTTCCTTCTGGGTGAAACGCTGCAGCAGCAAAGCAGAGTTCTTGCCCGGAGAAGTACAAATACATACCTCAATTCCTGCCGCATCTATCGTCAAAAGCTCAACCTTTTCCTAGTCACTTTTTGCTTTCACTATTGTCCTCCCAGTGTTACTATTATTTGCTCTAGCTCTAACGTCCTAGGCATCTAGCTTGCGACATGGCTGCTCTTTCAACGACTCTCGCTCGCACCTGTGTTCCATCGAGCGCAGCTCTCTCTAAATCCCGTCTCAGTGACAAATGCAACACCTCACCTGCACAACCCACCTCCTTCCGCCTTACTCCTAGAGCCGACGCCTCCCCGTCCTCCCGATCCGTCGCCACTAACGCCATGGCGATAGCGATGCCGGCGCCGACTTATTCTTCCGACTATTACTCCGGTTACCCGACCGAGTCTCTCCCGCCGACCCCGGTATTCCCGTCGAACCAGGCGATGTCGCAGTTTCTGCAGTCGTACGGTCGCATGCTGCAGCACGTTCAGGCGAACGGTCGCAACGAGCAAGCAGGCGACGCTTTGGTGTCGGGCGACTCTCTCGCAGCAGCCGGTGCGACGGTGGTCGAACGGGTTCATCTTGGACTTAACGCGCTACTCGGTCACCCCGTTCATGTGAGTAGTTTATACAAAAGCCTGATGCTTTTTTGTTAATTGGATTTTTAGTCGTCGTTTCCCGTGAAGACGAGAATTGCGAAGCCTGTGGTTAGAGTCAATCTATGTTGCCATCATATTTTTATCCTTGACGCAGACGAACCATCTTCTTTTCTTGTCTGACATACTTTCGTGATGTTGGTTTGTGTTTCTTCTCTCCAGGGTGTGCAAGGAGGCCAGAGGTGGTGTGAGAAGGAGATGCAGGTAGAGCGGTGCTTAGCCGAACTCGAGAAGGACATTGACGGCATGCGTTCGGCCCACGAGCGACCTCCGCGTGCCGCTACTCTCACCCTCGCCTCCGCTCACTGCTACGAAGCCGCTCGCCTCATTCGCACCCTTTGATTGGTTCGCCGTATCCGACCTCGTTCCGCCTTTAGAGTGACTCCTCCATTGTCTCCGTCACGGAATCTGCTTGCTCTGATCTGCTTGCGTTCACAGCCTTCAACCGCAGCAGTCAGATCCGTTGGCATCACGACGCTATTAGGTGCTTTAGGCTCTCGCCGTTCATCGTGAATAATAGGCTAGGGGTGCTCGATCTCCGTCGTTCCTGTTTCTGCCAGCGGTTTTCGTTATTGTAACGAAAGTGCCTCGGGGCTTGTCCCGTGCTGGGGGGAGCAGCCATCACCTGACGCTGAGCGGTGTACATAATTTACAGGAATGATAGACTGGCTGATTACTACGTGTGCTTTACCACTCATTATATGAAGTTGCAGAAATGGCTCTGAGGCCCAGTCAGTATTTTGTGGACTCGAATGAGCATACGCATAAATTGCTTCATAATTTAGCTGTGATAAGTTTATCAGCTCGTAGCCTGCGCATGTATCGAATCTCTTGTAGATGCAGTTCAGCGATACATTCCATTCATCGCAAATCCTGACCATTGTTCGCTCTCTGACGAGACATGTCGCCTTTCACGAGTGCCTGTAACATCGCACCTGCGCCAATTCGCAACGTTCGCTCCATCCATGAATCATCGATCTGGCACCTCAGTCAGCCCATGCATCAACCAACCTTACCAGTTCGTTCCTGAGTTCCTCCTACCTAGAAAATGCCATACTACGGAACTAGTCTTTGATCAGGAAGGCGATCCGGCTAGCGAACCGTTAGTGTTAGTGTCCCGTCGCATCGGATCCAGTGATGCTCTCTTTCCAATGCTAGGTGTTACTGTAACCTGATGACCTTCCCATTAGATAATATCTGTTCAGACACAGAATGGTGACATAATCAGTGACTCGTAAATTTCTGGTATTCATGAATTCATGGATGTTGTCAGTTCGGCCGTTTCATTGACATTTTGCTAGAAATTTGCAAGCGAAGAGTGACATAGTACAGCTACGTTCGGAGCGACGCACAGCCACGTCATTCAGCCACGTCATCCTGTGGAACAGGCAGTCTGACATGTCCAACATTTGTCAGAAGATCCGATTGGATTGTTGATCGTCGTTGGATCTCAAGCACACCCTCTACAGTCACCCCGTGCTCATCTCAATGTCGCTTCCACGAAGATTCGCTCCTCTCCTGCTGCTGATTGCAATCCTGCTGCTGGACCATCAATCAGCAGGGTCCACGTGGCAAGAGCACGGAGCGCTCGGTGCTTGCGCGAGCAAGCAAACATGCGGGGAACAAAATTCGAAATCTGCATTAGAGGGCAAGAGCGATGTTTTTGCGGAGGACGTAGCTGCTGCTTCTGGCTCTGCTATCCCCACTGACGCTGCTGCTGCTGCCGACGGTCCTGTTCCTCCTTTAGCTGATACCAGCGATGCTCAAACGGGTGAAACGCAAAGCAGAGCGGCCGAGTCGGAATCAGAGGCTGAGGGGACTGAGCCGGAAACGAGTGTGGCACAACCGGAGGATGTGACATGGGAGGGCGATTCGAGCTCGTTTGAATCACAAGCTGGTGGTGTGCCTGAAGTGAATGTGACTGCCATGAGGTTAGTCAGTGAGTCAGTCAGTCAGTCAGTCAGTCAGTCAGTCAGTCAGTCAGTCAGTCAGTCAGTCAGTCAGTCAGTCAGTCATTTAGTCAGTCAGTCAGCCAATGACGCTCTCACACCACGATGGCTTGAAATTCGCGATCATGGTTTATCGGAGCGTGTGCAGATGCGAGTGTGTGCCTCTGACCTACATGTTACTCGCACCAATTCACTGATCCCACGAGCCTGTTCCTTCATCTCCCAAAGCATTGCCTGGCTGTCCTCCTTTGATCTCCTTGTTCCAGGAATTTAAAAAAATGAGCATGCACCATGTCTACTGACTGAGAATTCGTTCCTTCAAACTCCTTGCAGGCATCAAGTAGAGGAGATGTTCTATCATGCATATGACGGCTACAAGCGATTCGCCTTCTCTCAAGAGCATATGAACCTCTTCCCACTCCTCTCCTCTTCCATTCTGCTTCCATGCATGCAGGCATCAAGTGGAGGAGATGTTCTATCATGCGTATGACGGTTACAAGCGATTCGCCTTTCCACAAGACGAGCTGAAACCTCTCAGGTGTTTCGCGTTGCATCTGCTGCATGTCTCTCTATCTCTCGCTCTCACCGTCAACATTTTTCTGCCCTGACCGCCAGCCTCCTTTGCAGCTTGCCACGTAACTTATTCTCTCCGTCAGTCTGGTCGTGTGATGTAGGGTGCTGTTCTTACAAACTTCATTTGTGCTCTTTTCTTCCTCTAATACCTCTCTCCTTCACTCACCCCTCACCCCCATCGCTTCCCCATGTTTCCCCTGTTTCCTGATTGCCAGCTGCACTGGATCCAACCCCTATGGCGGCATGGCGATGACGCTCATGGAGAGCCTAGGCACGCTGCTGGTGAGGATTGGTGGCAGGTAGAGCGGGTCTCTGTGTGTCTGCAGTTGGTGGTAGCACGTTTTCTCGCTTGCTCCTCTGCTCTGGATCCAACCCCTATGGTGGCATGGCTCTGACGCTCATGGAGAGCCTAGGCACGCTGCTGGTGAGGAATAGAGTGGTGGTAGGTCGGTAGTAGGTACTAGGTAGGATCAAACGCGTCGCTCACTTGCTCGCTTGCTCCTGTGCTCGCCAGCTGCTCCGGATCCAGCCCAGTCCCTATGGAATGGTGGCATGGCTCTGACGCTCATGGAGAGCCTGCTGGTGAGGTGGTGAGAGCACCATTGCCATATTGACTAGATCAGTCGACTCAAAAGTCAGTCGACTCAAAAGTCAGTCGACTCGAAAGTCAGTCGACTCGAAAGTCAGTCGACTCGAAAGCCAGTCGACTCGAAAGTCAGTCGACTCGAAAGTCAGTCGACTCGAAAGTCAGTCGACTCGAAAATCAGTCGACTCGAAAGTCAGTCGACTCGAAAGTCAGTCGACTCGAAAGTCAGTCGACTCGAAAGTCAGTCGACTCGAAAGTCAGTCGACTCGAAAGTCAGTCGACTCGAAAGTCAGTCGACTCGAAAGTCAGTCGACGCGAAAGTCAGTCGACGCGAAAGTCAGTCGACTCGAAAGTCAGTCGACTCGAAAGTCAGTCGACGCGAAAGTCAGTCGACGCGAAAGTCAGTCGACGCGAAAGTCAGTCGACTCGAAAGTCAGTCGACGCGAAAGTCAGTCGACTCGAAAGTCAGTCGACGCGAAAGTCAGTCGACGCGAAAGTCAGTCGACGCGAAAGTCAGTCGACTCGAAAGTCAGTCGACTCGAAAGTCAGTCGACTCGAAAGTCAGTCGACTCGAAAGTCAGTCGACTCGAAAGTCAGTCGACTCGAAAGTCAGTCGACTCGAAAGTCATAGAGAGCCTGCTGGTGAGGTGGTGGTGAGAGGATCTGCATCGATTTTTTCCGCCCATCCCCCCACCTTCCCCCTTGCAGCTGCTGGGCAACGTATCAGAGTTCAACTGGGGCGTGAAGTACCTCTCTCAGCATCTCTCCTTTGATCTAGACATACGCGTGTGTGTTCCATACTCGCCCCTCCTTTTTCCATGCCTCTCTCTTCTCTTCCTTCTCTCCCTCCCTCTCTCGCCACCTCTCCTTCAATCTGGACGTACGCGTGTGTGTTCCATACTCGCCCCTCCCTCTCCCCTCCTCTCGCTGCCTCTGTCTCTCTTTGTTGCTCTTCTGCCTACTCGCTTCCTCCCTCCCTATCTGCTTCCCTCCTCTCCTACCGCACCTAATATATCCTCCAACCGTTTTAACTCACCTTCCAACCACTGTATATAGCTCTTGCAACCCCCCACCCTCTACTCTTTTCCCCCTTTGCTCTTCCTGTCGTTCTCGCTTTCTTCCTCACAGCAACGTGTTTGAGGCCAACATAAGGGCACTGGGAAGCCTCCTGTCCGCCCACATGCTTATCCTGCAAAGCCGGGACCCCACGCTGCCACCTGTCCATCCCTCATTGGCCAGCGTGCATCTGGCACCTGGCTATAAGGGCCGTCTGTTGGAGCTGGCTATTGATCTGGGCTTCAGGTGAGTCTCAGGTGGGATTCAGGTGGGATTCGGGTAGGTTTCAGGTGAGTTTCAGGTGGGTTTCGTGTGCGTCACTCTCCCTCACTCTCCCTTAGCTCATTCATCTCCACGCTCACTCCTCTCTCTTTCCCAGACTTCTCCCCGCCTTCTCCTCAGGCACGCCCATCCCCTGTGCATGGGTGCACCTGCGGAGGGGAGTTCTGCCAGACGACGTGACCCACACGTGCACTGCCCTCCCCTCCCTCTCTTCCCACCCTCTATCAACCAGGCTTCTCCCCGCCTTCTCATCAGGCACGCCCATCCCCTACGCGTGGGTGAACCTGCGGAGGGGAGTACTTCCAGACGACGTCACGCACACGTGCACTGCAGGCGCCGGCACTCTGCTGCTGGAGTTCAGTGCGCTCTCAAACCTCTCAGGCATTCCCATATTCCAGGTAAGGACACCACAAGGAGTGGAATGGGATTGGGTGAGGCGCATGAAAGGTCTGTCCCACGCCCCCATCGACCGGTCTCCAAGTCACGTGCACTGCCGGCGCCGGCATTCTGCTGCTGGAGTTCAGTGCACTCTCAAACCTCTCAGGCATTCCCATCTTCCAGGTAAGGAATCTATAGACAAGAAGTGGAATGAGACCGAGTGAAGGGTATGAGAGGTCTCGTTTTGAGTCAACTCAACACCTCTCGGGGATTCCCATATTCCAGGTGAGGAATCTATAGACAAGAAGTGGAATCAGACCGAGTGAAGGGTATGAGAGGTCTCGTTTTGAGTCAACTCAACACCTCTCGGGGATTCCCATATTCCAGGTGAGGAATCTATAGACAAGAAGTGGAATCAGACCGAGTGAAGGGTATGAGAGGTCTCGTTTTGAGTCAACTCAACACCTCTCGGGGATTCCCATATTCCAGGTGAGGAATCTATAGACAAGAAGTGGAATCAGACCGAGTGAAGGGTATGAGAGGTCTCGTTTTGAGTCAACTCAACACCTCTCGGGGATTCCCATATTCCAGGTGAGGAATCTATAGACAAGAAGTGGAATCAGACCGAGTGAAGGGTATGAGAGGTCTCGTTTTGAGTCAACTCAACACCTCTTGGGGATTCCCATATTCCAGGTGAGGAATCTATAGGCAAGAAGTGGAATCAGACCGAGTGAAGGGTATGAGAGGTCTCGTTTTGAGTCAACTCAACACCTCTCGGGGATTCCCTTATTCCAGGTGAGGAATCTATAGACAAGAAGTGGAATCAGACCGAGTGAAGGGTGTGAGAGGTCTCGTTTTGAGTCAACTCAACACCTCTCGGGGATTCCCATATTCCAGGTGAGGAATCTATAGGCAAGAAGTGGAATCAGACCGAGTGAAGGGTATGAGAGGTCTCGTTTTGAGTCAACTCAACACCTCTCGGGGATTCCCATATTCCAGGTGAGGAATCTATAGGCAAGAAGTGGAATCAGACCGAGTGAAGGGTATGAGAGGTCTCGTTTTGAGTCAACTCAACACCTCTCGGGGATTCCCATATTCCAGGTGAGGAATCTATAGACAAGAAGTGGAATCAGACCGAGTGAAGGGTATGAGAGGTCTCGTTTTGAGTCAACTCAACACCTCTCGGGGATTCCCATATTCCAGGTGAGGAATCTATAGACAAGAAGTGGAATCAGACCGAGTGAAGGGTATGAGAGGTCTCGTTTTGAGTCAACTCAACACCTCTCGGGGATTCCCATATTCCAGGTAAGGAATCTATAGACAAGAAGTGGAATGAGACCGAGTGAAGGGTATGAGAGGTCTCGTTTTGAGTCAACTCAACACCTCTCGGGGATTCCCATGTTCCAGGTGAGGAATCTATAGGCAAGAAGTGGAATCAGACCGAGTGAAGGGTATGAGAGGTCTCGTTTTGAGTCAACTCAACACCTCTCGGGGATTCCCATATTCCAGGTAAGGAATCTATAGACAAGAAGTGGAATGAGACCGAGTGAAGGGTATGAGAGGTCTCGTTTTGAGTCAACTCAACACCTCTCGGGGATTCCCATATTCCAGGTGAGGAATCTATAGAAAAGAAGTGGAATCAGACCGAGTGAAGGGTATGAGAGGTCTCGTTTTGAGTCAACTCAACACCTCTCGGGGATTCCCATATTCCAGGTGAGGAATCTATAGACAAGAAGTGGAATCAGACCGAGTGAAGGGTATGAGAGGTCTCGTTTTGAGTCAACTCAACACCTCTCGGGGATTCCCATATTCCAGGTGAGGAATCTATAGACAAGAAGTGGAATCAGACCGAGTGAAGGGTATGAGAGGTCTCGTTTTGAGTCAACTCAACACCTCTCGGGGATTCCCATATTCCAGGTGAGGAATCTATAGACAAGAAGTGGAATCAGACCGAGTGAAGGGTATGAGAGGTCTCGTTTTGAGTCAACTCAACACCTCTCGGGGATTCCCATATTCCAGGTGAGGAATCTATAGACAAGAAGTGGAATCAGACCGAGTGAAGGGTATGAGAGGTCTCGTTTTGAGTCAACTCAACACCTCTCGGGGATTCCCATATTCCAGGTAAGGAATCTATAGACAAGAAGTGGAATGAGACCGAGTGAAGGGTATGAGAGGTCTCGTTTTGAGTCAACTCAACACCTCTCGGGGATTCCCACATTCCAGGTGAGGAATCTATAGGCAAGAAGTGGAATCAGACCGAGTGAAGGGTATGAGAGGTCTCGTTTTGAGTCAACTCAACACCTCTCGGGGATTCCCATATTCCAGGTAAGGAATCTATAGACAAGAAGTGGAATCAGACCGAGTGAAGGGTATGAGAGGTCTCGTTTTGAGTCAACTCAACACCTCTCGGGGATTCCCATATTCCAGGTAAGGAATCTATAGACAAGAAGTGGAATCAGACCGAGTGAAGGGTATGAGAGGTCTCGTTTTGAGTCAACTCAACACCTCTCGGGGATTCCCATATTCCAGGTAAGGAATCTATAGACAAGAAGTGGAATCAGACCGAGTGAAGGGTATGAGAGGTCTCGTTTTGAGTCAACTCAACACCTCTCGGGGATTCCCATATTCCAGGTAAGGAATCTATAGACAAGAAGTGGAATCAGACCGAGTGAAGGGTATGAGAGGTCTCCCAGTCACACACTGCCAGCGCCGGCACTCTGCTGCTGGAGTTCAGTGCGCTCTCAAACCTCTCAGGCATTCCCATCTTCCAGGTAAGGAGCCTCTCAGGCATCCCTGTGTTGCAGGTGAGACAGATTCATCCCCTCACAAGGATGCACAGTGTTCACTCTGCTTGTCACTCACATGCACTGCTGGCGCCGGCACTCTGTTGCTGGAGTTTAGTGCACTATCAAACCTCTCAGGCATTCCCATCTTCCAGGTGAGGAGTCACACCCCTCACATGAAAACTGAACTCAATGTATGGTCTCCCAGTCACGTGCACGGTGCACTGCTGGCGCCGGCACTCTGCTGCTGGAATTTAGTGCGCTCTCAAACCTCTCAGGCATTCCCATCTACCAGGTGAGACATGTCAAAGTTACCCCCCTCACATGGATAGTCAATGCACGGTCTCCCAGTCACGTGCACTGCTGGTGCTAGCACTTTGCTTCTGGACTCCAGTGCTCCCTCAAAACCTCCCAGGGATTCCCATTTCCCTGGTGAGGGAGAGTTACGCCCCTCATGTAAACACTTAATGTATGCACTGCTCACGAGCGAATGTCTCTCAATCATGTGCACCACGTGCACTGCTGCAGCCTGCACTCTGCTGCTGGAATTCACTTCGCTCTCAAAACTTTCTCAGGCATCCCCACCTCTCAGGCGAGCATATCAGGGGTAAGTGGACTGTGACTTGGCATGCCATGGCATCACATGGGCCCAACAAGATCAACCATGGCATTTGTCACGCCCATGTGTTGGACAGGACACACACGTGACTCAAATGGATCAGAGTTCCTGCCCACCCACTTTCACTCTCCTCGTTCCTTCCTTCCTTCCCAACAGAAGAGGGCAAAGGTGGGTTGTGATTCGTCTCAAAAGGATTTGGGTACTTAACAGCACCTTCCTCGTTCCTTCCTTGGCAGGAGAAGGCAGAGGCAGCAGTGGTGGCCCTGTACAGAAGGAGGTCGCCTCTGAACCTCGTGGGCAATGGAATCAGCAGCCGGACGCTCACTTGCTTCTTACTGGTTTGCTTCCATTCCATTCCACTCCATCCATCCCATCCCGGCAGGAGAAGGCAGAGGCAGCAGTGGTGGCACTGTACAGAAGGAGGTCGCCTCTGAACCTCGTGGGCAATGGAATCAGCAGCCGGACGCTCACTTGCTTCTTACTGGTTTGCTTCCATTCCATTCCACTCCATCCATCCCATCCCGGCAGGAGAAGGCAGAGGCAGCAGTGGTGGCACTGTACAGAAGGAGGTCGCCTCTGAACCTCGTGGGCAATGGAATCAGCAGCACGTCAGGTGGGAGGGAAGTGATATGAGCACACACCCCAGCATTGCTGTCAGCAGGATGGTAGGTGAACGGTGAATGAGCTGAGCAGTGGTGGCCCTGTACAGACGCAGGTCGCCTCTGACCCTCGTGGGCAATGGAATTAGCAGCACGTCAGGTGGGATGGGGGAGGGCTTGACAGCCCAGATAAGAACTAGATGTATTAGCAGCTTAGAATGCCAGCGTTGGCATCAGCGGGATGTGAGAGGTGGGAGGAGGTGGTGTGAGTGAGCAACCCAGGTGGGAGGTGGTGTGAGGAGTGTGGTTGCTGCAGGCAATTTACTCTCCCTTGTCCACCCACACCATTCACTCCATACCTCCCTCTCCCTTCTCCCACTCATCCCCTACCCCAATCAGGAGTGTGGCTGCAGCGGGAATCCACAGCAGGTGCTGGCGTTGACTCGTTCTTTGAGGTGAGCGTTGACCTGGTCTTTCCACTGCATCCAAGACTCACTTTGAAAAAGGAATTAGAGTTAGAGAGTTGCCTCATAGACACGCCTTGACTCGGTTCTTTGAGGTGAGCGTTAGACACGCCTTGTACATTGCCCATTGGCGTGTTAGTCACGAGATCAAAGAGCCATTTGCCTTGTAACTGGCATGTGAGACGTCTTCTCAGTTGATTGTGAAGTCAAGTGAGGCGTGTTAACACAGCTGTTGACGCCGGTTTAAGTGAGTCTCGACCTCGGTTGTCGAGACCAATGATTTTTTTTTTTTTTTTTTTTTTTATCTTGCATTCAAGGACATCTCGAAACATGACCATTTTTCCAACTCAAATGAAATGAAGCCTTCGTGGGCGAGCGAATGAAGCGTGCCATGCTACCACACAGGTTCACAGTGCGCTTAAAGCGCACCAAGCCAACTGATAAATCCCCCCCTAGTAATCGCCCTAGAGCCTTTGCACTTCATTCATGCCTTCCAGTTTTGCCTCCTCCCTTCCTTCCCCACAGTACCTCCTCAAGGGCTACCTGCTACTGGGAACAAGCACTTTTTGCCGAATGTTCTCCAAGGTCAGTCAGAGTGCCCATGTGCCTTGTTCTAATGTCTCATAGAGTGTCGGGCCCACCAACAACCCGTATATTCAAGGGCGGATTTTGGGGCACTCAGCCTCCCAAGTTCTGGCCCCGGACCAATTGGCAGCCCTGGTCCTCATCCTGTATGTCGTTGTGACCTTGTTTCTGGTCCCTGGTCCCTCCCTGGTCCCTGTTCCCTGGTCCCTTGTCCCTGTTCCCTGTTCCCTGTTCCATGGTCCCTGTTCCGTGGTCCCTGTTCCCTGGTCCCTGTTCCCTGGTCCCTGTTCCCTGGGCCCTGTTCCCTGTTCCCTGTTCCCTGTTCCCTGGTCCCTGGTCCCTGGTCCCTGGTCCCTGTTCCCTGGTCCCTGTTCCCTGGGCCCTGTTCCCTGTTCCCTGTTCCCTGTTCCCTGTTCCCTGGTCCCTGGTCCCTGGTCCCTGTTCCCTGTTCCCTGTTCCCTGGGCCCTGTTCCCTGTTCCCTGTTCCCTGGTCCCTGTTCCCTGGTCCCTGGTCCCTGGTCCCTGTTCCCTGTTCCCTGTTCCCTGTTCCCTGTTCCCTGGTCTCCGCAGCCCACCTGTCCGCTAATGACAGCCAGCCGTGTCGTCTCATTTGCAGTGTATTGCGATTCTCTCACTGTTACATTCCGTCGACTTTTATGCGGTGTCACTCTGTTTCTGGCAGGTGTATTCCGGTGCAATGCGGTACATGGCGGTGCGGGGGGAGTCCATGGTGCGCTGGCTGCTAGACGTGAGCATAGACAATGGGCACCTGGGCCGGCACTATGCCTCGTCCCTCCAGGCGTTCTGGCCCGCCATGCAGGTATGTATGCAGTGAAGTGATGAGGAAGCACAACACAAGTGCTTGTAGGGGTATTTTATGCTGGCTGCTAGACGTTGGCATAGACAATGGGCACCTGTGCCGGCACTATGCCTCGTCACTTCAGGCGTTTTGGCCCGCCATGCAGGTATGTGTCCAACCAACTGTGAAGTTGATGTGAGCCATGCAGGCAGGCAGTTAGTGCAACCCCAAGCATCCCTTGCTGCATCCGTTGATCCATACTGTATGGATGGACGTGGGCATAGACAACGGGCACCTGGGCCGGCACTATGCCTCTTCCCTCCAGGCATTTTTTTTTAGTCGACTCAATTGTCACCTTGTCACCACCTCTCACCTGCCAGTCTCATTGACCCCCTCCATTCTTTCCCCCCCTTTCTCATCCGCCTGCTACCGCCGCCAGGTTCTTGCCGGGCAGACCGCGGATGCCCGAGTCATCCACAGTGGCCTCTGGGCAGTGTGGAAAAGATTTTCCTTCCTGCCCGAGCTTTTCAGCGTGACTGCTTCAGCCGTTCATCCAGTGTATGTATGGATGCTCACATGTAACAGAGAGCGCATTTAGGTGTATGTGTAACAGTGGGCTTATTTATGTACGTACAAAGTTGTACGTGTAACATTGCATGAATAAGGTGCACGTGCCAAGCAGTGTGCTATCTAGACGGCAAGGCCGCCGGCCGCCGACCAACGGCAAGGCGACGAACGGCAAGGCCGCCGGCCGCCGACGAACGGCAAGGCCGCCGGCCGCCGACCAACGGCAAGGCCGCCGACGAACGGCGAGGCCGACGGCCGCCGGCCGCCAACCAACGGCAAGGCCGCCGGCCGCCGACCAACGGCAAGGCCGCCGGCCGCCGACCAACGGCAAGGCCGCCGGCCGCCGACCAACGGCAAGGCCGCCTGCCGCCGACCAACGGCAAGGCCGCCGGCCCCCGACCAACGGCAAGGCCGCCGGCCCCCGACCAACGGCAAGGCCGCCGGCCCCCGACCAACGGCAAGGCCGCCGGCCCCCGACCAACGGCAAGGCCGCCGGCCCCCGACGAACGGCAAGGCCGCCGGCCGCCGACCAACGGCAAGTCCGCCGGCCGCCGACCAACGGCAAGTCCGCCGGCCGCCGACCAACGGCAAGTCCGCCGGCCGCCGACCAACGGCAAGGCCGCCGGCCGCCGACCAACGGCAAGGCCGCCGGCCGCCGACCAACGGCAAGGCCGCCGGCCGCCGACCAACGGCAAAGCCGCCAGCCGCCGACCAACGGCAAGGCGAGGAACGGCAAGGCCGCCGGCCGCCGACCAACGGCAAGGCCGCCGGCCGCCGACCAACGGCAAGGCCGCCGGCCGCCGACCAACGGCAAGTCCGCCGGCCCCCGACCAACGGCAAGGCCGCCGGCCGCCGACGAACGGCAAGGCCGCCGGCCGCCGACGAACGGCAAGGCCGCCGGCCGCCGACGAACGGCAAGGCCGCCGGCCGCCGACCAACGGCAAGGCCGACGGCCGCCGACCAACGGCAAGGCCGCCGGCCGCCGACCAACGGCAACGCCGCCGGCCTCCGACCAACGGCAAGGCCGCCGGCCAACGGCAAGGCCGCCGGCCGCCGACCAACGGCAAGTCCGCCGGCCGCCGACCAACGGCAAGGCCGCCGACCGCCGACCAACGGCAAGGCCGCCGGCCGCCGATGAACGGCAAGGCCGCCGGCCTCCGACCAACGGCAAGGCCGCCGGCCGCCGACCAACGGCAAGGCCGCCGGCCGCCGACCAACGGCAAGGCCGCCGGCCGCCCGACCAACGGCAAGGCCGCCGGCCGCCGACCAACGGCAAGGCCGCCGGCCTCCGACCAACGGCACGGCCGCCGGCCGTCGACGAACGCCAAGGCCGCCGGCCGCCGACGAACGGCAAGGCCGCCCGCCGCCGACGAACGGCAAGGCCGACGGCCGCCGACCAACGGCAAGGCCGACGGCCGCCGACCAACGGCAAGGCCGCCGGTCGCCGACGAACGGCAAGGCCACCCGCCGCCGTTTAACGGCAAGGCCGCCGGCCGCCGACCACCGGCAAGGCGACGAACGGCAAGGCCGCCGGCCGCCGACCAACGGCAAGGCCGCCGACGAACGGCGAGGCCGACGGCCCGCCGACGAACGGCGAGGCCGACGGCCGCCGGCCGCCGACCAACGGCAAGGCCGCCGGCCGCCGACCAACGGCAAGGCCGCCGGCCGCCGACCAACGGCAAGGCCGCCGGCCGCCGACCAACGGCAAGGCCGCCTGCCGCCGACCAACGGCAAGGCCGCCGGCCCCCGACCAACGGCAAGGCCGCCGGCCCCCGACCAACGGCAAGGCCGCCGGCCCCCGACCAACGGCAAGGCCGCCGGCCCCCGACCAACGGCAAGGCCGCCGGCCCCCGACGAACGGCAAGGCCGCCGGCCGCCGACCAACGGAAAGTCCGCCGGCCGCCGACCAACGGCAAGTCCGCCGGCCGCCGACCAACGGCAAGTCCGCCGGCCGCCGACCAACGGCAAGGCCGCCGGCCGCCGACCAACGGCAAGGCCGCCGGCCGCCGACCAACGGCAAGGCCGCCGGCCGCCGACCAACGGCAAGGCCGCCGGCCGCCGACCAACGGCAAGGCCGCCAGCCGCCGACCAACGGCAAGGCGAGGAACGGCAAGGCCGCCGGCCGCCGACCAACGGCAAGGCCGCCGGCCGCCGACCAACGGCAAGGCCGCCAGCCGCCGACCAACGGCAAGGCGACGAACGGCAAGGCCGCCGGCCGCCGACCAACGGCAAGGCCGCCGGCCGCCGACCAACGGCAAGGCCGCCGGCCGCCGACCAACGGCAAGGCCGCCGGCCTCCGACCAACGGCAAGGCCGCCGGCCAACGGCAAGGCCGCCGGCCGCCGACCAACGGCAAGTCCGCCGGCCGCCGACCAACGGCAAGGCCGCCGACCGCCGACCAACGGCAAGGCCGCCGGCCGCCGATGAACGGCAAGGCCGCCGGCCTCCGACCAACGGCAAGGCCGCCCGCCGCCGACCAACGGCAAGGCCGCCGGCCGCCCGACCAACGGCAAGGCCGCCGGCCGCCGACCAACGGCAAGGCCGCCGGCCGCCGACCAACGGCAAGGCCGCCGGCCGCCGACCAACGGCAAGGCCGCCGGCCGCCGACCAACGGCAAGGCCGCCGGCCTCCGACCAACGGCACGGCCGCCGGCCGTCGACGAACGCCAAGGCCGCCGGCCGCCGACGAACGGCAAGGCCGCCCGCCGCCGACGAACGGCAAGGCCGACGGCCGCCGACCAACGGCAAGGCCGACGGCCGCCGACCAACGGCAAGGCCGCCGGCCGCCGACGAACGGCAAGGCCACCCGCCGCCGTTTAACGGCAAGGCCGACGGACGCCGACCAACGGCAAGGCCGCCGGCCGCCGACCAACGGCAAGGCCGCCGGCCGCCGACCAACGGCAAGGCCGCCGGCCGCCGACCAACGGCTAGTCCGCCGGCCGCCGACCAACGGCAAGGCCGCCGGCCGCCGACGAACGGCAAGGCCGCCGGCCGCCGACCAACGGCAAGGCCGCGACGAACGGCGAGGCCGACGGCCGCCGGCCGCCGACCAACGGCAAGGCCGCCGGCCGCCGACCAACGGCAAGGCCGCCTGCCGCCGACCAACGGCAAGGCCGCCGGCCCCCGACCAACGGCAAGGCCGCCGGCCCCCGACCAACGGCAAGGCCGCCGGCCCCCGACCAACGGCAAGGCCGCCGGCCCCCGACCAACGGCAAGGCCGCCGGCCCCCGACGAACGGCAAGGCCGCCGGCCGCCGACCAACGGCAAGTCCGCCGGCCGCCGACCAACGGCAAGTCCGCCGGCCGCCGACCAACGGCAAGTCCGCCGGCCGCCGACCAACGGCAAGGCCGCCGGCCGGCGACCAACGGCAAGGCCGCCGGCCGCCGACCAACGGCAAGGCCGCCGGCCGCCGACGAACGGCAAGGCCGCCGGCCTCAGACCAACGGCAAGGCCGCCGGCCGCCGACCAACGGCAAGGCCGCCAGCCGCCGACCAACGGCAAGGCCGCCGGCCGCCGACCAACGGCAAGGCCGCCGGCCGTCGACGAACGGCAAGGCCGCGTGCCGCCGGCCGCCGACGAACGGCAAGGCCGCCGGCCGCCGACCAACGGCAAGGCCGACGGCCGCCGGCCGCCGACGAACGGCAAGGTCGACGGCCGCCGACCAACGGCAAGGCCGCCGGCCGCCGACCAACGGCAAGGCCGCCGACCAACGGCAAGGCCGCCGGCCGCCGACGAACGGCAAGGCCGCCGGCCGCCGACGAACGGCAAGGCCGCCTGCCGCCGGCCGCCGACGAACGGCAAGGCCGCCTGCCGCCGGCCGCCGACAAGGCCGCCGGCCGCCGACCAGCAGCAAGGCCGCCGGCCGCCGACCAACGGCAAGGCCGCCGGCCGCCCGACGAACGGCAAGGCCGCCGGCCGCCGACCAACGGCAAGGCCGCCGGCCGCCGACCAACGGCAAGGCCGCCGGCCACCGACCAACGGCAAGGCCGCCTGTCGCCGGCCGCCGACGAACGGCAAGGCCGCCGGCCGCCGACGAACGGCAAGGCCGCCGGCCGCCGACCAATGGCAAGGCCGACGGCCGCCGGCCGCCGACCAACGGCAAGGCCGACGGCCGCCGACGAACGGCAAGGCCGCCGGCCGCCGGCCGCCGACGAACGGCAAGGCCGTCGGTCGCAGACCAACGGCAAGGCCGACGGCCGCCGGCCGCCGACGAACGGCAAGGCCGACGGCCGCCGACCAACGGCAAGGCCGCCGGCCTCCGACGAACGGCAAGGCCGCCGGCCGCCGACGAACGGGAAGGCCGCCTGCCGCCGGCCGCCGACGAACGGCAAGGCCGCCTGCCGCCGGCCGCCGACGAACGGCAAGGCCGCCGGCCGCCGACGAACGGCAAGGCCGCCGGCCGCAGACCAACGGCAAGGCCGCCGGCCGCAGACCAACGGCAAGGCCGACGGCCGCCGGCCGCCGACGAACGGCAAGGCCGCCGGCCGCCGACCAACGGCAAGGCCGCCGGCCGCCGACCAACGGCAAGGCCGCCGGCCGCCCGACGAACGGCAAGGCCGCCGGCCTCCGACCAACGGCAAGGCCGACGGCTGCCGGCCGCCGACGAACGGCAAGGCCGCCGGCCGCCGACGAACGGCAAGGCTGCCCGCCGCCGACGAACGGCAAGGCCGTCGGCCGCCAACCAACGGCAAGGCCGACGGCCGCCGACCAACGGCAAGGCCGCCGGCCTCCGACGAACGGCAAGGCCGCCGGCCTCCGACGAACGGCAAGGCCGCCGGCCGTCGACGAACGGCAAGGCCGCCGGCCGCCGACGAATGGCAAGGCCGCCTGCTGTCACGATAAGAATGAATTGATAGAAAATGTGAAGTACAACCCTAGATATAGCAAACCCTAATCATGCAAGTAAGTAGAAATGTAACACCTAGACTAACCTAAACAACACATATAAAATATATGTTGACACACCCCCATAGTCTAGGTGACGGAAGTCCTGTAGAAACAACAAGAGCAAGCAAGGGGCCACAAGGCCAGTCCACATGCAGGTATATAGCAAATATAAAGAGATGCAAGAGTACAAGACATGCAGGACAAGACATCTCTAAGCAAGCAAGTGAGGACGGGCAGGCACAAGGCCAAGCTGGGTGCAGAAACGCTGGTGGTCACAAGGCGGCAACGCCTTGGTGAAGATATCTGCCGTGTTGGCCTCAGAGACCACACGTCGAACGAGTGCCTGTCCACGCTGCTGCAACTCACGCAGAAGGAAGTAACGAAGCTGGATGTGCTTCGCCTTCCCAACCAGTCGGGGCTCCTCACACAACAGGACAGCAGACCTGTTGTCGGCGAACAAGACTGGGGGAGAGCGAGGCCGCTCACCAAGGTCGGTGAGAAGGAAAGACAGCCAGCGAAGCTCCTGAGCGGCCATGGCCGCAGCGTACACCTCTGCCTCACTGCTGGAACCGGCGACGGACGACGCCCGAGTCGACCGCCACGAAACAGCACCTGCCCCGAGGCTAAAGGAGTACCCCTGTGTAGACCGACGCGTCTCCGCGTCGTCGGCCCACGACGAGTCCGAGTAACCTGTGAGTGTAACTGGCTGCTTCCCTCCAAGGACAAGTCCCATGCCTGATGTACTCGCCACATACTTCGCCACCCTCTTAGCAGCGTACCAGTGGGAAGGTCGGTGTCTCCCAGGCGCAACAAAGCGCGCAAGGACGCTAAGAGGGTAAGCTAGGTTTGGGCGAGTACAGGTCATCAGGTACATGAGACAACCCACCAGCTCAGGATATGGACCACTGGACTCAAATGACTCGTCCGAAGGTGGAGCCGTGAGCCCATGATCCACACCAAGAGGGGTGAGCTGTACCTTGGAGAACGGGAAGCGAAACCGCGTGAGGATCTGCTCGACCATATGCGACTGAGTCAGCGTAATGGTGCGAGCTGCCCTGTCCCTGGTGATCTGCAGGCCAAGGTAGTGCTGCAGCTCACCAAGGTCAGTGCAAGTGTGTCTCCTCTGCAGTTCCTCCTTCACGGAGGCCAGCGCGCGTCGGTCGGGAGTGGCGAACACTAGGTCGTTGACGTAGACCAGGACAAAGAACGGGGTCGAGCCACGGCGAACGAACAGTGACGGGTCAGCAGACGACGGAAAGAAGTCAAGAGCTGCAAGGGTCGAGCGAAGTGTGTCGTGCCACTCACGTGGGGCCTGACGCAGGCCGTAGACTGGTCGACGCAGCTGCCACTGGGTCCCAGGTGGGAAAGAGCCAGTGAAGCCAGGCGGGCGACGCAGCCAGATCTGCTCGTGCAGGCTCCCCTGAAGGAACGCGGTGGAAAAGTCCAAGGAGTGCAACTCGTAGTCGCGCTGGGCTGCAATATGCAGCAACACCCGAAGAGTACTCATCTTCGGGGTGGGAGCGAAGGTCTGGAAGAAGTCCACCCCCTCTCGCTGACTGAAGCCTCTCGCAACATAGCGCGCCTTGAACACAGGTGGTGATCCAGGCGGCCGCTTCACCTTGTAGAGCCATCGGCCACTGACGACATTCGTCCCAGGTGGTGGGACTGCGTCGACGTAAGTGCCTGTGGACCTATAAGATGCCATCTCTGCCTCCTCAGCTGCTATCCAGTACGAAGCCCAGGGTCCCGAGACCGCCTCGGCGTGAGTGCGAGGGATCGGGATGTCAAGGGCGTCTGGATCCCCCTCAGGGGCAAGCAGCATGGCGCAGAGATGAGGAACAGCGGCCGCAAGGAAACCAAGCTCGAACTGCCTGTCCTCTACGACCTCCAGGGGAAAGACAGGAGCACCCCCAGAGGACGGAGAACGTGCAGGGCCACTCACCAAGTGAGCGGCGTAGTCAAGGCGGTGGGAAGAGGCAAAGCCAGAGACAGTGGTAACAAGTGCTGAGACAGACGACAGAGGTGCAGTCGGGTGAGTGACCAACGCGGACAAAACACGGGAGACGACAGGACGGGAGGCACGGAGGTAGTCGGACAACGGGTCGTGAAGCACAGTGAGGGACGACTCAGGGGGCTGTGGAAGGACAGGAGGAGGTGGAACACGAGAGCGGAGAACAAGGTGAAACGGACCGTCTGCACGGTAACGGGACCGACAGGGCTGTGGAGACACAGCACGACTGAGGGGAGGACGACGAGTCCACTGGGAGGAGGAAAGGGACTCAACTGGTGGAACAGGAGGGGACGGTAGGGGACCACGAACAAAGCGTGCAGGTGCTGGGTCGGGGAGGTCGCGTAGTCGCAGTCGCTGCTGCTCCGCCTCCTCTGGCGTCTGCTGCGACGGTACCGGCCCCTGCTGCTGCTCCTGTGGCTCCGCCTCTGCCCTCTCCTGCTGCGGCTGCAGCTGTACCCGCTGCTGCGACCGGGACTCCTGCGCTACCCTCTCCTGCTGCTGCCGTGACTCCTCCTCCTTCTTCTCTGCGGTCGGTTGCTGCGGAGCCTGGGGGTGTTCCTGCGGGAGGTACTGGAGGCCCCGGGGGTGTCGGTGGTGGAGGTGCTGGTTCTGGGGGTGCTGGAGCTGGAGGCACTGGCACTGTGGCGCCTACACCGCACACTGTACGTTTCCTGACCAGGAGGCAGGTTTCAGGTGGGGAAGCTGTTAAGGCAGCGGGCTACGGGTGAGGCGGCGGTTCTGTGCAGTTCTGTGCGGTTATGTGCAGTACTGTGCGGTTCTGTGAGGTTCAATGCGGTGGAGAGGACTGGGTGGGGCAGCTGATTCCGGGTGAGGTGCCTGGAACGGGTGGGGCAGCAGGTTTCCAGGTGGGGCGGCGGTTGTCAGGTCTGGGGCGGTGGTTTTCAGGTGGGGAAGCTGTTAAGGCGGCGGTTCTGTGCGGTTCTGTGCAGTTATGTGCAGTTCAATGCGGTGGAGAGGACTGGGTGGGGCGGCTGATCCCGGGTGAGGTGCCTGGAACGGGTGGGGCAGCAGGTTTCCAGGTGGGGCGGCGGTTGTCAGGTCTGGGGCGGCGGTTTTCAGGTGGGGAAGCTGTTAAGGCGGCGGTTCTGTGCGGTTCTGAGGGGGATTTCAGGTCTGGGGGCCGGTTACGACGGTGGGCTGCACGTGCGCGCGGCTACGACGTACTAGCGCGGAGCTGCGGGTGCGACTAAGGCTGCGCGCGCAGCTACGTGCGTTCGTCTGCTGCGCGCTAGAGGACTGGGGGGCAACACGCGGGGTAAAACGAGTGGGGCGCGGGGCTAAAAACCGAGTGACGCTCGGCAAAAAAACGGGTGGGGCGCAGGGCAGAAACGGGTGACGCGCGATGTCGACGGGGGGCGCGACCTACTCGGGCTCTACGGGGCAGGGCGCTTCGGGCTATGGGTCGCTACGAGGCGCGCGGGTGGTGGGCCCATAGACTATCGAGAGAAATTCGCCTAGGGGAAAAATCGCCTAAGGGAAACCTAGCTCTGATACCATGTCACGATAAGAATGAATTGATAGAAAATGTGAAGTACAACCCTAGATATAGCAAACCCTAATCATGCAAGTAAGTAGAAATGTAACACCTAGACTAACCTAAACAACACATATAAAATATATGTTGACACCTGCCGCCGGCCGCCGACGAACGGCAAGGCCGACGGCCGCCGACGAACGGCAAGGCTGCCTGCCGCCGGCCGCCGACCAACGGCAAGGCCGCCGGCCGCCGACGAACGGCAAGGCCGCCGGCCGCCGACCAACGGCAAGGCCGACGGCCGACGGCCGCCGGCCGCCGACGAACGGCAAGGCCGACGGCCGCCGACCAACGGCAAGGCCGCCGGCCGCCGACCAACGGCAAGGCCGCCGGCCGCCGACCAAAGGCAAGGCCGCCGGCCGCCGACCAACGGCAAGGCCGCCGGCCGCCGACCAACGGCAAGTCCGTCGGCCTCCGACGAACGGCAAGGCCGCCGGCCGTCGACGAACGGCAAGGCCGCCGGCCGCCGACGAACGGCAAGGCCGCCGGCCGCCGACCAACGGCAAGGCCGACGGCCGCCGGCCGCCGACCAACGGCAAGGCCGCCGGCGGCCGATGAACGGCAAGGCGCGCGCGCGCGTGAACCAAGGCGCACGCGTGGACCAAGTCTTAGAGGAGAGGCGCCTGCCTCTTAGCAAAAGCGCCTTTTAGAGGAAAGGCACCTCTTAAAGGAGTGGCGCCTGCCTCTTAGAGGAGAGGCGCCTCTTAGAGGAGAGGCGCCTCTTAGAGGAGACAACACACCAAGGCACAACACACCCAGGGTAGAAAGGAAACCTTCCCGTTGTCATTTGCCTTGCCTCACCTTCCCCGAGGGTTCAGTGGTGAGAATAAGGTCGACGGCATAGGGGGCTTTGTCTGTGATGCGACCGTTGTGCCAAGTAGTGCAGTGCAGTGCGCAAAGATATCCCTTTGAGGAGTGGCGCCATGCCATGCTTACTACTACGAAGGTGTACCATATCAAGGATTAAGATTCATGTCGGGAGTAGCTGCAAACTCAGAGAAAACGCTAAGCAGTAGGATCAAAACGTGTAAAAACGTTGTTCCCAAAGCTTACTACTACGAAGGTGTACCATATCATGTGCGTGTAACGGTTGAGGCACTAAACAGCACCTGGAAGGAGAAGCTGTGGTTGAAAATGTGCGCCCACCCATGCCATGCCCCCATGCCTTTCTTTCATTATGTGCGCACAGGGAAAGGGGATACCCACTGAGGCCCGAGATGGCAGAGAGTGCATACTTCCTCTTTCAGGTATGGTAATTGTGGGATGCAAGCCCATTACTTGCGATTGCATGATACTAGCTTAGATGCAAGCCTTTCCATTTTTGAGATGTCTCAAACTAGCTTGGATGCAAGCTTTTCCATTTCCAAACCATTCCCTGATCGCCTTGACTCACACCCATCCAGGCCACAGGCAACCACACATACCTGGAGATTGGGAGGGATATTGCTGCAGCCCTCAACACAGTCACACGCACAGGTGATATTTTCTTGATATAACCACTGGGAAATGTGGGTTTGCAAGCGCTGGGAACGTGCAGATGCCTTTTTCAATAGACTTCAGAAGCGGCTCTTGATGCGCCTCAGAAGTCGTCTCCCTTGTTCCGTTCCATGTGTATCTCAGAAGTCGTCTCCCTTTGTTCCGTTCCATGTGTATCTCAGAAGTCGTCTCCCTTGTTCCGTTCCATGTGTATCTCAGAAGTCGTCTCCCTTGTTCCGTTCCATGTGTATCTCAGAAGTCGTCTCCCTTGTTCCGTTCCATGTGTATCTCAGAAGTCGTCTCCCTTGTTCCGTTCCATGTGTATCTCAGAAGTCGTCTCCCTTGTTCCGTTCCATGTGTATCTCAGAAGTCGTCTCCCTTGTTCCGTTCCATGTGTATCTCAGAAGTCGTCTCCCTTGTTCCGTTCCATGTGTATCTCAGAAGTCGTCGCCCTTGTTCCGTTCCATGTGTGTCTCAGAAGTCGTCTCCCTTGTTCCGTTCCATGTGTATCTCAGAAGTCGTCTCCCTTGTTCCGTTCCATGTGTATCTCAGAAGTCGTCTCCCTTGTTCCGTTCCATGTGTATCTCAGAAGTCGTCTCCCTTGTTCCGTTCCATGTGTATCTCAGAAGTCGTCTCCCTTGTTCCGTTCCATGTGTATCTCAGAAGTCGTCTCCCTTGTTCCGTTCCATGTGTATCTCAGAAGTCGTCTCCCTTGTTCCGTTCCATGTGTATCTCAGAAGTCGTCTCCCTTGTTCCGTTCCATGTGTATCTCAGAAGTCGTCTCCCTTGTTCCGTTCCATGTGTATCTCAGAAGTCGTCTCCCTTGTTCCGTTCCATGTGTATCTCAGAAGTCGTCTCCCTTGTTCCGTTCCATGTGTATCTCAGAAGTCATCTCCCTTGTTCCGTTCCATGTGTATCTCAGAAATCGTCTCCCTTGTTCCGTTCCATGTGTATCTCAGAAATCGTCTCCCTTGTTCCGTTCCATGTGTATCTCAGAAGTCGTCTCCCTTGTTCCGTTCCATGTGTATCTCAGAAGTCGTCTCCCTTGTTCCGTTCCATGTGTATCTCAGAGTGTGGGTTTGCAAGCGTTGGCGACGTGCAGACGCATCGACTTGACGACCACATGGAGTCATTCCTGCTCTCGGAAACACTTAAGTAAGTGCTGCTATTGCCTCACGACCTCGAGTGTTTTGAAGAGGGCTTGACAACCACATGGAGTCATTCCTGCTCTCGGAAACACTTAAGTAAGCATTGCCGTGATTGTTTTTTCTCGAGGGTCTTACGCGTTGCAGTGATTGCTGCTCGTTGAGGTTCTTAAGTGACTGCAAATTGTTGTAAGAGACTCATGACAGCCACATGGAGTCGTTCCTACTCTGAAAACACTTACATAAGCGCTGCAGAAAGAGCGCTTACAATATCAACTAGCGATAGCTTGATCTGATTCGATCTGATCTGATCTGATCTGATCTGATCTGATATCACTGCTTCTCCCCCACCAGGTACCTCTACCTCCTCTTCTCCCCTCACATCGACATCGCCGCCCGGTTCGTTTTCTCCACTGAGGGTCATCTGCTCTCTCTGAACCTTCCCAGAATCTTCCGTGTCGTCTGCCCGTCCGAAGACCACCCGGACATGTCGCCAGCTGGCGACTGCCGAGTGGTTGCTGCCACTGGTGACGTGGATGCTGACGTTGACGGTGATGTGGATGCTGACTTGTCGCAATCCGCCTCGCAGGTTGCGAGCGAGGCACAGAAACCCCCGGATGAATCACAAGGACCACAGTCACACCGCCCCTTGCTCGAGATGCATCAACCCTCGTTTGAATCACACAGACCCTCGCTTGAGTCACGCAAACCCTCGTCTGAATCACGCAAGGCCTCGTTTGAGGAACGCGTGTGTGAGGACTCCCTTTCCGCCCTGGGCTCTCTAATTGATCCGGACTTGGCTTTAAGGAGACAGCTGGTCTGTGAAGCAGTGGTTGAGGCGTTTGGAAGAGAGGAGCATGGAGGAAAGGGGTGGTATGGTGCATGGGAGGACGAGGATGAGGCGAGTGGGGAGGGGGAAGGAGGCGAGGAGGAAGAACGGGAGAAGGGAGAGGGGGAGGAAAGGAGGGATGAGGTGGGGGAAAGGACGGAGGGAGAGGACGGGGTTGGGAGATTGAGAGATGGAGCAGGGAGAGCAGGCGAAAAGGGAGAGGAGAAGAGTGGGATGGAAAGTGGAGGGGTGGAGGGTGGAGAATTGAAGAGTGGTGTGATGGTGAGTGGAGTGGCTAGTAATGTGGAGGGAGAGAGAGTGCCAGCTGTAAGTGAGAAAGGGAGCGTGGAGGGTTCAAGGGAGGAGGAAGCGGAGACAAGGGAGGGAGGTTCGAAGGAGATGGAGGAAAATGAGAAGAGGGAGAGGAGGGAGAGGAGGGAGAGGAGAATGGGTAGGGACGAGAGAAGGCGGAGATTAGAGAGAGCTAGGGAAAGAGAGAGGAGGAAGAGAGTGGCCGAGCAAAACTTAGACGAGCGGCAGAGGGACATGCAACGAGAACGAGAGTTGAGACGACTCAGAACGCAAGCAGCAGGGCTGCGGCTGATGCAGGGGAGGGGGGACGAGAGATGGAGGAGCCCTCTAGAGGAGGAGGTGTCTCGACTTGCTTCCTTCATCAGATTCCAAGAGCGGCAGAGAGAGCAGCAACTAGCAGCATCAGCCGCCGCCGCAGCAGCAGCAGCAGCAGCAGAGGGAGCGGAGTGCGCAGAGGGAGCGGAGGGATTAGGGCGAGAGGGTGTGGGTGAGCTGGGGCAATGCCCTGCAGGGGACCTGGAGAGTCCTTTTCCCAATGCTGCTGCTGCTGCTGCTGGTGCTACTGGTGATGCTGCTATGGGTGGGAGGCGGTTGGGAGGGGTGGTGTCACGAATCATGGGTAACCAGCGTCTGCTGTGCTATTTCATGGTGGACCCATCACACGGCCCCTCCTGCTTCGCCTGGAACGCCCTCCCTGCCGCCTTCCCCTACCTTCAGGGTTTCCAGACCTTAACAGTGAACCTTTATATCCGTAAGTGCTGTGGGTGGGTGGGGTGCGGTTGGGAGGGGTGGTGTGCTGCGAATTATGGCCAACCAGCGCCTGCTCTGCTATTTCATGGTGGACCCATGCCACAAAGATGCAAGCAGAGGCTCAGTGTGTGCGTGTCCCCCATCCCCGTTCATAGTGGACATGCCGCATGGTTGGCTGTATTCCCCCAGCCCACTGTGCATGTCCCCCATACCCGTACCTTTTCCCCCAACTCCCTATCCTTCCCCGTATCCAGCGAGCACAAGGCTTTGTCACATACGTTCCCCTTCCCTTTGACTGCTTCCCCATTATTCCTATCTTTTTCTCTCCCCTTTCACCTACCTTTCCCCCCCACTCCCCATCTTTTCCCCAGAGCACAAGGTCCCAGCAGCGCCCCCCTGTGTGGTGCGCCTGGTTAATTCCCCCCCACTCGAGAGTTCCTCTGAGCATGTAACTAATGTGACTGTACGAGGGGGCGAGGATAAGGGGTGGGAGAGAGAAAAAGGAGAGAGTGGAGGGGTGGATGAGGGGGAGAGGGTGGTCGGGGGGAGCGGGGAGGGGAGGGGGGGAAGAGGGGATGGGAGATGGGGAAGAGGGAGGGGGCAGGAGCGTGCAGATGTTGTGAGTGTTGACCTGCCTGCAGGGGCTGCTGAGTTTGGCCCGCTCCTTGGGTCTGGTGATGATGGTGATGATGGTGATGATAATGATAATGGTGGTGATGGTGTTAGTGATGGTTATAGTGATGGTGATGGTGATGGTGATGGTGATGGTGATGGTGATGGTGATGGTGATGGTGGTGGGAGTGGTAGTGGTGAGGATTTTTGTTTGAATGATGATGCTGCTGTTGATGATGTTTATGATGAGGTTGACGACAGTGAGCTTGATGGGTATGAGGATACTGATGCCGATGCCGATGCTGGTGCCGATGCTGCTGCCGGTGCTGATGTGGATGCTGCTAGTCCCAGTCTGAACGAGGGACAAGAAGCAGCAGGGACAGATGCCGCTGCAAGGAGGGGCACATCAGGAAACGCAGACGCCACAACAGCACATGCAGCAGCAGCAGCAGCAGCAGCAGCAGCAGCAGCAGCAGCAGCAGCAGCAGCAGCGGCGGCGGCAACCAGCACTGAAACCCCTCCTTCCACCACCTCTCCCTCTTCTCCTCCCAGCTCCATTCTCGGAACCCTCGCAGAAGCATCCCCTATACAAGCATGCATGGAGCGCTTGTCGAATCCTGATGAGGTGAAAGGGCGGGTGGTGGTGGTGATGCGTGGGGGGTGCTCTTTCCAACAGAAGGTGGTAGCAGCACAGAGAGCAGGCGCTGCTGCTGTGATTGTTGTGAACCATGTTATGGGGGGAGGGGCGCTCAGTATGGCCCCTGATATTCCCCATTCTGATGCTGTTGCAGCTGATGGTGGGGTGTTGAAGGGCGGTGAAGGGACGGATTTCGATACAGTCACACCTGATTCTGGAGTGTTGCAGGGTGGTGAAGGAACGGATTCAGAAACAGTCACGCCCGATGGGCAGATGATGGCAGCAAGTGATGGAGTTTCACCAGGGAAAAGCAACCCTTCATCAGCAGCCGTATCAGAAGAAGGATTGGAAGCAGCAGAAGGGACAGGTTCGGATGCAGTCACGTCTGGTGAGGAATCAGCAGCAGGTGATGAAGTGTCACCAGGGAAAAGCAACCCTTCATCAGCAGCTGTATCAGAAGAAGGGTCGGAACCAGGAGAAGGATCAGCGGCAGGAGAAGGATCAGCGTTAGAAGAAGAACCACCATCAGCAGCAGAAACACCAGGGGTAGGGGATTCTGATCCAGCAGTGCGAATCCCTTCGGTTAGCCTGGGAAATGCAGATGGCACTCTGCTATTGGCGGTTCTGCGAGGGCAGATGAGCGTGAGAGAGGCTGCATGGCGGAAGGCAGAGGGTGCTGCGGGACAGAGTGAGGGAGTGAAGGAGGGAGAGGGTGAGGGAGAGAGTGAATTGGAGAATGAGGGAGAGGGTGAGGGAGAGAGTGAATTGGAGAATGAGGGAGAGAGGGAGGGAGAAGAGGAGGAAGGAGAGAATGAGGGTGGGTGTGAGGGGGAGGGTGAGGAAGAAGCTTCGAGCAAGAATGAAAAGGAGCAAGGCAAGGATCAAACGGATCGAAAACAGTATAACAAGGGTCCCAGGAAACATGGCAGTGGGGATAAAGGCGAAGGAGAAGGGGATGGAGTGCAGAGATTGGATGATGGAAGAGGAGAAGAGGTATGGGTGAAGCTGTTTTGCCCGGATAAACAGGCGGATGAGGATCGGCCTGTTTTGTTTGATGTGGACGTCAGTGTGCCACCACAATCACCGTTGCAGGTTAGTCCATATACCCCATTTGTAAAATGGCGTACGGTATTCAGTGCAATGAAGTGTATGCTTTTGATTATTGCATCTATAATTATCGCCATGATCCAGTTTTTTTGCTACGTTCCATGTGTCTTGTTGGTTTGTGTTGCAGATGCAGCAAGCTGTGAATGCGATGATTATGCTGCTGAGAGCAGGGCAATTGAATCGCCTTCTGACTTTGCCATAAGGAATTAATGGCCTTTCACTCAGTCTCAAAGGGCTGGGTGGGTCGGATCAGATGGGTAGCTGAAGCCTGTGAGACCCACATTTGCTTAACACCAATTTAAAGCCCGTGTCCCAAATTGCGGGCCGCGCGGGTCAAGCTTTTAAAATTTGAAGAAGTGGGCTGTGCAAGCTTTGAAAAGAAGCGCACCTGCAATTTGGGACTTTCGAGGTCTGACACACCCACAAGGGTAAAAACGAGGGGCTGGCTGGGTTTGGCTAAAAAAACGAATTCGACGAAATCAGAAACACTCGCCAAAGCCCAAACTACCAAAACTCCCTCACGTCAACTTTTTAATACTTGTGCAATTTGGGTCAACGGCTTTAAAGCCCGAGTCTAGAATGGTAAGGTTTCAAGAATACTGAACTTGAAAGGTGTTGGGAAAGCGACGGAATGGGCAAGCGATGGTCATGTGAAGGCCAGCGACATGATGGGAGAGCGTGGGAGACACTCAGAGTAAGCGTGGGCGATGGACGCGGAAGGGAGAGCCACCTAAAAGGCGACGGGAGGGGAGGCGAATTCAAGTTCAATAATCTTGAACTTGCAAAGTTGCCATTCTAGACTCGGGCTTTAAGCAATTTCACATAACAAGCATGCCTGACTGCTTTGTCCCATCCAATGATTTGGTTGGGCTGGGGAAGGCCTGGTCAAGATCGTCCATATCCAACTATTTCCAGGTGACTCCGAAGAAGCTTCTGCAAGACGTTCGACTGTGCGAGAGAGGCTCGGCACGAAGGCAGCTTTGGGATGGAGTGTAACAGTGCCACGTCTCGACAAGCAAACGCGCGCACGCGTGCAGAGTGGTAACCAATCTGCATCCAGACCAAAGATTTATTGCCGAACCAGACCGAGTCGCAAAAATCACACTAACCAAGCCTTCCAATCCCCGCACACCTTCCCCTTTCCCCTATTCAATCAACCCCTTCCCCCTTACCCCATTCCCTCCCCTGCACCCTCTTTGTTCAGCGCTGCTCTGCGGAGGGTGGTCCCCCGCCCAAACAGGTCCTCCTGCCGACAGTAAGTTTTGTGCTGAAAAGCTGATCGTACAATCACTGCTGCATCGCTTGACTATTTTTGCGATCAGAGATTGGCCGTAATTGGCTATCGCAATTTCGAACCCGTCGCATACGGTCGCATATCCCTGCCGTGCTGAGAAATGCGAATCTTGACAATCGAACGACTCCGTCAAGCACCCCAAACACCTTGGAGATGTCGCTGCCACGAGCTTATCTCCCCCTCCCCCGCGACCTCGCGCGCTTGCGAAGAAGGCGGCACTTGAGTCCCGAACCGACTCCCGAACGGTGATCGGAGCCCTGCCGAGCTTGAGGGGGCGCGGTTGTCCAGCTCACCTCACAGCGCCAGACCTAGACCCGCGAAATCGAACCAGGCCCTTGACATGCTACTGTTCCGCGCGCTGTCCCCCCTCCCCAACCTCGATGTTGCCGCACCGAAGCTGAATGGCAGACCGACCATCAGCTGGTAACCAGCCAGCCTTCGGTACGTTCAGGCTTCACTTTCCCCCACTGCATTCATCCCTAGTCTCCTGTTTGAACTTCAACCACACTGCACCACATCTTATATCACTGGACACTAAAGCACCGTGGAAAACCTATCGCCAAGTTCGAGTTTCAGTGGTGTTTCTGAATAATAGCTTAGGCAGGTCATGGCGAAATCCAGTCATGGCTGCCTGATGACTTCCTTGTGTTTTACTGTGACTGACCACCAGCACTTCCGTGGTACTAATGCGACGCGACGTGACGTAACCTGACGTAACGTGACGCTGATCGCCAGTAATAACGTGACCCGCAGATAGTAGACTTCGAGTTTCTTTCGCTGAGTTAGTGTCACGGTAAAAAAAACGTCATTTTCTGACGTTTTCGAGGATTTCAGTCGTCAGCCGTGACGCCTTTCGGGTAGATTCATTCCAGTTTCGCGTTGAGCACGCGCAGAGCCTATCAGAAAAAGTCAGGCATCGTCGCGTTTGGAGCGAGAGCGAGTGAGAGGCAGAGTTAGTACGTACGCCGAGTACGTTCGCAAGCTATATTCGAAGCTATATTGCACAAACATCATATATTCGCTACCTTCGACGCCTGTGCGCTTCGACTCTGCAGGACAAGCGATGTGGTCAGAATCGTAGCAGCGAACTTTCCTCTCCTGATTCGTGACGCTGACGATGAAACGCTCCGCTAAGAACGACTTCATAGCGCGTACCACCGTTTCCGGATTGCGACTCAGCTCCGTGACGACGGGAAAATGGATAATGCGACTAGTAGTCTGCGACTGCTAACGACACGGCAATTTCGTATGACTCGCCGACGACTAAACCAGTCGTGCGACGGCGATTCTGAACCTAGCGTCAGACTTCGCGGCGATAACGAGCCAATAGATCAATGCGATTCCCATCAGCCGTACGATCCACGTCAGCCGTACGGCCCACGGCAACACCTTATCTATAGATTTTCGACGAAGAGATACCGGCTGTCCGAGAAGTTCTTGAGAGTATGGCTCGCCTCGCTGTTTATCGGCAGCCTGCTCTCGCCGGCGAATCTATCGGCCGCCGGCGAAGGTAACGGCCTTCCGCTCGCTTCAAATACTGTAGAACAGATTCACTGCTTTCCTTGTTTTGGCTTATTCTCACCCGCGTCGACATCGTCCTCGGTATAAGCCTGAACTTCTTTTGATAGATAAGCTTCTGCATTGTGTCTTGCTGCGTTGCCGCGTCGCCTGCTGCTGATGAAAATGCCGCTCGTCTGGCTTTTAAATCAGCTCAAAGGTCATCTGGTTGGATGCGATGCGATGTTCGTCGGCCGGGGAATGCAAGACTCGTATCATGATGTATCCCTGTTTCTATCACATTGCATGAAGGGGATTTGTGAGTCGACTCAGCAGTCACCTCGTTCCTATCTTATCACACCGCACCACATCTCATGACATAGCATTGCCTTGCATTGCCTTGCCTTGCCTTGCCTTGTGGTCCGGTGCGCTTGCGTTTGCGTGCCGTAATGCAGAGGTCCGGTGGTGCGTGGTGGAAGGTAGTTCCTCCTCCCTCTGCAAGAACCTCCTCTTACAGTCACATCCCGGCGGCGACGACAACACCTGTGACTCTGACCAATCCCACCCACCATGCTGGAAATGGTGTGTGCTAGCTAGCTATCGCTGCAGCAGCATTCCTTCGTTAGGCGTCTCAAATGTCTGTTCTTAGGCCCCTAAGAAATGTTTTTTTTGCCTCGTCTCGGCCTTCTCCCCTCTCCGCCGTTTCTTTTGAGCTGATAAAATCGGTTTTTTTCTCTGTCATTCCCTTCCCCCACCCTCCCTCCCTCCTCCCCTTCTCCCCCCCTCGAACACCAGCGTTCCGCGCGCCCTTGACCAGCACTGCTGGCGAGCGCTGCTGCTTCCGCACGCCGCCCCTGGCGCTGCTGACGTGGCGCTGCTGCCTCCGCCGTTGGATCTTCTACAATCGCATCTCGCAGATGGCTTGCAGCAGCAGCAGCAGCAGCAGAAGGAACAGCGAGAGCCAAGATATCAGCAGCAACAGCGGGAAAAGCAGCGGGAGCAGCAGGGAGAGGAGGTACAGGTAGCTAGAGGGAATGCAGGTGGGCAGCAGGGGCAGCTGGAGTGGCAAAAGCCGTGGCAACAAAGAGTAGAGGAGTCAGTGGATCAGGAACAGGCGCAGTGGAAACCGAAGCATGGGCAGCAGGAACAGCAGCAGCAGAGGCAGCAAGAACAGCAGCAGCAGCAGCAGCAGCAGCAGCAGAAGCAGAAGCAGAAGCAGAAGCAGAAGCAGAAGCAGACACAGAGTAAGGCTCAACGGAGGAAAGCAAGGGGTGCCAATAGACTAGCAGCAACTGCTGCTGGTGCTGCCGCTGCCGCTGCCAGATACGGCAATATAACGAGCGGGTCAGTAGGGGTGATTGTGACAGGTAGCATGTGCGACAGAATGCCGGACCTGCTGGCTCGGATGGGGCTTGGAATGGAGGCGGAGGAGGTCTGGGAGCAGCAGGCTCGGCAGCAGGGGAAAGTCTTGGTTGGGAACATGCGTATGTGCTCTGGAGAAGGGGTTATCTCGTGCTTAAATCTGCTTCATGAGATGGAGCAGGAGACCAAAGAGGAGGGAGTGGATAGCAGTAGCAGCAGTGGCAGCAACGGTGGCAGTGGCAGCAGCAGCAGCAGTAGGAGGGGGAAGCGGCCAGTCGTGGCGCTCCTGTGGCTGGCAGGCAGCCACGTGGCAGAGCATGATTGGCAGGAGCTTCTGGCGGAAGTGAATGAGAGCGGGTCGCTGCGGCTGCTGTGTGCTGATGGCTCGTGCTCCGATATTCGCCTGGACTCCCTCTGCTGGTATGTTAATCGTGTCTGTATGAGACGGTACGTGCTACTCCCTCTGTTCGTGTTTCTCGGATCTCTTCCTCCTTTCTTGCCTCTCCCTCCCTCCCTCCCTGCCAGTGCCTGCTATGATCAACGTCTCTTTAGCTGCCCTTCCCATCCCCACCTTTATCCCACCACCCATCCCATCTCCTCCTTTCTCAACCCGCACCAACAGGCTGCTGCCACCTGGCTCTCTCTGGCTGCGTCAGCACCGCACTGATGACGTGGCATGGCTTGCAGGGCTCATGGCACGCCACGTCCTCATGCACACGTGGAACATCTCCCTCCCCCTTGCACAACCTCCTCCTCCTCCTCATCCTCCTCCTCTTGCTCCTCAGAACCCACTCACTCCTCCTCCATCCTCCCACTCCCCCTTAGCTCCTTCGTCTTCCTCCCACTCGTCCTCATCTCCCCCCCATCACTCATCATTACCACTCTCTAGTCCTGAAGATTCCACGTCAAGCATGCCATTAGCCACGTCAGGCCTGCCATTAGCCATGTCAGGCACAGTCTCAACACCTGAAGATTCATCTGAGGTGGACCAGAGCAAGACAAAAGAGAATACGCAGTGGTCAGGATGGGTGCACCTATTCTCGCATTTGTCAAGAAAGGTATGCTGTCAATCGCTCTTGTTCTCATACTTGTTTATCTCCATCCGCGATTTTCTTTATACTCGTTTGTCTCGCAATCAAACCCCTCTTTCGTTGCCGTACCTTCCATCTCCCCTCTTCATGTCCCTCACTCCCTCACTCATTGCCTCACTCTCACCCTTGGCCTCGTGCTCCCCTCTTGCTCTCCCGCCCCTTTCCAGGTCACCTTTCACATGCACCGAGTCCTCCTCCACATCAGCCACTCACTGCCTGCCACGTCACACGCTGCCGCCACGTCACACACTGCCGCCACGTCACACACTGTTGCCACGTCACATACTGATGCGCCTGCCACGTCAGCTCCCGAAGCTGCAACCACCACTGCCGCTGTCACGAGTTTGGTGACTCCGCGTCTGCTCTCCCTCATGCCATTCTCAACAGCTTCCTCATCCTCGCTGGTAAGTGGCTGCCTCATGGAATGCAGTGCAATGCAGTGCGGTGCACTCCGGTGCATTCAGGTAGTTTGCTGGCTCCGATTCTGCTCTCCCTTATCCCATTCTCAACCGCTTCCTCATCCTCGCTTGTAAGTGGCTCTTGCAGTGCAGTGCAGAGCAGTGCGGTGCAGTGCAGTGCAGTGCGATGCCTTCAAGTAGCTGCTTGCTTCGTGTCTGCTCCCCCTCATGCTGTTCGCATCTGCTTCCTCACCACTTCTCTCCTCTACTCTCCTCTCCTCTCCTTTCCTCTTCCTCTTTCTTATTTTCCATGCACGCATCATGCATCCATTCATCCATGCATCGACATCCATGCCATGCCCCCTGTGGTTCCAGGAACTGGCATCAACACCATCGTCACACACCGTTCCACCATCCCCTCCCTCTCCCCCCTCTCCTCCCTCCCCTCCCTCTTCCCCCTCTCCTCCCTCTCCTCCCCTTCCTCCCTCTCCTTCCTCTCCTCCCTCACCTCCTTCCCCTCCTGCATCTCCGTCGCCCCCTTTTTCTCCTCCAATCATTCCTCCACCTCCCCTCCCTCCTTCCGCTGCCCCTTCTCCCCTCCCTCCACCCCAGCCCCTGTCACCACCACCACCACCAACGCCAGGTCAGCTCCTCTCCAAATGCTAGAGTTGAGCATGTGATGCTACTGCAAACACTGTCTTTGAATCCAGAGCCCCATAACACCACATTTTCATTGTCATTCAGGCAAGACGTGGTTGCCTTTGAATGAGGCAATTCCTCATTCATTGTCTTCACCATTCAGTCATTGTCTCCTCCACAGGCAAGACGTGGTTGCAATTCCTCTCTGCGTAATACTAATCTCTGCCTCCTCTTTCCCTTCTTTTCTTGTTTCTCTTCCCTCTTTCTGTGTTCCCACCCCTTCACCCCCCCCCCTCTTTCCTCCTCCCCACATCCTTTCAAATCACGCTACACCTTATCAACATTCCTCGGCTCCTCAGACTCCCCCCCTCCTAGCCCTCCTCCCCTTCCACCTCCCGCGCCCGCCCCAACCCTCTACCCCTTACTGCCCCCCTTTGGGGATCTCAACTCTCCCGCCTCCCCCCCTCCCTCCCCACCAGCACCCCCATTCCCCCCACTTCCACCTCCCTCCCCTCCCACGCCTCCTTCCCCTCCTTCCCCTCCTTCCCCTCCTTCCCCTCCTTCCCCGCCCTCCCCCATTATCTCCTACCCTTCGTCTCCCCCTCTTGCAGATTTAAACTCCCCCTCCTCCCCCCCCCCCCTCCCCTCCCAGACCCCCCTCTCCCCCTTCTCCTCCGCCTGCCCCTCCTTCCCCTCCTCCTCCTCCTTTCCCTCCATCCCCTCCCCCTTCCCCTCCCTTCCCCCCCCCATCCCCTCCCTCCCCTTTTCTCCCCTCATCTCCCCCTCTTGGTGACATGAACTCCCCCACCTCCCCTCCCCCTTCCCCTCCCAGACCCCCCTCCCCCCCTGCTCCTCCCCCTGTCCCCCCCTCCCCTCCGCCCCCGCCTTCTCCCTCTCCTGTGCTCGCCCCTCCCCCTCAAAACCTCGTTCCCCCACTCCCCCTTCCCCCCACAACCGCTCTCCCCCCTTCCTCTCCGCCTTCCCCCTCGACCTCAGCACCCCCACCACAAGAGCCCCCTGCGCTTCTTTCCCCTCCCCCTCCTCCCCCTTCCCCCTCCCCGTCCCCTCCCCAATCCGCCCGTCCCCCTCCCATTCCGCCTAGCCCACCCCCCGTCTCTCCCCCTTCCCCCGACTCTCCCCCGCCTCCCGTCCCCTCCCCCCCTGCGCGCCCACACCCCCCACCTGCCAACTCTAACGATATGGGTAATGCCACAGAACCTCCCCCTCCCTCACTCCCTAATCCCCCTCCCTCACTCCCTCACTCCCCCCCTCCTCCTACTCCTCTCCCTCCCCCCCCGCCTGCCCCTGCTCCCCCGCTCTCCCCATCCCCTCCACCCCACTCTCCCCCATCTCCCCCCACTCCCCCGTCCGTCTTCCCACCCTCACCTCCCCCCTCTCCTCCTTACACCCTCGGTCCTGTCCTCCCAGCTCCTGTTCTCTCCCCTCCCCTCCCCCCCTCCCCACTCCCCTCCGCACCCCCCGCCGCACCCCACTCCTCCTTTCCCTTCTCCGAACTTCCCCCCTTCTCCCCCCATTTCCATCCTCCCTCCCAGCCCTCCAAAACAGCCTCCTCTCCCCCTCTCTCCTCCCTCCCCTCCTCCTCTCACACACTCACCACCCCTGGCACAACCACCAACCAACTCTCCTGCACCAGAATCCCCACCAGTCAAACCACCACCATTACAACCACCACCTGAAAAACCACCTGCGCCAGCACCAAAAGCACCTGAAATACCACCTGCTCCAGCACCAAAAGCACCTGAATTACCATCTGCTCCAGCACCAAAAGCACCGGAAAAACCACCTGCGACAGCACCAGCAGCACCGCCACCACACCCGGCGTTCCTACCCCACCCCAACTCCTCCCACGCTCCTGTCACCATCTGGAACCCTCCCCCCTTGCCTGTGCTGCCGCCCCCTGCGCCTGTGCTGCCGCCCCCTTCGCCTGTGCTGCCGCCCCCTTCGCCCGTGCTGCCGCCCCCGTCGCTTCCGCTGCCGCCCCCACCACCTGACAGCAGAAGTGAGTTTTTGTCTCATCTCCTTGTCGCTATCTCCTAGAAACGGTCTCCTTGCCTCGTTGTATCTTGGATAGATTCTCATGTGTGCATAGAAAATCGTTGAACAGGGGAGGGAGTGAATCCTTGTCACCATACCTGTTGTCTTGTCATCAATCTCCTTCGTCCGGTCATCCGTTGATCCTGCTCTGACTCCACTCTCCCACCTCTCCCCATACTTCCCTTCCCCATTTTCCTCCCCATTCCCCCTCATCACTCCCACCAGACTGCCCCCCCTGCCCAGACACCTACGTCCTCCTCCCCTCCCCCACCCCCTCCTCCGCCTCCCCCGCCGTCCCCCCCTCCGCCCCTCCGCCCTGCACCTGCGGCCTCCCCATGGTGGTGGTTATGAAGCTCTATTGCGGCTTCGACTCCTTCCTCCTCTCCCTCCCAGCCTTCACTGCCCAGACGGCCACCTCCCTTGTGCTGCGGAAGGAACAAGTGGAGGTGAGTCTTGGCTGAATGCACACTCAATCTCTGTTCAAACTTGCGGTCTTCCTCCCCATGGTGGTGGTTATGAAGCTCTATTGCGGCTTCGACTCTTTCCTCCTCAACCTCCCCGCCTTCACTGCCCAGACGGCCACCTCCCTTGTGCTGCAGAAGGAACAGGTGGAGGTGAGTTGTTTCTCCTCGCCCCCCTTCCACCTTCCTTCACACCACTCTGCCCAAACAGCTACCATATCCCGTGCACGTATGGGCGGTGAATCAAGACCCTGATTCTGCTGCTCTGAATGTCACTGTGTGCTCCTCTTCCCCCTCCTTTTCCCCCACTGGTAACCTGGTTACCACATCCATGCTGCACGTATGGGTGGTGAATCAAGACCCTGATCCTGCTGCTCTGAATGTCACTGTGTGTTCGTATCATCATCTTCCCCTTCCCTTTCCTGCATTTGTAACCTGGTTACCGCATGCCGCACAGGTGTGGGTACTGTGAACTACGACCCTGATCCTGCTGCCCTAAAGCTAAATGTTTACTACCACCTGCTCCTCTTCCCCCTCCTTTTCCCCCACTGGAAATCCGGTTACCACATTCTGTGCAGGTATGGGCAGTGAACAACGACCCTGATCCTGCTGCTCTGAATGTCACAGTGTGTGTTGTTACCTCTTCACCCTCTTCCCCTTCCTTTTCCCGCATTTGTAACCTGGTTACCACATTCATGCTGCAGGTGTGGGCAGTCAACTATGACCCTGATCCTGCTGCTCTAGATGTCACTGTGTATCTCCTGCCCCTCGCCTCCTCTTCCTCCTCCTCTGCTGCTGCTGCCACCGCCTCAACCGCTTCTGCTGCTGATGCTGCAAGTGCCACTGGTGTCCAAGGGGCGACGATTACTGGTGGAATGGGTGTCGAAGCGAGACAAATCAAATCAACAGCAGCTACAGAAGCAGTGACAACTGCAACCTCCTCATCCTCCTCACTCTCCCCCCATTCTCATCACTCCTCGTCGACGGGTAAAGTCTCTCGACTCCTTCAGTCCTCCTCCTCCTCCCGCCCACCAGTTGCCACGACTGCTCAGCAGCAGCCAATCACGGATCGGCTGAGTGCAGCAGAGGTGGATCGCATCCGACGGCTGCTGTTGACCGGATCGCTGGTGCTGGATCAACAGCTGTTCGGGGCGTATGAAGTGATATTGGTGCTCAACCCAGGTGAGAGGAAGAGAGTACAAGTGTGAGACAGGGAAGATGAAGGGAGACAGAGAGGGAGAAGCCTCTTTTGAGTGGAGAACTGCTGTTGAGCCGATCGCTCGTGCTGGACCACCCCCTCCTCTTCTCTCCCCCTCCACCTCTCCCGCCCCTCTCCCCCCCTCCTCCGCCTCCTCCTCCTCCCCGTTCTCCCCCTCGCCTCCCTCCATTCCACCCCCTCCTGCCTGCGGGGGAATGCCTTACTGGAAGGCCATGCTTATGATCGTTCTCCCCTCCTTGATCCTCGCGATTATTCTCATCTATGTCCCTTCCCCTCCCTCTCCCCCCTCTACCCCCCTCCCTCCCCCCTGCTCTCCTTCCCCCTTGTTTCCCGCCTGCTTTTTCCCCAGGCCAACGCCCGCCTCCGCCCCCGCCTCTGCTCTCCCCCTCCACTTCTCCTGCCCTTCTACCCCCGTCCTCCGCCTCCTCCTCCTCCCCGTTCTCCCCCTCCCCTCCCTCCATTCCACCCCCTCCTGCCCCCGCGGGCATGCCTTACTGGAAGGTCATGCTCATGATCGTTCTCCCCTCCTTGATCCTCGCAATTATCGTGCTCTGTGTGGTGGTCTGGTGCGTGAGGAGGAGACCGTTGGAGAAAGCAGGGAAAGGGGCTGCGAAACTGGTGGGGAGTTGGAAGGGGAAGGGGGAAAGGGGGCGCGGAGGGAGGAGAGGAGGGAGGGGAGGAGGGAGGGGGGCGGGAGAAGGAGAGGGAGATGGGGCGGGAGAAGGGTGGATGGAGGGCAGGGCGGAGAGGATAGGGTGGGAACGTGGGGGTAGGTCTGGGGAGCAGGAGGGGAGGGGGGAGAGGGAAGAGGGGAGAGCAAGAGGAAGAGGGGGGTCAGGGAGAGGCCAAGAGAGGGAGGTGGGGGAGGAGAGAGAAGAGGTGCAGGAGTGGGGTGGGGTGGAGAGTGATGACGATCATTACACGCCGCTTGCATCGGGGGTAGAGAGGCAGTGGGCAGGTGGAGGAGTGGCAGCAGCAGGGGCAGGGGCAGGGTTTGCGACTGGGGCGAGAGTAGCAGCAGCAGGAGCATTTGCAGAAAGAGAAGCAGGAGAAGGAGGGGCAGGAGTAGGAGGAGGAGCAGGAGCAGGAGCGGCAGGCAGGGGTAAAGGAGCCCTTAGAGAAAGCTCCTTTAGAGGAGCCTCTGTGCAAACCCTAGCCCCATTTGCTGAAGCCACCTTCTCATTCTCCCTCACGGAAATCCACACAGCCACTGGTGGTTTCCACCCGAGCAACCTGATTGGCCGAGGCGGATCCAGCCAGGTGTTCCGGGGGTGCTTGCCGGGCGGCAAACTGGTCGCCGTGAAGAGATTTGATTCGCCGCCCGGGGCGGAGAGGGATTTTATTACGGAGGCCCGGCTGCTGAGCCGGCTGAACCACAAGAACGTGGTGAAGCTTCTGGGAACCTGCGACGAGGGCGGCGTGCGTTGTCTTGTCTTCCAGCTAGCCGAAAAGGGGAGCCTGAGGGAGCACCTCCATGAGAGCAAAGTAAAATCCGAATTGATACCAACTGCTGCAGGACACAGCAGCGACCATACAGACTCTAATTCGACTGCAGATGACCCTAACAAGTCCCTCCTCCCCTCCTCCGCCCTCGCCTCTGCCACCCTTCCCCACTCCACCCTCCCTTCCTCCACCCTCCCCTCCTCCCTCTCCGTCCTCTCCCCTACTCCTGCCCTTCTAGACTGGTCCGCGCGGCTGAAAATAGCTCTGGGGGCGGCCCAGGGGTTAGCTTACCTGCATGAGGACTCTAGTCCGCAGATTATCCACCGGGATTTAAAGACGTCGAATATCCTGCTGGATGCTGATTGGACGGCCAGGATTGCGGATCTGGGGCTGGCGAGAGTGGTGAGGGAGAAGGTGGGGGGTGGCGGGAGGGGTGCGGGTGGGAGGGGAAGTGGGGAGGGGGAGGCGGTAGAGGAGGGAGAGAAGGGGGAGGAGGGAGAGGAGGGGGAGGAGGGAAGTGGGGAGGTGGGAGGAGGACAAGGTTGCAATGCGAAGGGTGTGGATGAAAGAGAGGGGAAACAAGGGGGAAGTCAAGAAAGAAGAGATCAAGAGGTTGTAGCAGGAGGAGAAGGAGAAGAAGGAGAAGGACGAGGAGGAGAGGAGAGAGGGCTGGAGTCCCAGCACATGCGAGGCACGTTTGGATATATGGCTCCAGAATACGCGCTGACAGGCAGAGTGGCGACTAAGAGTGATGTGTTCAGCTTCGGTGTTGTTCTACTTGAAGTGCTGTCGGGCCGCCCCGCCCTTGTGTCTCTGGAGCAGACTCAACAGTCACCTCTGCCTGACCGCCCTGCCCTTGTGTCTCTGGAGCAGTCTCAGACGGTTGGTGATGCAGCAGCAGCAGCTGTGGAGGAGAGTGCAGCGGTTGTAAACGGTGCAAATGGTGCTGTAGGAGCCGGGGTAGCGGTAGCTGGTGCAGCAGCAGCCGAGGAGGAGAGTGCAGCAGTTTTGGAAGGTGCAGGTGCAGCAGCAGCAGGAGCTGCAGGAACTGGAGGGCCAACGCTGGGTGTATCGAGCATCGTGGTGTGGGCCAAGCCCCTGCTCTCCTCGTACGTGCATGCATGCCTTTTCCCCCCCTTTGTTTTCGTTGTTTCCTTCTCTATTCTCTACAACTAGCTCTCCTTACACGTGCATGCGTGCATGCCTGTGACTTTTGAGTCGACTCCAGGTTTTTTTTTTGTTCCCCTTTCTTTCTTGTTTCCCTTTCTCTTCTCTAGTGCCAGCTCTCCTCACTCGTTCTTTCGTGCATGCCTGTGCCGCAGACGCTTTTGGGAAGTCTTAAAAGCGACTCATATCTGACCGATTCAAACCCTTTCAACCATTTCAACTCTCCTCGCACGTGCATGCATGCATGCCAGTGCAGCAGGCGTTCCTATGAATCTTCAGTATGTGCGAATCCCCTCCCATCCCACCAACAGAAAACAAGGCCTGCGACAGTTTGCCGACCCGCGTCTGGGCGGCAGCTATCCACTGGAGGCCATGGCGCGGGCGGCAGCCATAGCCATGCGGTGCACGGAAAGCGAGCCCTCAGCGCGACCATCGATGGGGGACGTGGTGCAAGCCCTCCGTGCCATCGCATTTGAGCACTCCCCCATGACCAGGTGCGTGTGTGTGTTCTGTGCTGTCTCTTTACTTGAGACGGCTCGAAAGGAGAGAGTGAGCCCTCAGCGGGGCCAGCCATGGGGGACGTGGTCCAAGCTCTTCGCTCTATCGCCTTCGAGCACTCTCCCATGACCAGGTGCGTGTGTGTGTTCTGTGCTGTCTCTTTACTTGAGACGGCTCGAAAGGAGAGAGTGAGCCCTCAGCGGGGCCAGCCATGGGGGACGTGGTCCAAGCTCTTCGCTCTATCGCCTTCGAGCACTCTCCCATGACCAGGTGCGTGTGTGTGTTCTGTGCTGTCTCTTTACTTGAGACGGCTCGAAAGGAGAGAGTGAGCCCTCAGCGGGGCCAGCCATGGGGGACGTGGTCCAAGCTCTTCGCTCTATCGCCTTCGAGCACTCTCCCATGACCAGGTGCGTGTGTGTGTTCTGTGCTGTCTCTTTACTTGAGACGGCTCGAAAGGAGAGAGTGAGCCCTCAGCGGGGCCAGCCATGGGGGACGTGGTCCAAGCTCTTCGCTCTATCGCCTTCGAGCACTCTCCCATGACCAGGTGCGTGTGTGTGTTCTGTGCTGTCTCTTTACTTGAGACGGCTCGAAAGGAGAGAGTGAGCCCTCAGCGGGGCCAGCCATGGGGGACGTGGTCCAAGCTCTTCGCTCTATCGCCTTCGAGCACTCTCCCATGACCAGGTGCGTGTGTGTGTTCTGTGCTGTCTCTTTACTTGAGACGGCTCGAAAGGAGAGAGTGAGCCCTCAGCGGGGCCAGCCATGGGGGACGTGGTCCAACCAAGCCCTCCGTGCCATCGCATTTGAGCACTCGCCCATGACCAGGTGCGTGTGTGTGTGTGCTGCTCTTCCCCTTTCTTCTCCCCCTTCCTCTGCGGTGCACGGAGAGTGATCCCTCAGCGCGACCATCAATGGGAGACGTGGTGCAGGCCCTCCGTGCCATCACCTTCGAGCACTCCCCCATGACCAGGTGCGTGGGCTGGTCTCTCATAACCATAACACGAGCAGCCATAGCAATGAGGTGCACGGAGGCCAAGCCCTCAGCGCGACCATCAATGGGGGACGTGGTGCAGGCCCTCCGTGCCATCGCCTTCGAGCACTCCCCCATGACCAGGTGCGTGTGTGTGTGCTGCTCTTCCCCTTTCTTCTCCCCCTCACCAGGACGCTTCTTGCCCCTGTGCCTTGCCTTACTCACTTCCTCCTCCCATTTGTCTTTGTTTTCGCAAACTCTCATGCCGTGCCTAATCTCCTTCTCTCCCCGCCTTCCCCCCTCTCTCATCGTCTCCCCCTCACCAGGACGCTTCTTGCCCCTGTTCCTTACTCCACTTCCTCCTCCCATGCCTCTCCCGCCTCCTCCTCCTCCTCAGCCTCCTACCACCAGTACCACCACCTACACCAGCAACATTACCATCAGTCACAACAGCCACCAGAACAGCAAGTATCAAGCGCACGGCAAAGAAACCACCACCGCCACCGCAGCTACCAGCAACAACACCAGCACTACCAGCAGCAGGACCAAGAACATCAGCAGCAGTATCAACACCGCTACCCTCCAATCAGTCCCCTGCCTCTCCATTCCACCACCGCTGCTACAGCTGCTGCTGGTGCTGTGGTTGGTGCTAGTGTTTCTGGTGCTGGTGGTGTTGGCATTTCTCCCTCCACCCCTCTCTCTCGCCCCATTCACATTTCCATGTCAGCTCCTCTCCTCCCCATCACCTCGCCCCACCACCCTCAACCCTACCCTCTCCCTCAGTCCTATTTCGCCCCTCCCCAAACCGCCCCTTCCCCTTCCCCCATCCCTCCCCTGATGCTGCTCCCCAGCCATTCTCATTCCGCCTCTCTCCACCCCTCCGGGCCCCCTTTAACCTCACCGCACCACCTCTCAACCACTCACCAACCTCCCACATCCCAACAGCCTGTCACCGCTCTCCACCTCTCCGCACCGCTGCACCAACTCCCCCACCGCTCCACACCCCAACCCATCCCAGGCGAAGCCTCAGCGTCAAGTTCGGATCTGCCGAACCTGGCAACCCGGTCTGGTTCGGCCGGACCAGGTTGGGCCTGGCCGAATGCAGCAGAGGTTGCTACCACAGATGCTAACAGGCAGGGCTCTGGCTTTGATCCGCCTCAGGAACAGGTCAACACTACCAGGTCAACCCAGGTCAACACTACTGCACAAAACCCCCCTGCCTCATTTGTACAAAGCTCTACTCGATTTGCCCAGGCGCCTACCTCTTTGGCACGGAACCCTGCTCTAGTGGTGATTGGCAGTTCGTACGGGCAAGTACCACGGCCTTCTCACACTGCCCGTCAGAACTCGCAGGGACTAGTGGTAGTACCATCGCAGTCGCTGTTTGTTCCCTCCGAGCAATTAGGAGCAAGAACCGTGGCTGAGGCACCAGTAGTGTTGGACGGACGAGGAGAGAGTGGAGGATGGGGAGAGGGAGCAGCAGCAGCAGGAGGAGGAGGAGGAGGAGGACAAGGAAGGGAAACAGCAGCAAGAGGAGCAAACAACCCTCCCAATAGAGCCACTCGCTCGCACTCCCACTCCTCCTCTCACCCCACTCACTCACACTCCATCCAGTTCCCCCTCTCCACCCCACACTCTCTCCCCCGCTTCCCTCCCTCTCCCTCTCACTCGCCCCACTCCTCCCAACTCTCTCACTCGCTCCCCTCTCCCTCCGCCTCTCCATATTCTACTCAACCTTACAATACAGCTGCTCTCGCTACCGCCTCCCGTGCCGCATCCCCTCCCGCCTCCCCAAAGGCCTCCCCCTATGCTTCCCCCTATGCCACCCCCTCTGCTGCACCCTCCTCCCCCTCTGCTGCTCCGTCCTCCCCCTTGCATCTGGGTGACCTCTCCCCCCAGTCAAGAGGCGGCATTCCAAGGCTGCTCAGGATGAGCATTCGAGGCCTCGACTACAGGTACAGTACAAGCCTGGAGCACAGGTATGGACCAAACCTCGACTACAGGTACGGTTGATTGCATGTCCGGTGAATTGCATGTCCGTTCGATTCAAGGTCCAATTGGTTGCAGGTTTCACTAGTCTGGTCTCTCTCTTTGTAGTTGAGATCTGTCTCTTGAGGTCCCGTCGATCTTCATCTCCCCCCATCTTGCACTTGTTGTCTCACTCGTCTCTCGTCTCTCTCCTCCCTCTTCCCCTCCTCGCCTCTCGTCTGTCTCGCTTCTCTCTCTTTGCAGTGGTGACATGGCTCTCGATGCCTCCTCTGCATCGCTCCCATACAGCCAGCCTCCCTCACAGGCAAGTGCACTTCTCTATCACACCCTCTCCCTCTTTCCCTTCTCCCCTCTTCCTCTCAATCCTTCTTCCCTGCTCCCCTGCCTCCTCCTCTCTTGATGCCTCATCTCATCTCCATCTCTCCCATACAGCCAGCCTTCCTCACAGGCAATTCGCCTGCTCTATCTATTTCGTTGCACCTTCATACTCCTGTTTTCTTCCCTCTTCCTTCCTCCCCTTTTCCCCTTTTCTCTCTTTTCCGTTCCGCTCTTCCCCCCAGTTCCAAAGTCCCCCTGTTCTTCTATGAACGAATCCCACCAATGATATTCTATGATGCATAGCACCCCTGCAAACGGGACTCTCAAACCCACGAATCCTGTTTCTCAACCCACCAATGCAGGAATTCTCCCGCCCATTCTCACCTGATCACCCCAGTCACAGCACTGGTAACAGAGAGGTGGCAGCAGAGAAACATTACTCTCAAACCCACGAATCCTGTTTGTCAACCCACCAATCCTGCCACCAATCCTGTTTCTCAACCCACCCATGCAGGAATTCTCCGGGCCATTCTCACCTGATCACCCCAGTCACAGCACCCTCAACCGAGAGGGCAACCACACCAGCAGCAGTAGCAGAGCAGCAGATCGCACCGGCAGCAATGGAGAAGGAGGTTATTACAGTGGCAACAGAGACGCAGATTATACCAGGAGCGATGCAGAACGGGATTATCACGGGGATTATCCCAGCAGCAATAGAGAGGGAGAGTATACCAACAGCAGCAGCGGGAATCCAGGCACCAGCAGCAGCAACAGCAGGCGTTTACTAGGGTCAACTATGGGGCCACAAGCAGGAGAATTACACAGTTTACACTCAGGCGACCCTGTTACAACACCTGTAACAGAACTGGTTACCAGCGACGACGATCACCAACCACTGCTGAGGAGATTGTGATGACCTGGCAACCAGGCGACTGGGAGATTGAATGACCAGCTGTCTAGCTGACATGGCGACCAGATGTTATGCTGACCTGGCAGATTGACGACCTGGTGACCAGCTGATCTGGCATGGCGACCAGACAAACTTTAGAGCCACGTCTCGCCTCAATCAAGCCTCCATGTGCGAGCTTCTTCATCAAATGGTTGCCAGGCTGGCCTGGATGTCAGTCTGAGTGTATTGTATTATATTTATTACACTATCGGACGCATGTTGCTAGCATAAGTGTAGGACACTTTCACTTGTATATGAGTGTGTAGATAAATGTAGAACTGAGCCAGATAGCATCCAAATTGTAGGGATGCTAGGCTGTAGTGTACCAGCAGCAGCAACAGCAGGCGTTTACTAGGGTCAACTATGGGGCCACAAGCAGGAGAATTACACAGTTTACACTCAGGCGACCCTGTTACAACACCTGTAACAGAACTGGTTACCAGCGACGACGATCACCAACCACTGCTGAGGAGATTGTGATGACCTGGCAACCAGGCGACTGGGAGATTGAATGACCAGCTGTCTAGCTGACATGGCGACCAGATGTTATGCTGACCTGGCAGATTGACGACCTGGTGACCAGCTGATCTGGCATGGCGACCAGACAAACTTTAGAGCCACGTCTCGCCTCAATCAAGCCTCCATGTGCGAGCTTCTTCATCAAATGGTTGCCAGGCTGGCCTGGATGTCAGTCTGAGTGTATTGTATTATATTTATTACACTATCGGACGCATGTTGCTAGCATAAGTGTAGGACACTTTCACTTGTATATGAGTGTGTAGATAAATGTAGAACTGAGCCAGATAGCATCCAAATTGTAGGGATGCTAGGCTGTAGTGTACCTTCTAAACTTGGTCTTGGGTCCGAGTTAGTGTGCAAGTGTTGCAATCCCGGATTTTGAATGGGTAAAAGCTTTGATTGACTACCTTAGCTCCATTCTATGCACTACCATCACAGATTCACAGAATATATTAGCATAGCACTATGATTTACATTGCACATACCGTATATGTGTTGTTTACTCACAAGATGCACACACACTGCTTTTTAAACATTTCACGAACAAGCAGGAACACACAACACAGAGCTGCAGAGGCTGCTAGAAACACTGGCAAATAAGCCCAAACCCTAACACCACTACAGAAATGCACGTTCTTTTGAAGCGGCAGCTGCCTAGCAAAAACACAAGCTGCTAATACCGTATAATAACCTTACAATGCCTCAAATCGGATGCCATTATTGATCTTGGTCACCGCGACACTGTAGCGATCAGGTCTTGATCTTGGGAGCGCAGAAGTGGTAATCAAGGGACGACAGAGCCCTGCCAGCAGCGTCGGCTGCTCCTGCCACCAGCGCCCTGCTGGTCGCCACCACGAGCTCATTCAGCCTCTTGCTCTCCGCCTTGAGCGCGCGCACCTGCTCAGTGCGCTGTGTGGTTTCCTGGGTTGAAAAGAGCACATGCACAGCAAGAGGGAGGGAAAACGGGAGGAAGATCAGAAGTGTGGTTGAGCCTGCGAGCTCATTCAGCCTCTTGCTCTCCGCCTTGAGCGCGCGCACCTGCTCAGTGCGTTGTGTGGTTTCCTGGGTTGAAAAGAGCACATGCACAGCAAGAGGGAGGGAAAACGGGAGGAAGATCAGAAGTGTGGTTGAGCCTGCGAGCTCATTCAGCCTCTTGCTCTCCGCCTTGAGCGCGCGCACCTGCTCAGTGCGCTGTGTGGTTTCCTGGGTTGAAAAGAGCACATGCACAGCAAGAGGGAGGGAAAACGGGAGGAAGATCAGAAGTGTGGTTGAGCCTGCGAGCTCATTCAGCCTCTTGCTCTCCGCCTTGAGCGCCCTCAGATGCTCAACGCGCTGTGTCGTTTCCTGATAGGGGAAACAGCGGGAAAGGGTAACACACGCAGAGCAAGAGGGAGGGGGGATGCAAGGGAGATCAGAAGAAGATTCGGCTAGAAACACGCTCACCAGATCTTGATCAAGAGACCACCCCCACTTTCCAGTCACTTCAGCATTCCTCTCACCTCTATCTGCTGCGCCAGCTTCGTCTCAGTTTCCTCCAGCATCACCCGTCCCCGGCTCATCTCCCCTCTCAGCACCGCCACCTCCTGCTCTGCCTGCTGCCGTGCCGCCTTCTCAGTCATCAGCAGCTGCAGCCCAGCGCCAGGGCCGTCAGCGCCGTCCCCTGATTCGGAGGCGACTAGTAGGGCTTCCTCCAGGTGCCCCTTCGCCTCCTGCGCCTCCTGCAGCTGCTGCTCCAGCCGCTGCACCACTGCACACGTGGGAGAGTTAGGGGAAAGAAAGGGGGGGGGTTGGGTGGGAGGAGGGGAGGAGGGGAGGAAGGGAGGAGGGAGGGTAGGGGAAAGAGGGAGAGTGGAGGGGAGAAGGCATAAGCAGTGGACGTGAAACTCACGCCCAGGTGACCTTGGCCTCGGTGCCGGAGCACCACCGTTCCTTTAAAAAGTAGAGTTCTGAGATATTGTTAAGCCGTCAGAAATTCAGGCTTGCATGCGGTTATTGAGATTTTTGGAGAAGAAAAAAAAGTGTAAAACTTACTTTCTCGGGCCGATGCCAGCTCTTTGGCCATATCGTCCCGTTCCACTGTAAGGCACTCCGTGGCCTTGGAAAGATTCTGCATACGGTAGTAGGATGTGAGAAGGCAACACCACACAAGGGCAGCACACAGGCAAGAAAAGGGTGACAGACAGGGCATGAGAATGTACGAGAGAAAGCGCGAGGGGAAAGGGAGGGTTGGCAGACCTGCACGTGGGTGAGAGCCACAGAGGTGAAAGCACCAAGGAGCTCCTTCACTCCACTGCCATCCTCCCAATCCTCACTGCCCTCTTCCTCCCCATCCCCACTGCCCTCCCCATCCCCACTGCCCTCCCCATCCCCACTGCCCTCCCCATCCCCACGTCCCCCCTCACTGCCCTTCTCCCCACTATCGCTCTCCTTTGAAGCCTCTTCAGCCATCAGCTCTTGCCCTGCGTCCCCTGCTCCCTCCTTCAGCAAACCACTGGGATCACCACAGGACTGCACAGAACCTTCACTCTCCCCGCGCTGCCTAATCAGCATCCCAGAGAACGAGCCTGAGCTCTCACTCGTCTCATCTCGCCCCTCCCCCACCCCATCCTTCTCCTTCAGCAAACCACTGGGATCACCACAGGACTGCACAGAACCTTCACTCTCCCCGCGCTGCCTAATCAGCATCCCAGAAAACGAGCCTGAGCTGTCGCTAGTCTCGTCTCGCCCCTCCCCCAACCCATGCTCCTGAATAGCTTCCATCCAGTGCCTTTCTGTGCCTTGAATCTGGTCCAACTCTTTGTACCCATGGCAGTCTGATTCCTGCTTTTCCTGGCGTTCTCGCACATCAAATCCCACACCCAGCCCCTCCTTGCACAATTTCTGCTGCCCCAGCCGTTCAGGCTCATGAAAGTCCACACCCTGCATGCCCTCGCTGCCTTGTTGTTCCTGAGAAAGCGTGTGCATTATCAGTGCGTCATCACCTCCCCCCAATTGCTATCGCTACTACACTACTACTGTATTGCTGTTGCCTCGTGTGCTACCGCGTACCTCTGAAAAGGTCTGCTGTGCCTCCTCCATCTGCTGCCTTGCTTCTGTTTCAGCCTGCTCGAGCCTGCACCGATGCACGGACGGGGATGCATGGATGGACGAGGATGAATGGATACGGATAGATGGATGAAAAGGTACGCTGTGCCTCCTCCATTTGCTGCCTTGCTTCTGTTTCAGCCTGCTCGAGCCTGCAGTGATGCACGGAGGGGGATGCATGCATGGACGAGGGTGGATGGATACGGATAGATGGATGAAAAGGTCTGCTGTGCCTCTTCCATCTGTTGCCTCGCTTCTGTTTCAGCCTGCTCGAGCCTGCAGCGATGCACGGACGGGGATGCATGCATGGACGAGGGTGGATGGATACGGATAGATGGATGAAAAGGTCTGCTGTGCCTCTTCCATCTGTTGCCTCGCTTCTGCTTCAGCCTGCTCGAGCCTGCAGCGATGCACGGACGGGTTACGTGGATGAAAATGGATGGACGGGGATGGATAGATGAGGATCATCAGACGAGGATGCATGAACAAGGATGCATGAAAAACGCACACGCAAATCATCTCTACCACCATCCCTTCATCCCCTCCCTACCCACCTCACGTGGCAAACCACTCCTCTTCCACTGCACCTGTTCCCACCACACGTTCCCACCACACACACGCAAACCCCCACACACAGACACCCGCGCACACACAACAACAACACAGCTTACTTGGCAGGCCATTCCACTTCCACTGCAGCCACCCCATCCGCCAGCTTCTGCTCCATCTCCTCACTCTCCGCCTGCAGCGCCCTTTTGGCCGACACACTAAGCACCTATACTCACCACACACACGCACCTTCCCCGTTCTCCCCATCCCCATCCCAATCCCCATCCCCATCCCCATCCCCATCCCTGACCCATCAGACTCACTTGGCGGCCCATTCCTCTTCCACTGCAGCCACCCCCTCCGCCAGCTTCTGCTCCATCTCCTCCCTCTCCGCCTGCAGCGCCCCCACCAGCTCCTTCTGCTCCTCCAGACTCGCCTTGGCCTGCGACAGCTGCTCCTCCTGCGAATACACCACCACCTAAGAAGCAGGAGGGAAGGGTACGGGGTGGAAGCAGGGTAATGAGGAGAACAGGGCAAGACAAGTCAGGAAAATCCCTCAATTTGTGCCGAATAGACGGGGTTGTGCCAGGAGAGTCGGGGTTGTACCTGCTGGAACGGAGTAGTGCCGGATGAGAAGGGGACGGGGATGTGTCATGTGGTACTGGGACGTGGAAAATGGGAGTGGAAGCTGGAGGTCACCAAATCCACGGGCAGGGCGAGTGACCAGCCACAGCAAGAATCAGTGTTGAGGGCGCAGGGGAGAGTAAGGCAGAGCCAAGACAGAGGAAAAGGAGAAAGGAGAGAGGAGAGGGAAGAGTGGGGAGGTCCAAGAGGCGAGGTAGGAGAGAGGATGGGAGGTGGGGTACCTCTAGGGAGTGCACGCGGTCGTCGTGCTCGTCAATTGTCTCTTAATACTGGGACATCAGACCGCGGAGACTTCAAATTCAACCTTTACAAGTCCACTCAATATTAGGTGGGGTACCTCTAGGGAGTGCACGCGGTCGTCGTGCTCGTCAATGGTCTCCTGCAGGGTGCGAGTGAGGATGCGGTACTCCTCCTCCTCGTTCACCATCGCCTTCGTCTTCACCTCCATCGCCTGGTGGTGCAGAGAGGGAGGAGCAGCGCAGAAGGGGGCAGAAAGCAGGGGCAGAGAGCAGGAAGCAGCAGGGAGCAAGGGCACACAGGGAGACATGTCAGGCGCCTGAAAAGGCCCGCAGTGTTTATCAATGGTCTCCTGCAGGGTGCGAGTGAGGATGCGGTACTCCTCCTCGTTCACCATCGCCTTCGTCTTCACCTCCATCGCCTGGCATTGCAAAGGAGGAGGGGCGTGAGGCAGGGACATGGAGAGAAGAGTAGGGGCAGAGAGCAGGGGCAGAGAGCAGGGGCAGAGAGCAGGGGCAGAGAGCAGGGGCAGAGAGCAGGGGCAGAGAGCAGGGGCAGAGAGCAGGGGCAGCATGTGGGGGAAGGAGGAGAGCAGTGACAAACTTGAGTTGGCACAAGAGCAGTGGCTCAGCAGTTGGCACCAAACAATACGAGCAAAGGGAGAACTTGAGGTAGAAAAGAGAGCATAGCCGGGAGGCAAAGAGCAGAGGGAAGGGCTTACCCGGGAGCCGAAGAGCAGGGAGGAGAGGGACTCGTTGAGATGGTGGACGGTGGGCGCCACGTTGATTACTAGCGATGTCTTGGCGTTGCCTGCGGGGGACGGATGGGGGAGAACGAGAACAGAAGCAGGGAGGCAGAGGAGGGCCGAAGAGCAGGGAGGAGAGGGACTCGTTGAGATGGTGGATGGTGGGAGCCACGTTGATCACCAGCGACGTCTTGGCGTTGCCTGGGGGGGGGGGGGAGGAGGTGGGGGAAGGAGAGTAGCAGGGACAAGGAAATATGGGAGAAGTCGCGCGTGAGATGGTGGATGGTGGATGGTGGATGGTGGATGGTGGATGGTGGGCGCCACGTTGATCACCAGCGAGGTCTTGGCGTTGCCTGGGGGGGAGGAGGAGGTGGGGGAAGGAGAGTAGCAGGGACAAGGAAACAGGGGAGAAGTCGCGCGTGAGATGGTGGATGGTGGATGGTGGGCGCCACGTTGATCACCAGCGAGGTCTTGGCGTTGCCTGGGAGGAGGCGGAGGGACGAACGAGAGCAGGAGCAGGGAGGCAGAGGAAGAGGGCGGAAGAGGTGGGAGGAGCAGCAGCGCGTTGAGATGGTGGATGCGTGTGGGATTTCTGCCCGCGCGTTGCTGCTACAGGCACATATTCACACGGGCAGTACAAGGATGGTTCAGATTCTTACCTCCCAGAGACTCCTGCAAAAGGCGGGTGAGCTCGAGTCCCTGAACGGCACATGGTGCGCGTGGGGGTTTGCCCTGGCGTTGCTGCTACAGAAAGATATTCACTTGGCCGTTTCAAGGATGGTACGGATTCTTACCTCCCAGTGACTCCTGCAACAGGCGCGTGAGCTTCGAGTCCCTGAATGGCACATGGTGCGCGTGGGGGTCTGCCCGTGAATTGCTGCTACAAGCATACTCACACGGGCAGTACGAGGATGGTACAGATTCTCACCTCCCAGCGACTCCTGCAACAGGCGCGTGAGCTTCGAGTCCCTGAACGGCACATGGTGCGCGTGGGGGTCTGCTCGGGCGTTGATGCACTTCCCTGCAACCAAGAGAGGGAGTGCGCAAGAGAACAGACGTCGGATGGTTGTGAGATGTGGCTTGGAAAGCGGTGCCCTTTTTGGTTGACGCACAAGGCACCTCAGGAACAGGGAGTCCAGAGGGCTACAGGCATCAGATGGTTGTAAAACGCAGCTCAGATATGCAAGCCGCAAGAACGGGGCCGACTCTTGAGACGTCTCAAAACTCGGGAACAGGGAGTCCCGAGGGCCGCAGGCATTGGATGGTTGTAGAACGCAGCTCAGAAATGCAAGCCGCAAGAAAGGGGCACCAGAAGAAAACAGGAAAATGTGGCTTGCTAAGTCAAAAGGAGTTTTGAAACATGTCAAATCTGGACAGAGGAGGGGAGAGGGAGGGCAGGAAATGTCGCAAATCTGGACAGTGGAGGACAGAGGGAGGGCAGAGGGAGGGCAGAAGGAGGGCAGCGGGAGGGCAGAAGGAGGGCAGAGGATGTCAGGGAAAGGTGGAGAATGCAGTGTGGGACCAACCTAGAACAGTCAGGGATAGGTTGACGCTCTTGGCTTCGCTGGCTCTGAGACCCTCCGACCCTGAACACACCAGGCAGCACCAAGCAACAAGCGCGACGCACAGATACACAAACACGGTGACTTTTGAGTCAACCCAGACGTGACTTCACTGAGTCTGAGACCCTCCGGCCCTGAACACACCAGCCAGCAAGCAGTGACCGGGGCACGTATGCTTAACAAGTTTCGAGCAGAAAATAAAACGACCCACGACAGGACAAAAAGCAGATCAACACACATGTCCACATGACGGAGCAACCCGGTATGCACGCACCTGACTTCTTGAGCCGCTCTGAGCCTGCAAGGTCCACCAGGAAGAGCTTCCCCACCAGAATCCTGGGTTCGCGGAGGTAGAGCGAGGAACGGAAGGGGGGGAAGGTGGGGGAAGGAGGAGCGTGGGGGGGGACGGGGGGAGTGTGAGGAAAGGGGAGTGGGAGGGACGAGTAGTGGGGAGAGTACGGGAAGGAAGGAGAGAAGGAGGAAAGATGATGCGGACTCATTACAGCGCACACAGCGAAATCCATTTAGCGCGCACAACATCAACACAGTGCGCACTTGTCCTTCTTCTCTGGCTTGCGGTGCTCGTCGCTCCCGTGCCCGGCAGCAGCAGTTGCAGGCCCGGAATGCGCCTCAGAGTCGCTGCTCTCCGCGTCCTTCCGGCGCTTCTTCTCCACCGTGATGATCGCGATGGCGTGGCTGCGCGACGAGTGCGCGTTCTGGCCAGGGAAAAGAAGAACCAAAAGAGGCAGCAACACGATACGACGGCGAACGAGGGAAACAGACAGGGAGAAGATACAGACGGGAAGCGAAGCATGAAGTGACATTGAGAAAAGAGAATTCAGGCGCAAGGCGAAAAGCCGAACCTGGCCATCTTCCTTAATCGTTTGCGGGGCAACGTAACGCGAAGAGTCAGCACGAAACCTCGAGCGGGCGAACCTCGCCGAGTTAACCGTCCGCTGACCCTCGCAAGCGAGCAATGAGTGAGTCACATTATCGAGACACAGACTGCACAGGAGAACAGAATGTCCTGTCCTAGTTAGGAAACTTTATAACGAACCGGGTCAGGTCTCGTGACTCACCATCTTTGTGAAGGCGACAGTTCGATTCCTCTCGCCGACGGCGAGCAGCTTGAGGCAGTCCTCCACGCACGTCACCTCCAACCTCCTCCACCCCCGAAATGTACACCCCTCGCTCCCAGCCAACGGGCTGTCTTGCCTTATCGAGGAACTCTATAACGAGTCAATTATTCCAACATGCTCCCACTCACCATCTTTGTGAAGGCGACGGTGCGATTCCTCTCGCCGACGGCCAGCAGCTTGAGGCAATCTTCCACGCACGTCACCTCCACCTCCTCCACTCCCGAGATGTACACCCCGTTCTCGCTCTCCCGTATTTGCATGTTGGAACTCGACGGACGCAGCAGATCTTGAATCTTTTGGAGCGAAACGGGGAGAGGGAAGAGGGGAAAGGGTGGTGGAGAGGAGGGGGGGAGAGGGGGAAGAGGGGAGAGGGGGAGCACGGGGAGGAGGAGACGAACGTGAGGACGATAACTCCGTTCTCGCTCTCCCGTATTTGCATGTTGGAGCTGGACGGACGTAGCAGATCTTGAATCTGCAGAGTCGAGCCGAACGGAGCGACACGGGGAGGGGTAGGAGGGATGGGGAGGTGGGGGAGGAGGGTGGGGAAGGGGAAGGATAGGGGAAATACAGGGAGAAGCAGCAGGAGAAAAAAGGCGCGAGAGATTCGCAAAAAACTCTGAGAAGACTCACAAATCACAGGACGATCATGATCGATGGTCATACCATCTCCATGTAAAAGTGAGTGAACGACATGGGTCCGCTCGGGTCATCACAAACAACCTCTGAGAAGCCTAACAGATCGCACGACGACAATGCACAACGGTCATACCATTTCCATGTAAATTTGGATGTACGACATCGACACCCGGTACGTGTGGGTAGGGTCCGCTGGCGGCATCAGAAACAACCTCAAAAAAGACTAATAAATCCCAGGACAATAGTGATCGACGGTCATACCATTTCCATGTAGATCTGAATGTACGACATCGACACCCGGTATGTGTGGGTCGGGTCCGCTCGCGCCATCACGAAGACTTCAGCAGCTGCTCGCGGGATGATGCCTAGGTGCGGGGGCTTGGTGCTCGAAAGCGTGTACGTCTTTCCCGCACCGGTCTGACCGTACGCCATGACCGTGCCGTTGTAACCGTTCAACACATCCTGTAACAAAAACACAGAAGGGGTAATTTCCGAGTCGACTTAATAACCGGTCCGACCGTACGCCATGACCGTGCCGCTGTAACCATTGGCGGAATGGAGGGGATAAAGTCAGCGACGAGAGCGACGAGAGGGACGAGAGCGCATGGACACAACGAAAGAAGCAAACAAGATATCCAGAATATGACTGTCGCACGAACCGCGACGACGGGCTTCGCGGCGACTTGATACACATCCGCTTGAGTGGCCGTTGGAGGGAGAACGGAGTCGAATTCAAACTCCATCTGCTCCAGCTGACCGTTGCTCCTGTTGCACACAAGCCATGACACAACGCGTGACGACCGTGGATCCCGATCAATAGATGAATCAATTTTAAAATACAAAATTTCACAATACGGCAAGTGAGGTTCAGACGCAGAGGTTCTACTCTCCTGATCTCGTTCGCAGAGCCAAGGATTCTAACGACAGATGGTCGAGGCGGGAACAAATCACAGAAAGTGGGATCCGACGGATGCTGCCTGTTAAGGACAACGGTGATGTCGTCGGGAGATGAATCCATTCCAAGCTCTCCAATGCTAGGTTTCAAGGCGACCAAGAAACTTAACACATGGATCGGACGAAAGTTTACCTGTGAAGGACAACGGTGCTGTCGTCGGGGGAAATGTCCATCGCGAATTCTCCATTGCTGGCTGCTTCCTCTGCTGTAGGCGGCCGTACTCGAATCGTCACTCGCACTCGTTCTACGCGCAAAACAGGGAAAAATACTTACGAATGTTACATGGTGACACGGAGCTCGGAGATGAATTTTAAAGGCATTTAACGGATACAACACTGGAGGTCAGTTATAAGAAGCATCAGGCTATGCGCTCTAAGCAGGCGATACAAGGCTAGAGTAGTACACTAACGATAGGACGGCATTCTCTTTCCTACAGCGATGGTGCACAGTGGGACATAGTCAAACAGCGACGAGTAATTTTCTAACGGTATCCTATGCTGGCCATGTGAACATCTCGGAACACGTCTACCGATGAAGCCTATTAACCTCTTCTGTAGCATTCGCTCCATCGCCTACGGCAGGTTATGACAACTAAGCCAAGCTTCTCCTCACCAGATTCCCCTTGAGTGGCATCATCAAGCAGAGAACCGTCTCTGCTGTCTCGTCCGCATCCTTTCTCTCCTTTTCCACCGGCTCTTCCTCGTCTTCTCTGAGAATCCTGAGAGGTATTCGAGCTTCGAGCTCTCACCAGTGAATGAGAACCCTTTTCGCCATCTACGTTCGTCATAACCTATTGAAGTCCTTACTTATAGCGACAATACTATATGGATCTGGTTCAGCTATTGTCGAAATAAATGCCTCGCTATAAATACGATCACTCTTGCTTCAGTTATACGTCGTTATCAAGGCTGGATGCGCTGCTGGCGTCGTTATCTGGAGAGAGCTATAAATGCAGGACACGTCCGGCGGTAAACGAGGCTACTATAGTTCTTTATAAAAAAAGGGACTGAAAGCACTCCGTCCGTCAATCCTCCGGTTACTCTGTCAGCTCAAACGGAGCAGTATGAAGAAGAAGCAGTCACGACAGACCAGCATTCATGAAGCACCAGAGAGACTTTTGGCTTCTCCGCCTGCTGATAGCAAACAGCCTAATACAGCTGCCAGGAGATGGGTCTGCAGCCTGATAGCACAGGCAGGATGCTGAATGCAAGCCAGGAGATACACCAGTGTGGCACCTTGGGAATGTCACAGATGCCTGAAGTTGTTCATCATGGCCATTGGGAATGCCATTGTTGTCATGGTGCCAGAAACATGATCATTTGGAGGCTCGGGGCCGAGGAACCGAAGCTGGAGTGTCGAAGCGTGAAAGGTTCAAGTCAAAGCGGTTCGGTGCACAAGCATCTGTTAGGCTTGGGAAGTGTGGGGGAGAACCAGTGCGGAAGCGGCGGAGGAACAGCATGTGCTCCCTTCCCCTCCCCTCGCCCTTGTGTAGAGTCATTTGCCCCTGCATGACTCAGCGGATAGTACATTTCTCACGCGCGCATCTCCCCGCTGACCACAACGAATAGTCAGAATCTGAATACCATGCTGAGAGGCTTGGTGCGGTCCGGCTGACGCAGGTCTGTGACGAAATTCCAAATTAATGAGGGTGTTGCTGGAATAGCGCGACTCGATGACTGGATGTCTCGGGCTTCATCAGCAACCCGAAGCTTACGATATGAGGCTCGGCATCAAAATTTGTGGGAGGGAAACTTATTCCGCCAATGAAATCGGCTTTACGGAGTAGCGTGGCAGAAGTGGTACTTCCGGCACGAAATTCGTGTTCCTTTTCACCGTGCTTGGCGGGAAAGGCCTCAGACTAATTGGAGAGAATAAACACCTTATTGATATTACAACTCTATATTTTCATGATTCTGACTTCTGGCATCCAAACACCAAATGACGATGCCTGCCTACGGACAGAAAACAGGATTGTTCAGAGTATAGGACATATCATCTTGGCGCACTGCAGATCTCTATCCATATATAATCTTCCATATCTTGCAGTTGTGAAATTGTTCCCATAAACAGTTACTCTCTAAATGCACTTGACCGACTCATTACACACATATAAACAGATCAACAATGATTTTTCAACACTAACAAGCAAAATGACAACCCATACCAATCTTCAGGTCAGAGCTTGCTGATCAGAGCTTGCTGATCATCTTTGCGGCATCCAAGCAGTGCGCAGTAGCTAGGTTCAGAGTGGTGGCAGGCGGTGGTTTCTCATGGGCATCCCTCATGTGCTCCACGTCCTTCTCTAGCTCTTCCAGACACCGCTCCACGGCCTCCTCCTTGCGGCCCCACACTGTCCCTCCCTGCACGCCCTGTCGCACCAAAGATGTAGAAACCAAAGGAAAAATACATCAGGAGGTAACAACCACTTCGCAAAACTGTGCCCTTTTCTCACAGCGGTTTATTTTCCCGCAGAAAAAAAAAAGGAGCATGGCATAGGAGCTTACATGCTGGGGATGGTGCAGCAGCGCGCCGAGCCCAAGGTGCACTCTCTCCAGCACAGTGTCGCCAGCCGCGGCGAGCGAGTCACCGGAAACCAGCGCGTCGTGGCTGTGGTCAACGCCTACTTTTCTCTTCCCGACCACCTTCCCCGTCTTCACGTGCTGCAGCATGCGCGCGTATGACTGCAGGAACAGAGTCATCGCTTGGTTGGACGGGAAAACCGGAGTCGGCGGGAGCGTCGCAAGAGGTTCGAGCTCAGGCTCTTCTGCAGGCTCTGGTTGCGACGCCGCCACCTTGGACGGTTTCTGGAACCCTGGAGAGAAAATATACACAGGAGACGGAAAAAAGCGTTAACTTCACGGTTTTGAGACGTCGATTGAAAAATCCGTTCGAACCCAGACGTTCGGAACGTTGCACGTAGATTCTGGTTGTGCGCAGCACTATGTGGGCCTTTATTATCTTCCGAGCAAGTGGAGGGCCTACTATAATGCTTACATACAGAGGCTTAGTATCAAATCAATGTAAATGGGGCGTTTTTTACTGTCCAACAAAAAGAAACAAATTTAAAAAAAAGTATTATGGTGCTACGGGATATGTGTATTTACTTAGCGCTTACATGTAGCAGGGTTGAAAAAGTTGACGGGTTCGGGGAGGGAATTATTCGGGGGAGCGATTCGACAGACAGTGACGCGCCGCTTATGAATCTGCTTCGGTTTTGCTGCTCCTGGCGACGCTACGAGCCTCGTCACGGTAGCGGGACAGCTGAGAGTCGTCATAACTCTGATGAAAGGACTCCTTCAAATCTCTTGAAGACAATACTTGAAAAGATTGCGGTGGTGACGCTGGAGGATTTTAGTGGTAAGTAGAAAGAGTAGAGTTACGATGTCTACATATGTGGAGGGTAATCTAGCGTTCTATTGATATCCCAATCTGGTGTGCATCTGTGTGGGGAGCAAGCGGAAATCCCAATCTGGTCAACGAATTTACGATTGATTACCTCTCAGAATAAAGTTCGCGAATGCTGTAAATGGTGTAATAAGCATTTACTTTTCCGCTTTCGCAAATCCCCCTCTTGGTATCTTCCTTGGATCAACGAAGTTAGCGACAAGCGTGCATATCGCTATTCTTCCTATGAACCCGCACACTGTTCGCAGGATGTAACCAGACACGTAATGGAACTGGATCTGGATTTTGGAAGACGTGGCATCAGGTCAACTCACCACCGGGGTTACTGTAGCAACGGCAAGACTCGCTTGTTTGTTGCTCCCCGGTAGAGCCGCGGCACACCGTCCACAAGATTTGCGCACGCCACAAACCAACCACACTCCGCGGATGAGGAGAGCAAGGCGCAGCGCGGCCGATGCCAACCTTTGCTGGGTTGGTTGGGTGGGGGGGATTGGGGGGTTTCCTGTCGGGTCGGGGGTGAGGGGAGGAGAGAGGGAGGGATGGATGTGAAGCACACGACTCCCGCAAACTTGCCACCGCCAGCTGGCTTTGAAGTCGTACGGTTCCAGCATTGCATGGAAAACGAGCAACTTCGTGAGAAACCGCGTTGACCATTGCTGTGCGTTACAATTATGAACGGCTAAGATACAACATTGTAGCTTAACTACATACGATGATTCCACGTGTTCCACATGAGCACGTCATCTTTCCACCTACTATTTCTGTAAGCTGGCGCGGGTCGAACTGTGTATTTCGTGCGATGTGCCTCAGTGAGGTCGTTGATGAGATGAGCTCTCTGTGGCCATTTTTTTTGGTTGACTTTGTAACTTTCCAGCAGCGCAGAGCACAGATGGTGGAGGAATCACGGATCTTGCGGCAGTACACGTCACGCGTCTCATACACCACGACTTTCGATGCTCTTTACACGGGAAAGGCGGTTGATGAATCACCAATCCTCGGGGGATACGATCACACCGCCAACCAGTGTGATTCAGTGCCAAGATCCACCTCACATTGACCATAAAGGAGACTGCTTTGTCAGCCAGCTGTCGAACAGTTGTTTCCGACTGCCGTCTCATGACATGGAATGGAACTCCGTACTGGATGGGCCTCTGCACGCCAGAGGTCTCTTCAAGCCGCTCTTTCTTTACCCAAACCGGATGGGAAAATCTAGGTAGAGTCATGGTGATATGCCAGCGACTGCTGGTTAGTGTGTGTAGATTCAGACACCTTTTCCAGTACTTCTCCAGGGACTGGCCGCACTTCATTCCCACACTTTGCAGTGTCCGCAGCACCAGATGCCTCATTCTGTGAGTACCTTTACAGACCAGAGATGGGTGCTGTGACAAACTTCACAAAATTTCAGACACATCCAGGTTAGCAAGGTACTCTGGGTAAGAAACCCAATGAACAATACGGCTTCAGAGGTAACTCGCCAGCAATGCAAATAAAAAGTTGGGTTACCACGTGCTTGAGCTTGAACGAGGAAGTATTTCTAACCAATGAGAAGCCTGTAAATTATGGAGGGTCTCTCAGCAGAAGTTTCTAAGCACGTTCTTGGCTCCAAAGATGGGGCAGTCGTCGCGGTTGGTCGTCGTCGTCGCCAGCCTGTCTGCTGCTCCGTCGCAACAATCGCAAAAGTCCGTCTCCGCTTTTCGCTTTTCCGCGTTCTGCCACCACCACGGTTGGTTGGTTGGAGAGGCGAGGAGTGAGTGAGGCGCAAAATGGGGAGATGCGCCACGGAGATGAGAGCCGAAGCGCGCTTAATGTGTGCATGCGGCTTGGGATTGTGTGGCGTGAAAAGTTTCTCTCATTAACTCAATGGAACCCATCCAGATCGCTCTGTAACGTTCCCAAACCATTCCAACTTACAAAAGCGCCTCAAATCCGTGCTGTAATGTCAGTCCCAACCATCGAAATTCCGAAGCATAAATTGCTTCTGTTCCTATCACTCCTCACTCGCCAAAATCAGTTCAACTGCCATCTCACAGTATACAAGCCTGTTTGCCGCCTTCAGCTGTCACAAGTTCGAGTTCGCATTCAGAAGACACAGTTTTCCGTCATCCGGATATCGTCCCACTCCTGCCATGGCTCACGCGTTTCTCAATGGCGCCGCCATCGCGTCTCCGAGTTTCACCGCTGATCTTGGCAAGATCCCAGCGCGCCGAGCTCCATCGACGGGCGTTCGCCTCGCGCCAGTCCGCGCTGAAGCTCCTCATGTCATTGCGACCGTCACTGCGGTCCCGATCTCCCTGAATGCTCCAGGTAGGTTCCATATTCAAGCAGCGCAAATACAATTTTAGAAGAGTTTCGCCATTTCTTAAGTCTTTGATACAATTCGCCCTGAATCTCATTTCTCTTTCTCCCGCGGTCGCGGAATGGCGATTTCGTTTTTGTTTCTGTTTTTTTTAATAAATTACCTCCTCCTTTTCACGTCGCTCATCACGGATGTTTCTCGCTTTTTTTCCCTCTCTTTCATCCCGTCATCGGCCGCAGATTCCGCCACATCTTTGAAGGCGCCTCACAACGTTGCTACTCCTACTACCGGCGCCGACGACAATGCCTCACGATGCAGGCGATGCAAATATCCCTGCACCAAAGAAGTTCCCTGCACCGTAGCGCCTGATTTTTACCCATTCACGTCACTCCCGCCGACTCCGGTCTTCCCGTCGCACGCAGCCATGGCGCAGTTCCTCCAATCCTACGCTCGCATGCTGCAGCACGTCCAAACCGCCACATCGGGCGTCGCCCGCATTGACCTCGTTGACCGCGTTGACCACAGCCAGGACGCCCTCGTCTCTGGCGAATCCCTCGCCGCCGCTGGGACGACCGTGCTGAAGCGCGTGCGTGTGGGGATCCGCGCGCTCCTGCGCCACCCGCAGCACGGTGTGCCCTCGGGCCGCGGGGGGGCATGGTGCGCAAAGAAGGAGCGCGCGGAGGAGTGCCTTGCGGAGCTGGAGCGCGATATTGAGGTCATTCGCTCTGCGCATGAGCGCCCGCCCCGTGCTACTACGCTTGCGCTCGCGACGATTCACTGCTTCGACGCCGCTCGGATCATCCGCACGCTGTGAGGCGATCAGAACCGTTGGCGACCATGTGGAGATTGTTTTCCTCACACACCCCATCCATTTAACCTTCGTCCAACCCCATCCGCCATATCCATCCACAAGGCGTGTAACCAGAGGCGCCATTGTAGCTCCAGGGGTAAGGCTCGGAGTGGAGGAGTGGGTATGTGTGAGCCATATGCTTTGTGTTTACCTATGCTCTTGAATGTAGATAATCAATGCCCTAGGATGTAGCCATCAGGGCTCCGCTGCTTGTTCCCTATTGGGACGAGCTTAGTGGGAGTCCAACTACTGGTGGTGTTTATCAATATAAGGGCATCTTGTGTATGTAATTGTCAAGTTTGGAATATATATTATATTTTCTATTATCTCCAACTACCAGTCGCATGTCCCTTTTATGTGCTTTGCAGGATCTGGGTGTAGCACTTGAATTTGATGCCTCGATGTTCGTCCGCTACCAGCATCCCCCCCCCCACCCCCAACATCACCACTGTAGCAGAATCCTTTGTTACCACACATCCGTTTGTTTTTTTTCGCCAAGGTCATTTCCCTCGCAATGGTTGGCAAACCAACCAACCAACCTCCGCTGATTGGGGAGAGAGAGGCGCAGGCGATTCCATGCATTTGCGCACAAGCTGGGAGGGAGAGGGGGGAATGAGCACAACTTTCAGGAGCACATTGACCATCGCTCTTCGAAGCAACCTATAGATGTGAATATGCGATGTACAGTGCAAGATAAGTCCACGTGTTCAGCGAGATGAGCAGGTCAAGCAGAAGTGTACAGTGGGATTTGTAAGTCATGCCACTTTTCTTCCGTTGACTCTAGTACGGTCCAGGGGTGCAGGACACTTGGTGGAGGAACCAAGGACGAAATTGACAGGTGTAGAAAACACGTCACATGTCCCATTCACCGCGCCCCTCACACGAATTGGTTGGTTGAATATCAACTAATCATCTTCGACACACGATCCCAAAACCAATAGGGTCGTCAGGGGGGGATCCACCTCACATCGATCACTAGGGATGGCAGCCAGCTGGCGAACAGACAGCAGAAACGCAATTTTGCCAGCACCGCAATCGAAAATTGGGTTTCTATGCTCTTGCGTGGACGGAACTTCGGTAACCAATGGAAACCCTGTAAAATATCGAGGTGTCTCGCTGCAGCAGATTTTTTTCAAGCACGTTCTTGCCTCCTCACCTGGACAACGTCGCGGTTGGTCGTCGTCGCCAGCTCTGCTGCTCCATCGCGGCAATGGGAAAAGTCCATCTCCGCATTTCGCTTTTCGCCATTCTGCCATCCTCTCCGCTCGGTAGGGTGGATGGAAGGGAGGGGGGAGGGGCGCGCGAGCTTGGGAGATGCGCGACGGAGAAGAGAGGAAGCGCGACCAGTGTTTGCATTTGCATGCGGCTTGGAGTTGGGTGGCATGGAATGTTTCTCTAGTTCACTCATGTGAACCCATCCAGAACGTTCTCTACCTAGCCCAACCCATAGATACTTACAAAAACCCCTCAAATGCAGTGTTGTATGTCAGTCCCTCCCAACCATCGAGATTTGAAAAGCATAAATTGCTTCTGCTCCTGCTACTCTTCACTCGCAAAACCGTTTCAACTCCAATTTAGAATCTATTCCGCTTGATCGAGAGCCACCTGCCAGCTTCAGCTGTCACTACTTCGAGTTCATATTGAAGAATCTCTGCTCTCCTTCATCCGGATATCTTTCCACTCCTGTCATGGCTCACGCGTTTCTCACTGGCGCCGCCGTTGCGTCTCCGAGTTTCACCTCTGATTTTGGCAAGATCCCAGCGCGCCGAGCTCCATCGACGACGGGCGTTCGCCTCGCGCCGGTCCGCGCTGAAGCTCATCCTGTCATTGCGACCGTCACCGCGTCTCCGATCTTCCTGAGTGCACCAGGTAGGTTCCATACTCAAGCCGCTCCAATACATCTTTAAAGAATTTCGCCAATTCTCAGTCCTGGTTTTCATTCGCCCTGAATTCGATTTGCTCTCACTTCTCTTTCTCCTGCGGTCGCAGGGTAGCGTATTTTTTCGTTTCAAACCAAATAAATCCTGCTCCTTTCTCACGTCGACCATCTCACGAATCTTTTCGTTTTGTCCTCTTTCATTTTTCCGTCGTCGGTCGTTCCCGCAGATGCCGCCACATCTTTGAAGGCGCCTCCCAACGTTGCTACACCTACCACCGCCGCCGACGAAAATGCCTCACGATGCAGGCGATGCAAAAATCCCTGCACCAAAGAAGATCCCTGCATCGTATCGCCTGATTTTTACCCCTTCACGTCACTCCCGCCGACTCCGGTCTTCCCGTCGCATGCAGCCATGGCGCAATTCCTCCAATCCTACGCTCGCATGCTGCAGCACGTCCAAACTGCCACGTCGGGCGTCGCCCGCGTTGACCCCGTTGACCGCGCTGACCACAGCCAGGACGCCCTAGTTTCCGGCGAATCCCTCGCCGCAGCCGGCACAACCGTGCTGAAGCGCGTGCGCGTGGGAATCCGTGCGCTGCTGCGCCACCCGGAGCACGGCGTGCCCTCGGGCCGCGGGGGACCGTGGTGCGCAAAGAAGGAGCGCGCGGAGGAGGTCCTTGCGGAGCTGGAGCGCGATATTGAGGTCATTCGCTCCGCGCACGAGCGCCCGCCCCGCGCTACGACGCTCGCGCTTGCGACTATTCACTGCTTCGACGCTGCTAGGATCATCCGCACGCTGTGAAGCGATCCGAACCGTTGCTGCTAACCATGGGTCCAAAGTTCTCCTCACAGGCCCCACCATTCAACCTTCATCCATCATCCTGCCCCATTCGTCTTCCTTCAACCAAGGAGTGAGTGGCACAGATGCAGCAAACAGTGTGGCTGCTAATCTGTGAGCTGGGTGCATGTGAGCCATATGGCTTGTGTTTATCTATGCTTTTGAGGTGTAAATAATTAATGCCCCTGGATGTAGCCATCAGTGTTTGGATTGGTTGGCAGGACCCTTGCGCTTTTTCCATCATGGAAAGAGCTTAGAGGGAGTCCATCTGCTGGTGGTGTATATGATAGGGGCATCTTGTGTCTGGAATTGTCATGTTTGAAATATGTAAGCTTTATATTTATATTTCCTACCTACCTGCTGAATGTCCCTTCTACATTCTCTGGATGGATCTGGGTGTACGTACTTGAATTTTCTCTTTTCCCCTTGCAAATTAAAACATGAGCATAGTGTTCTCAGTGGACCTCAATTTTCGATTGCTGATTCTGGTTACCAGGTTCTCCCCAAATTGCCACCGGCTACAAGACCCTCTACTACCAACCAGCTTTTCAATTCTCTCTTGCAAGGATTTGGCGCTCGCAACTTTCGCCTCATCAATGCCGAAACATAATCGCCAGTGTGTTAGGTGTCGTGCCGTTACGTGACGAGCCTCCATACCAGAAACGTTAATTCTTGAACGGTTATTTACTGTGCTTACTCCATCCTTGGTAACTCCGACCCTACAAGCGAAGGCCTGTTTTAGAGGAAATGAGAGACCGCCCTGCTTTCTTCCTTTCGCTTCCAACGGGCGTTGGTTTTGACAGCACCCTGCTCCGCGATCGCGTCCGATTCCCATGGTCTGTTTTCTGCAACAGTACTCATTTTATGTTTTTTTCGGGTTTAGCACTCACTAATGGTTTCTGCCATATCAGACAGTTACTGTAAACCCCTAGATATAAGACCCCCTCCAGCTGTCGGGGGGTTACTCTATTCGAGTCTATTTTAGTTATACCCCACTAAAGCGCATCTGGCATTATAAGACCCCCCCCCCCTCCAACTAGAGGCCTAGTCATTTGTGATGCACGCAATGAAAAGTTGAGTTTTTCCATGTTCATCAAGGAGGCAGCACAACCAAACGCACATGCACAGGCACATTAATCCTCATCCTGTCTAGCAACCCAGGTCTCTACCTCCTCCTCGTCGTATCGCCCTTCTGCCCACCACTCATCGCCATCAAGCAGCCTAAATCAGGGATGTGTCAGCTACAGGACCGTACAGCCCCCTCGAAGCGTGCATGAGGTGTGAAGGCCGAGATGACATTGTGCGCTGGGCGCATCACACGGCGCCCGTCTTGCAAATGTGGTAACCAATCTATGTGGCCAATGGGAGAAGACGCCCAGCTTGATTTCGCGATGACGTGGGCGGCCACCCGAAACGGCCCGCACATGTCAATGTGCACGACGGCCAGCGCTTCCTCGGCGTCTGCACCCTTGTCGGGAAAGGTGTGCTGCGACAATTTCTCGCCGAACCAAGAGACACACGGCAGGTCGGCTCTGGCCGATGGCTTGATTTCCATGCCGGTGGTGAATTCGTGCTTCGCCGAGCTCTAGGTCGTGTCGACGCCGACGTGCGCGAGCCTTGCGTGTTACATGTCAGGCGTCGACTTTGTTGCCAAGGCGATCTCCTGCAGAGCCACAACCTCGGGCAACGCCGATAACGGCTTCGTCGAGCAGGGGCGAAGGTCGGTCCAAAGGACCCGGCCGGTGTAGTGCGCCCGACCAAGCACATCCCCCGCTGCCGAGGCGAGCAGCATCTCGTCGTCGTCGTCCTGCAGCTTTACGCCGCCGTCCTCCAACTGGCTGGCTGACAGCAGTTTCGCCTGCACGCCAGCGACATAAAGCACATCGGGGACGAGGTCCTGCTTCCCAGCCTCCCCTTGCCGAGCGCTGGTGCCACGGCCTTCGTGGGTCTGCGACGCCCCATTGAAGCCGCGCACGCGTTTCACGTCGTCGCTCGATTTTATGTTGACGATGGCCTCCTTTGTCCCCATCAGGTAGTGGGAGCACCCGCTATCAAAAAGCACCGCCATTGGGTTCGCCAACATGGCGGCGGCGACTGCCAGCGAGACCGTCGGCTCCACGATGCCGACCATCGAGCACGATGCCGACCATCGAGCACGATGCGCCCCTGTTGCCTTGGCCCTTGCTGCCAGAGAAGTCGATACCCTTCACTGACGACGTTTTCTTCGACGCTTGCTTCTCATTGCGC